TAGTGAGTTCCATACATTCACCACCCTTTGAGTGAAGATATATTCACCACCCTCTTTTTCTCTATAATTGAAATGTTTTTGTCACAAACAAACCAGTTTACTGAACACTTGTAATAGAAAGACAACAGAAAATTCTGTTATCCATTAACTACTGAATGAGAAAATTCTGTTTTTTTTTTGGAACAATTTGTACCTTTTGGTAAATTCTTAAGTAGAACAGCTTTGAGGAATAATGTTCATTGCAATTCAACACGTTTTTTTAATGTTAGTTTCTCAATAGTATTTGTCCCAGAGATACCTTTTAAGATCTGTTCATTGTCTGGATAACAAAAATCTTCTCGGCTAGGCTGAGGAAAAAAATAGAGGATGCCATTTTTCCACTGAAAGATCGGAATAATAAGTGAATTGACTCCATATTTTTGTGGCTGAAAAGCGGCAGCCAATTTTGCACAATTTATTAATAATAATATATTATAGTCAATTTGCTTCACAGTATATTCTGTAAAGCGCTTTGAGACGTCTTGAAGACGTGATAAGGCACTATATCTAATGCAAAGATTATTATAGTAATCAGTTTTAAGGGATACAGCAAAATCTTGATAACTTGACCTTGGCTTAACTTGTCACTACCATTTAAGTCATCATGTTGTCAATATCCCAGCCACAGTTATTGATGTATTTATACATATATCTAACTCGCCACTCCAGATAACTCATCATTCCTTTGGAGTAATGAGTTTGCAATGACCAAACAATTACCTTATGATAATTTAAGATCCCGGAACTCAATTGACCCAAAATACATGAGCGTCAAGCCACAGTTTTTATCCTGTCTGTGCACAAATTTTACGAAATGACAGTATTGAAATCCACTTGCTGTTCTTTAAAGAGACAGAATGAATGGTGTACAACCTGCTATTTCAATAAGGTGTTGCTGAAATTGTGGTTATGTTTGAAAACGGTCAAAGGTAGCCTATCTAATCAGTACACACTTATCCATTTATTGATTCATTCAATGATTCTGGCTGCTATTATGTTCAACATTCTCCCTCGCAACTACTGTCTTCAGATTGTTATTTTTGAATTTCGTGTCTTGTGAAAAATAATGTTTAAATATTTTCCATCTTGTAACAGTATTGCAAACTTCTAAACCCACAAATATAACTTGGGTTTTACATCAGTGCTGAAGTTATCCTTAAGATATTTTTGATCTCAGTTATTATCCTGCTACAGCAGCATATTTCCACTCCAGTAATCTTCATCCAAAAGTAACATTGCCAAATTAGGCACCAAATTTGGGAACATTTTGTACTGTGGACTTGCATTCAGTTAAAGCAAAGCCTGATGTTGCCAAACATCCTTCACTTGTGACCTTTATAACATGCACCACAGGGAGAAAAGCTCTCTTTCCCAGATTGTATTCACACCAGCACACGCTACAATGAAGAATAATTAATCAGATTGGTGTTTACTTTCAGCGATCCGCAGAACGTGTCCCTACAACCAATGAGCAATAAACCAACACATCTGCATTTAGTAGAATGTAACACATACAAGTATCATAGAATACATCAGCAGTCTCATTCTTTCAGTAAAATGTGTTCCTGTCACATGATGCTATTTCAACCCAGATCTGGTGTCATGAACACTGTAAAAACCTTCTGTTCCTATCACATGATAAAATAGCCAGCTGCCCAACTTGAAGCCCCTCTCGTATAACACCCATGGGGCCCACCCTGTTTGATAGAACTTCAAACCACTATCAATAAAGCCACTGATTTTGTTTTTTTTAAAAAAAAGCTAAATAAAATGTCCTTGGAAATATTACATTGAATCTAAATAAAAGCTTCAAATAGTAATGATGAGTCAGATAATTAGTTGATTTAAAAGCAACAGAGTGTTGTCAGCTTCAAAATGATTGCTTATCAGAAATGATGGCAATTTGGGAATTATCCTAGAAGTTGTGGTTGTACATGTGTTGAGTTGTTTGGACTGGCAAAATTCAATTGTGTTCTTGAAGAAAATTAAAATAATTTGAATTCCCAAAGTTGAGATTGGGTTCTGTGAAGCCTTGTGTGTATGTACACAAATAAGATTTTTTCCCAGATATCAACTACATTTCCAAATTTTAGATATCATCAATAATATAACAATATTTCTTACATTTGATATAGTGACTTATCACATCATTCATACGTCTCAAAGTGATTCACAGAGTATACTGTAAAGTGAATTGACTATATTTTGTGGGCAAAACTTTGCAGAAAATTGCACACAACAGTGTCCCACAAACAGTCATGGATCGATTGACCAATTTTATTTAATGGATTATTAGCCCCGGAAAGTGATCCGCGATTCGACTAACAACCAGGTTTCCTACTTACTGCTCGGTAAACAGAGGGGTGTAGAACAAGGAAAATTGCCTAAGGTTTCACCCTGCTCAGGAATCAAACCTGAGTCCTCTTGCTTGTGAGGCGAGTGCTCCAACCAATATGCTACAGGAACTCTATTTCCATTTCCAAACACACTTTTAGATGCTGGAAAAAAATGTTTAAAATTGGAAGGATGTGTCAAATTGTGGAGTTTCTAATTTTGACATTACTTTCTCCTGTGCATCTTGAATTTATCTTTCCCTGTAGATTAGAGCAATAACTGAAGAAACAGGAACTGTCATACAGATGCATCGTTGCTGGAAGAGTGCCACAGATGTGCTTGATACTTTAGAAGAACAAAGACCACCCAACTGCCAGCCTAGGAACGGTAAGTAAACCTAAATCAAATTAAATGAAAACATATAAATTATAGGTTCGCAATAAAATTGTAAACTAGGAACATTATATTTTATGGTGTGCAAAGAACACTATTAAGAAAATATTACACAGTGTTAGGACTGCATTGAATTAGACTGAGACTGAAGTTGAATTGACCACAGGCAGGAAGAGTTTCCACTGGTTCTAGATTTACGCTATTTATTCAGCATTTTTGGAACATACAGAAATTCCTAAATACAGGCTTAATTTTGAAGTTGATTTTCTGTCAATTCCTAACTTTAGCAAAAGGCTGGTTAGTTTGGGGATGTGTTATTTGAAGAGTGGGGCTGAGATGTGATTTAATTGAGAAGTCGGCAGGGGGGTGGGGGCAGGGGTCATATTATTATTATTATAGTTGCATAATTGCAGACCATCTTTCACAACCCTCCACCAGCAGACACACAAACATAATCCACAAGACAGAAAAAAAACATTCTTGGACTAAAATGATTCCTGAATATGATTGCTGTGAATCTAATCAAGATCTTGTTCATAATTTGTTATATTAAAAGGTACTTTGGGAGTACGCACAAATATTTTGATACTATCTTGAGGAAAAACACTAGTTGTTTCTTTAAGGCTTGTTAGAATTTTCTGAGGCTCTCTCTCTGCCTTTTGATGCTATTTACATACAAGATGAATTCAGTTTTTGAACCAGTAGAGGGCATCCAGTTCTAAGTTACATCATAGTCTTCAAGCACTGTAAACTTGCACTGTTTTTGGGCTTCCATCAAAAGATATTAGTCAAAAAACTCAAGCAGTCAAAAAACAAAGACCAAAAACCCTCCAAATCCCTCCAAAAACCCAAAACAATGATAAATTGGTCATTTTCAATCTACGACTGTTTGTGGGACATTGCTGTGCGCAATTGGCTGCCGTGTTCGCCCACAAATATACAGTCAATTCACTTTACAGTGTTTTCTGTGAAGCGCTTTGGGACGTCCTCCCGACGTGAAAAGCGCTATATCAAATGCAAGGATTATTATTATTATTATTAAAGAGGAGTTTAGACACAGCTTAAGAGCTGTAGTGTTCGCTGACTACCTTGAAGGTGGGCAGAAACAAATCAACGGTACAGGTAATCAGCGATTGCTACAGTTGCCAGGAAGAGTGGTCATACCTGCCAACCTTGCAGAAGGAAAAGAACAGTTCAATGTTCAGCAAAAAAGCTGTAGATTTGTTTAAAGAGCATTAGACTTTTAGCTGAGCCCATTGCAGTCATCAGACACCACATAACATCCCTCCTATCAGGGCTTTCCGACTTATTTCCTTGAGCATGATGGTACAAATTGAAGCACTTCTGTGTCAGGTGGAAATTTTCTTAGGCAAGGGGGTGGAGTAAAACTTAAGAGCTAAAACTTTAATGTGCAGTTTGAATAGGTAATTGTATCTATTCAAGCTGTACATTAAACCAAGGAACTTTTAACCTCCAGGTTGACATTAGACACCAGAACTGCAATTTGAATGAAATTGATTTGCGTTTCATTCAAATCATGATTCTCTCCCTGGAGCCTGTTAAGTTTTGCCCTTAGACCCTCAGCTCCTTGGGACATCCTCCCGATGTGAAAGGCGCTATACAAATGTAATCTTCTTGTTGTTGGTTATAAATGGGCCTAAAAATCCGTAGTCTATGGGGAAAACCCATAATGTTGGCCGGTATGAATGGTTGAGGCCAGGACACTAGACTCATTTTAAATAAACACTTGATGCTGTGCTGGGTAGACAGTAGGTGGATATCCTGCAAGCATGAGATCAAATGGCCCAAAGGGTCTTCTTCTTCCAGACCAATTTTATGATCTTGTGAAACAAAACACTTCCTTTGATGGCTGGGGAATCAAATGAGTCATCACCCTGGTGTGTGATATTAGCTGATCTCAGTTGTGATAGCAGTTGAGCTGTTTTGTTCATGGACTAGCAAGTGTAAATATCAGACAAGAGTTTCCACAGTCAGGTGATCCTCTTAAAACATATAGTCAATGAGGGAAGATAAGGGTCTTATTTGCTCTCCATCTGTTCATTTTCCTGCCAAAGCTTTCTGCAGACAGTGTCAGACAGACTTCCCTGTAGACACTGCCTAGATTCATGCATACATACAGCAAACTATACCTCATCATGACTCACTGCCTTTAGAAGAGGAGGGTAGAAGCTTTGGGTGTTGGAAGAGAGGAAAAGCAAACACAATTTGATAAAATATTGTTTATTGACAAAAATAATATTTTATATCAAAACTGCGTATTCAAGGATTCAAGTAACACAGTAATATTCATGATTGTGTAGTTTAGCTGTATAAAACATGGGTAAGAAAAATTCTCTTATTTCAAATGAAGAGAAAATTCCACCAAATGTATGTTAGAAAAGGCCACTGCAAGTTCATACAAATATATTAAATGGCTTATTTATATAGACACAAAATATGTTAATTAATACATGACAAAAGTAATTATTTAAAAGCTGGCTAATTTCATTTTTACCAGTCTACCTTAACAAAGTAATCTAATCCTTTGTGATATTTAATGGTAAAGGTAACATTTGTTTTGAGAAGCTTCAACTAGTTTTTACCATTGCTCTTTTAGTTCTGTGACATTACCAAAACTATAATACATTTTAGAATGCTGCAGCTCCACTGTAAAGATGACACCAAATCAATGCCGCGTTTGCATTGACTCAAGGCAAACTTTGAAGTACTGTACAATCTTTGTTTCAGAGGCAGCCTCAAATCATTCCAGCTTCCATTAGCTGGAGTATTCCAGATAAATTGCCTGTATACCCAGTGTGCCCCTGTTACTGGAGCTCTGTACATGCGCTTGAGTGCAAGCACAGAAGTCTACTTTACTCTTTCCAAGCCTAGAGTCAGAACTAATTTGAGCCAGCAGTCGGAGTTCAGTCTCTGGCTCACATTTTTCTACTACAATGTTGACTTGATGTCTGTAACATAACTGTCTAGTCTCCAGACCAAATTGTTTACTATCTGGTTCCCAATGCACATAAGGTATCTCAGGTTAGTTTGGTAGCAGCCAGAGCCCTGGTGGATAGATTTTGAGTATTCTGATGTGGATTTGATTCAGCATAATTCCACAAAGGTTATTTTAAACAGGAAGAAAATCAAGAGTTGGGCAGTCATTGGTTACATTGATACTTTAAGAATATGAGCAATTGAAAACAGAAATGGAATGTTCAGTCTGTATAAAACTATCCTCAATATGGTGAAGATATAATGGCCACACTGAAGTTACTGTGATCTCATTTTAAATAAATGGTTTAAATCATTGTTATTGTTGGAGCAGAGGAATTTAAGGTGATTATATTCATCATTATTCATAAATTAAATGTGCAGAAAAAACTAAACATTTAATCATTGTAAACATCTGCTATCAAATGACTATTAAAAATAATTCGTGAATAATGAATTATCAATGTCACCATCGAGACTTCATTTTAAAAACTAAACCGTTACGGAGAATTATCATCCACTTTAACGGTGGAGTAGATTTCACTGAATAGCCCTTTATCAGTGCTAGTTTATAATACCAATAACAACAAAATTACATTTGTACATTTATAAGGAGAGATGTTTGTACCCTTACAAATATGTCTCATTTGCCCCTTACATTAAACTACGAGTCTGACTGAGTTAGGGAACAAGCCTTTTGTACAGAATTCCTCCTATGCAGTGTCATGAAGACGCGTCTCAGTGCGTCATGTTCTTGTCTGTCTCTTCCCATACTACATGTAACCATTATTTCCAAAGAATAGAATGTTTATAGTACAGAATTAGTTGGCCCAACATGTCTGTGTTATAAAGAAAGGGAAAACAGAATGAATAGTACTAGCACACACAATGGCGATTGACTACTTTAAAGAAGAACTGGATAAATATCTGATTGAGAATGGGATTGAACGCTATAGGGACAGTTATAGACATATGTAAACAAACACTCACTAATTAATGATGCTAGCACGAGGGTAAGAGCAAAATGTTCCATGTGTGGAAAGATCAGGCTTGTTGTGCAGAATGGTCCTTTCTCATTCCGCATTTTCTTATATTCCTTTGTTGATGTCAATGATAGTTCTTTGAAGCTGATTGACAGGGTAACTGTGGTAAGTGGTGTGGCGGTGCAGCATTTTGGGACATGGCTGCATATTGGCAGAGGGTAGTGAGACTCAAGATCAGTCCCCAGTGTCAATTGGACTGTGCAGACCGAGTGCTGAGTGGATGTCTGTCGCCTCCCAGCACCATGGCGGAAAATCAGTCTTCCTGACCATAAAAAATGTATGGTCTGGGGTATTTTCAAAGCAAAAATGGGCAAAGGAGGTTACATACTCTTACAAAATCCTATAAACCCGTAGAAAGGGTCCTGATAGTGATACTTTCCTTTTAGCCATTTCCAGCATAAATGGTCCTTTGAAAACATCCAGGAGGGAAAGGGTTAAGTGAACTGCTTTTAAAATCCATCATTTGGTTAATTTCAGTCATCTTGAGGTAATACTGCATTCATTCTAAAACTGAATCCCTGTTAAAAAGAAAAAACAAACAATGGCTCACTGTGGATTTAGAGAAGCACACTTTCACTTTTCCGTGTGTGCACTTACCAGCCCGGGCAGTGTTACAGAAGTTAAAGAAGGCTTGCCAGAATTTAGAAACAAAATGTTTATTAAATGATTGATTTAAGTCATTCAGGAGGAAACGACAAGTTCATGATGTTCCTTTCACGTTTTGAGAGACCCTAGCCTTTCAAGTGTGAGTTATGCTGGTTTCTCAGACACATTCGGGGCCCTATATCACGATTCATGATCAAATTATTTATTAATTCCACAATTGATTTATTGTTACTGTTAGATCGATTTTAGAAATGAAGTAGACAAATGTAAAAATATGTACTTTTCTTCAGAATAGCCTTACTATGAGCTCCACAAGAGTACTGTTGGCGATCTAATTTAATTAAAGGTAATTAGCATCAAAAGCTAAGTCTATCAGGTGCTGGACTACAAGTCCATTCAAGGCCAGTACCAGAGTCTTCCAGCAACAAACAATATTTGTTTAGCGCCTTTCACGTCAGGAGGACATCCCAAGGCGCTGGAGGGTCAGGGATTTGCACCCGAGCCGGGGGTTGGGATTGGTGGGGGAGGGATGGGTGGTCGATGGCAGGGAGAGTAGGGGTAGGAGGATGGCCAAATACATAGTTGAAGTGGAGGGTCCAGTCCAACTACCTAAGTTAAATCCCCCATCTGTTGTGCGTTTTAGTAGATATTCTGATATGCCTAAACTTTAAGATCTAGCAGTGCCATTAAGCAATCACGTGTAAATCTATAGACTATAATATTTTGTAATTTATCCTTTCTGTAGGCAGCCCTTCTCTTCTATCAAGCAAATTTAATTATCCAAGGCAATGAAGAACATCTGCAGTGTTCCTTGATGCAATATATTCTGTGAAGCCATTTCAGACGTCTCGAAGACTTGATAAGGTGCTATAACAAATTCAAGAATTATTATTATAATATAAGGGCTCTGAGACACTCTCCTTTCTGTTAAGGGAGCTACGTGAATGTTAATTTTATTGTATTATAATCTGCACCCAGAGAGGCCGAACAGGCAAAAGGCTCCGATGTTGTCCTTGTTAAGTTGATGGTGAGGGTAGTGGGGAGGGGAAGAGCCAGCTGCACACTGACTTCAAGGATGTAATTGAAGGATTGTACAGAATATATTGTAAAGTGAAGGGACTGTGTATTCTTTGGGCCATCACTTGGATGCATCAAGGAACACTGCAGGGTGAAACCTTGGGCAAGTTTTCTTACTCCACACGCCTGATAATATTTCCTCAAAAGAAAACAATAATTGATCATTTCAATCCACGACTGTTTGTAGGGCACAGCTGTGTGCAATTGGCTGCCGCATTTCGCTCACAAATATACAGTCAATTCACTTTACAGTCTATTCTGTGAAGCGCTTTGAGACGTCTAGAAGACGTGAAAAGCGCTATACCAAATGCAAGGATTAAATTAAGGATATTGCTTCACTGGAGATTTTACTGACAGTTCTAGGCAATAATTTATCTCTGTGAATTTAATACAACTGTGCAGGTTTCATACCATAGACTTGGTCATGTAGCTTCTTGTGAGCCTTTACTTTATTGTAAGCTTTTCTGGACTGCAGCACTACTATAAAGTTTAAATCAAAGAAGAAACAAAATGGATACTGTATTTCATACTCTTCCAAATGTTTACATCAACAGAGGGAGAATTTGGCAGTAATTTAGAGAATCATTCCAGTCCTGTGATAAGTATTTGTGTTTTCACTTTGCTTTGCTTTGTATAACATCCTTAGATGTTATACATTTTATTTCTGAGGAGTTTTCTTTTAAAATAACAAGATTCTTTCCCCATTGCCGAGGAAAGAAGGGAATGTCATTGAGCAACACGCTAGTGGTTTTACAACAGCAAATGATTTTGCTTTAATGCATTTAGGCTATTGTGGTCTGTCTTCAGCGAAGGAAGACAGAGAGGTTTTACCAAAACTGCTTCCAAGTGACCATGTTTAAATTTCTCATGTTAAATCCCTGCTTTTGCTTAATTTAAATTCCACTTATTCCTGGTAGCTAAGTGAGACACAAATAGCCCAGTCACATCAATTACTTTTGACTCCGCATTTAGTTGCATGCAACAGAATCAGAGCCATGGCTATTGGATAGAATCATGTTTGGCTATAAAATGTAATGAGGACCATGTTTCCAAGTTAAATTGAAGTAAATTGTAATATTCGTCATCACAGTTCTTACTATTTCAGAGCTGTCTATGCAAACCAGTCCGTCACCTTGGCAGGTCAGAGAGTCCTGGAATCTCCAATCAGATTATGCTATAATTCTTGGCCTTAGTTCTGCACCACTCCTGCCAGCTATTAATTTTGTTACTTTACATCGCTTATCATATCCTAATCAGAATTCAAGTACTTTCTACTTTTAGTTAACAACATTTAAGCTACTTCATTCTGGTTTCTGTAAAATTCACGTGATGGCTATTGATTTTTATTTCTTTACATTCAGCAATGTAAACATGTGAAAGTTCACAGTTAAACATTAAGCAAAAGTATCGCTGTAAAAGAGGGAGGGTGTATTTTCCAATACAAGCTACTTCCTCCCTTTAGATCTCCAACATAAGTTCTCTTTTTTTATTTCTGGCTGCTGAAGTCCTTAAGTCTCTTTCACCCATACACTATTGTACTGTTCTTATTTAATGTCAAGCTATTGACCTGATGTACTGTATTTCCTCAGGGCAACTAGTCTTATTTGTCACCAGTAACATCTTTGCTGTTAAGACTAAGCTTATGTTCTGATGCACAGATAATTGTTTATTCCTATCTAAACCATCATTCACAATCTTTTTTTGATACTGTGCCTTTATAACAGTGGAATGTAAAATGCCGCCACACCTATTTTACATAAAGAGTTGCAAGATATTTGAAATAAAGATTGTTGTGTGTTTTTTAAAGAAACTTGAAAGGCAACCAAGATTATTTAGCACTTTTGCCTTTGGATACTTAAGACAAATTCTTACCTGAAACTCTCTGATGTATGTTAAAAAGAAGAAGTTAAAACTAAGGGCAACGATCCACTCAAACACTGCACTTGCTGTACGGAAATTGTGTATCTGCAAGCGAAGTAATGAAGAAAAAAACAGTTCAATTTTGGTTTGAAATTTTACTTCTAATTCTACATAATTAACATAATTTGCTACAAATATGCAGTGAATACACTTAACAGTAAATCCTGTTAAGCATTTTGAGGTGGTTTTGACATTATCATTTTGCAAAGATTTATCCTCGTGCCCCTACAGTCACATGCGGGTTTCCTCAGGGCATTATATTCAGGACTCTCCTTTTCACTGTCTATATGCTTCTACTTGATGACTATATATCCATTGGCATGAGATCCAGTTTCACACCCATGTGGATAACACCCAATTCTATCTCTCTGCCTCTGAAGTCAATTCCAGGACCAATGCTGTTTTGACCAATTGCTTGTCAGCCATTAAGTGCACGATGAACCCTTTCTTAAGCTAAATGTCAAGAAGTCCATGACCTTTCCACCAGTCTTTCTCAGGTGCTGGCCACATCAACCTGCATGGAGAAGGTTTTCTTTTTTTTTTAAGAAAATTGAGTATCGTAGGGTTGTGGGGATTGAAGCAATAACACTACCCACTTTGGGCACCAAGGTATAGTTTGGCCCAATAGTTATTTCAACCATATCATGTTGAAACAAACAATGGAATATTTCAATCAACTCTTTAATAGGGACCTATCACCTAATAATCTTCACCATGCACAGTGGGATTACTAAGATTGATTACTAAGCCATGCACTTGGCTTTCCTCTCTGTCCTATATGGAACCAGTGTTCACGGCCTTGCTCCCTCCTACCTCTCCGACCTACTATCCCCCTACTTACCTGCCCATACCCTCCGTTCCTCTGGCTCCGGTCTATTCCACATCCCCCGCCCCAACCGCCCTACCATCAGTGGCCGGGCCTTCAGCCCCAAGGCTCTGGAACTTCATCCCCCAGTGCCTTCGCCGCTTCCTCCCTTTCCTCCTTCAAGGCCGGTCTCAAGACCTTTCTCTTCGACCGTGCCTTCAGCTTCCCTCTCGACTCTCTACCCCCTCCTCGCTCCCTCCCTTCACTCCCCTCACCCTGACCATTTCCCCCCTGCTCGGATCCTGACCCAACTGTCCAGCGCCTTGGGACGTCCTCCCGATGTGAAAGGCGCTCTATAAATGGAATCTTGTTGTTGTTGTTATAATTCTGTGTGGTAAAACCAGAAACGTACCTTGGTTCCTTGCTTCATTGTTGCATTTGTTTTGTAGCTGAGCCCATATAACACAATCACTGAAGAAGGTAACAGTTAAGGAAAGTTGATAAATAAAAAAATTAAAAACATCACATTAATTTCCAAAATATTACAAAAGTAAAAGAAGTTTTTTTTTAAATTGGTCTTAGTAGCGATGTGGTGCACCATAACACCAATTACCTACCAAAATACCTGCTGTAAAAGCTCCATTCTGAGTGAAGGAATTAAAAGCAGGTCCCAATAAATGCCAAGATGCAGCTATGATATTCCATGCATTATAAACCACCCATACATGCACGGAATCAATCTTTTTGATGATGAAAGATAACCTCCTTAACAGTGATCGTGCAGATGAGCATGTGAATGCAGTGAAGGAATTGTCTTCCATGTCGAAGAGGACTTTTAATATTCAGCACAAATCTAAATGATAATAAATCCATTAAAAGATTTTTGTTAAGGATACTAGGGATAATGGATGCCACAGAAATGATGGACAGTGCCAATCTAAAGCAACACACCAGGCGACTGTGGCAATGTGGTCTCATTTTGCAGGTTATGACAGTCTGCAGCACTAGGTGGACGGTACCCATGATAAAGGACAGAAATGCTCCAATATCATGAATTATTCTCATGTCAGTTTCCTAAAGCAAGACAGAAATAGAAAATGTGCAGAAACCGTTAATTCAAATTACTTGTACAATATCAATTTCTTTAGTGAAACCCACATCAAAGTGGAAGTTGCCTCCATTGGAATTAAAATTTTATCTTCCAGCATGCAGCTCAGTGATCTCCGGGGGCAGAAAGGGAGCCCCTTAATAGCTAATCCAAATGGACATTCTTCAATGTGTGAATAACCTAAAAGGTGAATGGTAGTAGGCTATTTGGCAGTGGTGTGACAACGTAGTAGGGCCCAAACCTGTCTTCATATCCAGATACATATCAGTAAGAGTTATCAGATAGTAATCAGAACTATAAACTTCAGATGATATTCTCTCTCTATAGCCCAGGGATGATGAAGCCATTTATAGTCCGCCGACTCCTCTTTACCTAATAAACTAACGTGGAGCTCTTTGGGGGCTTTTCAAGACACCAGAATTAAGAAAAGGCTGCTCATATTATAATAATGAAGGTCAATGTTTCTTGGGCATTGTAGAATCATGTTGTGATGTTCAAACAAGCTGTAACAGCCTGTAATTTCCTTTGAGCTTGTTTAATTTTTGGTTGCATTATTGAAGGGAGTACCAGGTAGAAGCCAGTCGCTTTCTCGCAGAGAACAGATGGAACTGAAGGATGAATTATGCTGGCTCACTTTCCTGCATTGCTTATCTCTAGTTTTACTCTGCAATTAGTGGAACTTTTGGAGCATAGCAAGTGGCCTTGGGAAGAACAGAAGAGAGAGGAACAAAAAAAACAGCAAAGAAAAGAACCCCAATTTCATTCTAGTATAATTAACTTTTTTTTAAAGAAAGAATAATTTAAAAATGTATTTTATGATTGACATCAATGGCGTTTTCTCTTGTAAGGCTAACCGTAACTTCTGATTAGTCTCATCTGCGGAGCCTAATGTTGATGTTATACATTCTCCAATATTCCACTGTTCAAGTCAATACTGTACCTGGAAATTTGCTACAATGCACATTCCAATGCAGCCTATTATGCCAAACCCTAGGCCAGCGTTATTCAGCCTTGTAATGATTAAATTACTGTCTTTGTTTAAAGCCTTCAAAAACTTGAACCGAACATACATTGTGGCTGCACCTGGAAGGATTCAAAAATAAGTAAATACAAATAACGTTGAAAACATATTGCATTATATCATACGTCACCAAGTCCACGTTTTAACAACCATATTTATTATCTGTGCTTTAGGTTGAATAATTAGCCATACCGAATGCACTGTTAGCATCTGTTGTTTACAAGCCTGAATCAAGTTGTGTCAATACAGCTTAGAGTTCAGTGAATAAAATGTTTCTCAGCACAAGGCGATTCACATTTTAATAGGCAAAACAATTCAACAACAACAACAAATTACATTTGTATAGCACACTTCACGTTAGGACACGTTTAGACTGGTACAAATAATTATTTGGAATCCGCTTGATCATATGACATTCTCAATGGTGCACAAAGGTCAGTATTTTGAACTTAAATTAATGAATCATTAGAACAAATGAGGTTTTTCTGTCTGGCTGTTGACCGCAACTCTAAAGCTACACAAGATGCATTGAGTTCCTCAGTTCCTCTGGTAATGCTGATAGGCCAAATAGATAAACTTAAGCATTAACTACAGATATCCATAAAGAAGGAGTAAACCTGTTGCTGTGTGGCTTGGGTAGCTGAGTGAACTTTATGTATTAAAAATGTGTCACTTGTGGTCTTTTTCAGCACAACTTCTCTGACTGCTTCCCTCTACTCAGCAACCACAAGAATCAAATTTGTGAGAAACTGAACCGTGTTACAATTTTCATCAACTACACTCTAACATGCTAGAGATTAGTATTTTATTGGCTTATTCCGTCTTTCCTCCACCCTGACCCCCTTTATTTTGGAGGGCCTAGCCTTCCTAAAATCCACTCCAAACTAGCTGACGAGAGATGACCCGAGAGTGGACAAGATACAGCTGCTTGCTGATTCATCCAGTCACTCACTCCCCACTAACGTTCTTTCCTCCCCCTCACGGTTCTGAAACAAGTTCATTGACCTCCACTCAAACAGGTTACACAGTTCAAATGTGCATCAAGACCGAATTCTCATAAAAATCTTGAAACAGAACTCTGCCCTTCTAACCGTTCAATAAGAGGAAGTCATCCCTTCTGCTACTGAAAAGAAGTGAAAAGAAGTGCTCAAATTGTGCCTGATGATGAGTTAAAAGAGTGGCCTAATGATGAGTTTAACACCCTTCCCCCTCGCATCATGACTTATTTTATCATTACGTTGTGGAAGCTACAACCCACAACTCTGCAAGGTTGCAAAGCCATGTGTCATCACCTATCTCATCTAAGACAAATTAATATCAATAATATTAATTAATATTATCTAATATTAAGATTACAAATATTTCCACCATTCATTGGTTTCACCCACAAAATATACAGTCAATTCATTTTGTGAATACAGTACAGTCTGTGAAGCTCTCGAAGATGTGATAAGGCACTATATCAAATGCAAAAATTATTATTATTTTTCAAATATGTGGTTTATGCTATTCTCCTGGCATAAATAAACAAAACTCTACAACTTCATTAATTAAACTAACTAATTATTCATATTTTAACTATAATATTCAATACATTGTGATTGCATTTTTAAGCATATTTGTGGAAAAAAATATTTGCACAGAGCTATAAAGCCAATTTTCTCATATCCACATAGCTTCATGTATTTAATATTATGCTCCCATTATGTTATCTTGAAGTCAAGGCTATTATTATTTTTTGTGTGTGCACATTCAAACCAAAAGGACTTAACAACAATGACAAAATTACATTTATAGAGCGTCTTTCACGTTGGGAGGACGTCCCAAAACGCTGGAAGGAGTGTTCCATAAACGGAAATCAAAAGATAAATCCAACTTTCAAATGTATTCTTTGTACATTTCTGGCACTTTGGACACACTTCACAAAGGTGAACTAACTGTTGCTACAAGTGTTTGTTAAAGATCCCATGGCATGATTCAAAAAGAGAAGGTGTACTCCAGGTGTACTGGGAGTAATCTGCTCTGTGACCTGTGGTAATTCGATGGATGGAATGGCCTCCTTCACAAGATATACTGTAACATGTAGTTACTGTGTATTTTTAGGCAAACGTGGCAGTCAATATGTGTACAGCAATGTCCCACAAATATCTCTAAAATGAATGACCATTTTTATTTGGAGGATTACTCGCAGGAACACCAGGAGAAAATGTTATCTCTTTTTGAATCATACCATGGGATCTTTAACGTCCAGATGATCAAGTCAACGGGACTTCAGTTTAACATATGATCCAAATGACAATCCAAAAATGTAACACATCACATTGGATTGTCAGCCCAGACTACATATGTTCAGACTCTCTATGTTAAATAGATACAAGAAAAAGTACAGACTATATCAAAAAAATGACTTCAAATCAAACATTTTCCAACTGTATTCCCAAATTGTGGATTTCTTACTTACCCAGGAAAGCAGAGATGTTTATCATCAATCCAAAAACACATCTTTCTGGAATTCGCGTCCCTGTGTCACTACAAGAAGACATAACCAATCATCTCAGTGATTAAAACAACAACGCAAATATAACTCTACTGAATGAATAAGGTAATTCCAAAACATTAGTTTCATTGAGGGTTTCAAATGACGCCATTATCAATGTGGGTGAAGATGAAGTGATTTTTTGCCATAATCTGTTTTATAATATTCTTCCAGGTTTTAATACTTTCACAGGCTTTTGACGCTTTTTTACCACGGACCATTTTAACCACATCTCCCACACTGTCTGTCTTGCGTTCATGTTACTGAGAATTGTGGGTGAGATGCCAGGGTGTGAGTGGAATGCAGAAGATGTCTTGAGGCAATGTTAACTAGCCTGAAGCTTGGGCTTAATGAGTTTTAATTGCAATCCGCCTCTTTCTTTCTTGGCAATGGTATGGGAGGGGTCCTGAAACTTTGAAATAAAATATATTGAAGAGAAATTTTAAAAAATCTTTAGCTTTTGGAGTTTATTTTGGTACAAATTAAATGTCTTGAAATGTGTCTTGGCATTTGATGTTATTTCATGAGCAAAGGACTTACCACTACCAGACGTTGTGAGTTCCATCTATGGATAGAACCCAGTTTTTCTATGATGGAATAGCTGAGACCAGACTCACTTTGCGGGAGAAATTGAGCAAGACATTTTCTGCCACTTTATGGTAATCATAAAATTAGAATTAAACAGTTTTGAGGATCTTAAAAGGCCACATCCAAACCTTGCACTGCTTGTTAACATTAGCAAACCCTAAAAATTAACTATAATCTTACACTCACACACAGACAATTGTTATTGCGTAGAATTTATCAATAAATAACATTTTTTTTAAAAAATGCTTTCCATTATCATCATTTGCTCAGTTATAATAAGCGGAAGAGATGGTTACAGATAATAACCATCCTGTCCTGTGTGGAGTCCTGTAGCTCAGTGGTTAGAGCGCTCACTTCGCAAGCGAGAGACCTGGGTTCTGATTCCCGGCAGGGTGAAACCTTGGGCAAGTCTCCTTACTCCACATGCCCAATAATAATCCCTCAAGAAAATGAGCAATAATAAAATGGTCATTTCAATTCACCACTGTTTGTGGGACACTGCTGTGCCAATTGGCCACATATGTAAAGCAATATAGTGCAGTTTACCGAGAGAGTGATTTAATCATCATTCTCTCGGTAATATTTCTACTCTTTTGTTCATATGACTCCTGTGTGAATACACAGCAAAACAAGATAACATATGAAAATATTAATCATACAGAAAACATTTTATTGTGACCAGGACTTCAAGAAGTGTCTTATTTATGCTCTACAATTTAGGAAGCAATATATAATAATAATAATCCTTGCATTTGATATAGTGCTTTTCACATCTTCTAGACATCTCAAAGCGCTTCACAGAATAGACTGTAAAGTGAATTGACTATATTTGTGGGTGAAATGTGACAGCCAATTGCGCACAGCAGTGTCCCACAAACAGAAATTTATTATTGTTTTTTTTTGAGGGATTATTAACAGGCGTGTGGAGTAAGGAAACTTGCCCAAGGTTTCACCCTGCCATTATAGGATTAATGGAAGAGCAAAACACAGTACCTTTGCCCACAAAATATACAGTTAATTCACTTTACAGTACATTTTGTGGAGTGGTTTGAGATGTCTCAAAGCCCTGATAAGGTGCTATATATATCAAATGCAAAGATTATCATCATTATTATTACTTAAAAGGAAAATTTTGTACACTAGTATAGTGCGGTTTAACAAGGTTGTGAGATTTATGATCCTTCTCAGAAATAGGAACATCTTTAGGGAACAGATTGTATGGTGGGTTTTGCTGATGTTGCTTAATTTTTGATTTTGCTTGTGCAATATTGGATTTCTCTTCACAGTCTTTGTTCCACAAACATCATGAGTGAAAGATGACTTATCTTATCCCAAGGCCTCCCCAGCTCCCATGCTCCACAATGATAATGCTCCAACATGTTCCAAAATACCTCTCTCTCAGAACTTATGATCACCTCCCAATCGCTCAGCGTCCAAACCCGCCACCGTGTCGCACTACAGGACATGAATCTGCCTTGAAGCTCGTGATACAAACCAAATTTGTTGTTGTCAACTTGCCCTCCCATTTTCAAAGATTTGTGTTCATGAACTATCTCGTGCTCTCTGCTTTTCTACTTGAAACATTTTTTTTATGAAAAAAAAACACTTAGTTGGTTATTTTCTCTCCTTAATGTCCCAAAATCTGATTTCCAGGACCCACAAACAAATCCAGGATTGAACACTCTCTCTCTCTCTAGAAATGAGAATTGCAAAAGGCTAAACTTAAAAAAAAATAGTAGAAGCTGATCTGGGATCGTGATGCTGAGTGACTTTCACATCACAAATGTCACTTAATCACCTATTTCTCTCACCCTGAAGGTGATCAGTTGTATGAAGGGTCACTGCATTCAGTGAAAGAATACAGCCCTTGTGGGGTAGAGTTTTAACACATGGAGAAGCATGCGAATGTGTTGCACTATCAAAAGGCTTTAGAGGTGAACTCCTCCCACAGTGCAAACCAGTATTGCTCTCAGCTTTCGTTGCATTTATTTCCTGGAGGTCAAGTTTGAATGAGACAGAACATGCACAGGCTGGATTTCCAACTTGCACATCATTTATCATTTGCTATTCAAGATGCAAGATCATCGCTGCTGTCATGCTCAGTGAAATGGTTGCAAGCCAGTGATTTTCTTCTGTGGGTTGCGAGCAACTCAAAACTGTGTGCCGACGATCTCAAAGCACGTAAGGAAAGTGAAACTTAGGCAACTGTTACTAAAAAAAAAGTGAGTCACTGCACCCGCAGCTCGACTCAAGAGATTCCAGAGATTAAACAGGAAAATCTCAGCGCCTACAAAGGAACAAGTCCTGCAACACAGGTTTAGGGAGCAGCATTGTTATTATTAATATTATTAATATACCTTCAGTCCATAATTGTTGAGCTGCAAACTTACTGGGTGCCTCCCAATTTGCAATCAGACCTACAAGGCGCTATGCAAAGTGCCAGTCGTATGTGGTATATGGTTGCACATACACATCAATCATTAAAAAAAACACACACACTACACTACACACACACTACACACACACACATGCACTTACCTGATGAATGGCACCAGAGGTGCGACGTGATGAGTGAGGACAGCGATCAGGTAGGAAATGATGAAGGCAAAACAGGACCAAATGAACAAACCAACAGGGAGGTAGCAGGTCCCTACCAGGCACCACAGCATGGCTTGGCTTGGCTTGGCTGTGTGTGGGGGGGGGGGGAGATGGAGATGCAACCCCCCTTTTTGCTGCAGGGGTTTTTCGAGTGAGATTCTGTTTCCTTGGGTGAATCTGCAAACGGTCTGGAAACGTTGGATGACTTGACTCTCCGTCACGACGCTCAAGCCAATAAAACCCTTGAAATGATCTGTGCACTGGTCCTGCAGTCAGTCAGTCAGTCAGTCAGTGAGGGAGGGAGTGAGTTAATTAATGAATTAGTTGGTGAGTGAGTGAGCTATTGAACTGCTTTGCAGAGCTTTTGAGGCTATTTGGAAATGAGTTCTCACAATGCACCCAACTTCCTTGTTTTGAGCTCATGTGATGATCCAAAACCCTTTGCTGAACTTGTAATCCATCAGCACAACCAGCTGGTGTCTGTGACACGTCCAAGTACAGGAATCATATTCCCTTTCCTCCCCACCCCCCCCCCCCCCACCCCCCCCCACCCCTTTTCTCCAAAACAGCAAGATGTACTTTTACGAAAGTGTTTTCGTGGCAGTTTCAGTTTTATCGGAAAAGCGGAATTGCAAAGTCAAAGCGTACCGTGTGACTCAAGATTTGCAGGGATTTCATTTGCAAGTTTTTTTTTAAAAAGAATATATATATGATCAGAGCGATTAAATGGGAGAATAACACATGCGAGTGTCAGTGACTGCCAGGTGGCAGGCACACACACACACAGGGAATGTGGCTAACATCAAACAGAAGTAATTGCAGGTGACTTCAGAGGGATGGATTGTAAGAGGTGGGAAGTGAAAGTTATTGCAGGTGCAGTAAATGTGAGGAGATACGTTTTGGGACGTTAAGGAGAGAAAACAAACAGCGAGGTGTCCAAGGCTTTTATTAAGATGAGGTGGAAGAGCAGAGAGCACCTGAGGCAGCTCATTGCACACAACTCCTTGAAAATGGGAGGGCAAAAGTAAACAGCAATAACTTTCGTTTATATCACACGCGTCAGGGCAGGATCATGTCCTGTGTGGAGGATAGTGGCAGGACTGGCCACCCAGCAAAGGGATGAGGAGGTGATCATATAATAAGCTGTGATAGATAGAGGTAGGGGACATGCAGCAAGTCCGTCTGAGCTGAGCGAAGGGATGGGTAGAGGAATTGGGTACCAGAAACGTAGGGAGGTGCTCGGGCATGAATGGATGAAGAAAATATGAAATAAAAGTCCTGTAGCTCAGTGGTTAGAGCACTCGCTTTGCAAGCGAGAGACCCGAGTTCAATTCCAGGCAGGTCAGGGCGAAACCTTGGGCAAGTTTCCTTACTCCACACAGAGCCTAATAATAATCCCTCCAAAAAACCCCAAACAATAATAAATTGGTCATTTTCAATCTACGACTGTTTGTGGGACATTGCTGTGCACAATTGGCTGCCGCGTTCGCCCACAAATATACAGTCAATTCACTTTACAGTGTGTTCTGTGAAGCGCTTTGGGATGTCCTCCCGACGTGAAAAGCGCTATATCAAATGCAAGGATTATTATAAAAGCAGATAGGTACTGTTAAATCTTCTGCAAAGGGAAATTGTATTAATCTGAACCACCTGTTGTTCTGATAGAGCCAGTGGCTATCTGTGCTGCAGCTTGAAGTACAGACAATTCTGCTTCATACATATTCATTCAAGTGTAGATGTGCATATTCTAAATAAAAAAACATTGTTTAAATAAGAAAATGAATATTCTTATTATTTGAATGCGTAAAGTTTTTTTTTAAAAAAGTGACGTAAAACAATTCTTTAAAGTTTTCGCAAACTGTAATTTTGGAATGGACTTTTTTCCTTTCAGTTTGGGGTGTTAGTAATTTACTCTTATCAATTTACCCCCATCACACAAGGTTTGTCCTCCTCGAAATACACTCAATAAATGACCACTTTGAGGACTCTGGTTCAGATGTCCTTGGATTATCTTTTGTTTTGAGAAAGCACCTGTTTTTCTACACTCCTGAGGGAGGGCCAGGCTGAGGTCTATGGGAAATAATGGGTCCGTACTGTGTGACAGTGAATAGTTTGTCAGTGCAATATGTTACCAGAAAACATGCAAAGTATATTTCGCTTTTCAGTTAACAATAAAACAAAAATGTTTCACAACAAAAACAATGTTTCCATTTCTCCACTTTAGTTATCTTAGGAGAGTATCTATTTTACGTAAAACTGTTTCATTGTCAGCTGTAAAGCATAATATTTTCTGGTAACATATTACACTGATAAACTATTCATTTCACATACAATGCCTTTCATATCAGGATATCGCAAGGTGTTTAACAGTCATGTCTGGGCACCCTCGCTGGGGTGGGAGCTGAGGCGGTTGGGGAGGGGGATAATGACTGAAAGTGATTTTGACTGAAAATGACTCAAAGAGATATGTCTTGAGACGGATCCCGAACGAGGTGAAGGTGGGAGCAAGTCGCAGGGTAAATAGAGAAAGATTAAATCTGAATGATTAGCACCCTACCCCCGCCCATATACACACACACTTTGGTGGTTGACTGTTGGTACACTTGTAGAGTTTGTAGGTATCGCAAACATTATTTAAGATCAATTTATCTACAATTAATTGTTTTTGAGGGGGCAGATTATTGGCCTCCTTGTGACTTGTAGTCGCTCCCAATGTTAGCAATGTTGTAGCTAAAATAAATTAATATTCTTGTCCTCTGTTGTATCCTTTCCAAATTCCAAATTCCAGATGTTGAGTCCTGTAGCTCAGTGATTAGAGCACTCGCTTTGCAAGTGAGAGACCTGAGTTCAATTCCAGGCAGAGGGCGAAACCTCGGGCAAGTTTCCTTACTCCACACAGAGCCTAATAATAATCCTCCAAAACAAAAACAATAATAAATTGGTCATTTTCAATCTACGACTGTTTGTGGGACATTGCTGTGCGCAATTGGCTGCCGCGTTCGCCCACAAATATACAGTCAATTCACTTTACAGTGTGTTCTGTGAAGCGCTTTGGGACGTCCTCCCGACGTGAAAAGCGCTATATCAAATGCAAGGATTATTATTATTTATTATTATGTCCCTCCTGTATTGCAGTGAGCAACACTGTACGGTTGATCTCCAGGACGCTGCCCGGCGTGAAGGCCGCTATATTGTTACGGTCGCCCATTTGCTTTTTATGCCTGTGTTGTTTAGAATATTTTTGGTAAAAGCTTATGTGTGCACCAAACGCATTAGGCAGTCTGAGTAGCCCTTTAAATACATCCTTTATGTATTTAAAGCTGTTTGTGATGCTTCCTGTGCCATCACGTTTGACGAGTGTTGATTCCAACAATTTGACGGGGTAGCTGACTATCTACAGCTTGCATAAGTGTATAAGTGGAAGGTGCATTTAAAGGATGATTTTGATTGGACCATAAAAAAAAAGCACCAACTGCATCAAGTAATTGATGGCTCCAAAACCCCTCGATTGTCCAGCGCCCTGGGACGTCTTTCCGACGCGAAGGGGCGCGGTGCAAATGTAAGTTGCTGTTGTTTTGTTGTTGTTGTTGTTGCAGCAGTGCATGTCATCGTAGAAGGACTCATTAGTCAAGTTACACCCAGTCACAGGGCCTTGGCTTGATCAGCGGAGGACTTAACGCAGAGGCCAGCCAGCACGCTCTGCGGAGGGGGAGCGAGCCGTGTGGCGGGCGTGCACATAGGGGTGCGGAACCGTCTCGGTGTAAATTGTTGTCGTGGGCGGCGGCGGAGGCGGCGGGGGCCGCAGTTCCCCGGGATGGAGGTCAACATCGAACGCCCACAGATATACAGTCAATTCGCTTCACACTGTGTCCTGTGAAGCGCTTTGGGGCGTCCTCCCGACGTGAACAGCGCTACATCAAATGCGAGGATTATTATTGTTGTCACGTTGCAAGACGGCAATCAATTTCTGGGAAAATCATCATCGTCGTCCTGAATCCTCTTCGCTAAGATCCAACTAATTGTCCCGAGTCACTCATTTTAAACCTAATCAGCTGCTGTGTGAGTGAGTGAGTGAGTGGTTTAAAGTCTTGTGTGTGTGTGTGTGTGTGTGTGTATTTGTTTGAGGGGCGGGGTCTATTTTTGCCACACTCAAGATGGCCGCTGGAAGGTGCCGTCGCGCAACTTCCGATGGTGGCTCGGCTCGGGCCGGCGCGTGCGCGTGGCGCGTGACGCGTTGCGCGTGGGGCGGAGCGAAGCAGGAAACCAGCGCCGCCGCCCAATGGGTTCCGGCGGGTGGTAAGGTGGGGGGGGAAGAGAACGCGCACGGTCACGCGATCTTTACCACACGGAGCGAGAGAGGAGCTCGAGCGGCGCCGGCCCAGGTGAGCGAGTGACGTTGGTTGGAATGTCCGTGGGTGTTTGAACGTGGTCGCGCGCCAGGGGTGGCGGTTGGGCGGCGGAACCCTCCCCCTCCCCCCCCCTCCGCCTCCGCTCCCGGCGGGTGCAGCGGCGCGAGAGCGGCTCGACACCCGCGGGGATCGTTCCTGTCACATATATGAGAGGAGCGGCTCAGCTCAGCCCCGAAAGTGATGCTGTGGTATTTTTTTAAAACACACACTCACACTCACTCACTCACACACACACACACTCACTCACACGCACCGGCGATGAACCGTTGACCTGAAAAATGTAGATGAGATGTTTTTTTTAAAAAAAACTACCTTAACCGGAGCTGCTGCTGCGGCGGCGGTGGTGGTGGAGGAGGAGGAGGAGGAGGAGTGGAGGGCAGGTTTGGGGTTTGCCTCAAGTTTAGGTTAGAGGAGGGGAATCGGGTCTGTTATTGAAGACAGTTCCGCCAATACACCCCTTGATTTTTGGCCTCACTGTGAAACGTGCAAGTGTTTTACTTTCACCCCCAGAGAACCATTGATCCAATCCCCTCTCTTTGTGTGTGTGTGTGTGTGTGTGTATATATATATATGTGTAGTCTGACTGACTGACTTTGCTCCTCAAAGTGTCATTGATGCGGGTTTGGTTTCAGGAAGCTCAGACCATTCTTTCAACATTGAGGAGGAATAATCCTCGCGGGCCGTACCGTTGCCTCGTCAGAGGCCACCGAGACGCCTCCAGGGTGCGCACCGCCAAGCGCTTCGACTGCGCGTCTTAACGGGTATAACGCGGAGGCCGATTTTGCGCGCCGCGGAAACGTCCCGCAAACAGCCAACGGCTATTTGTGCCGTCCTTCAGAAGCTGCTGGTGATGCTGCCCGGCCGCTCCTCGACCCCCCCCACCCCTGAAGACGGTGCCGGTCCTCAAACAGAAACGGTCTAGGTTTCCTTTCGCTGTTTTTAAAAAAAAAATGATTTGGGGTTGATGGGGGGGTCGGGGGGTGCGGATGTGCATGATTGCTGGGTGGTGTTACATTTTTAGAGACTGAATCCTGTGTGGACTGATGGGAGGGGAATTTTCCCCCGTCTGGCGTCCACGAGCATTATATATCGCACAACCCAGTTCTCGGGAAATTCACAATCTCGCCAGGCGACAGGGAGAACTAGAACTTCAGACTGGCGATCTGTGCGTTGCTCTTAAATTGGCAAAGATTTTGTTTAATTGTGCTCTTAATCTAACCAGGGAATGCTTCAAGCTGATAGTGGTTGTCAGATACATTTACATTCTTACATTTCGTTTTACATCTGTGTGTTAGATCCTGTTTTTCGCTACTTGTTTGACTTGGCACACCTGTTCTTGTCGAGAACTGCATGTATATTTAACTAATTTTATGTATGTGACGCATTGTACTCCAGCATTAAACATGGATATGTGACAGCAACCTTATTAAGGTTGTTCATGTGTCAGGCATCAGCTTGGCTCAGGTTGGTAACGCATCTCGGTTCGTAGTCAGAAAGACGGTCTTGGGTTCAAGCTCACATTGGGATAGTCTAGGATGATAGCCCAGTGTCTTGTTTGGGAAGTGTTACATTGTTGGAGCTATCGTCTTTAAGATGCGATGTTAAACCAAGATCCTATCTTCCATCGCAGGTGAACGTTAACGATCCATGGAATTATTATAATAATAACAATCTTTGCTTTTGATATAGTGTCTTGTCACGTCGTTGAGACGTCTCAAAGCACTTCACAGGATGTACTATAAAGTGGATTCACTGTGTATTTTGTGGGCGAAACACGACAGCCAGTTTCGCACAGCAGTGTCTCACAAAAGGCCATGATTATTCAAATAATGAAGGGAGTTCAGAAGCAAACCTTATGCAAATGGGCCAGTACACTTGTTTAAGTTGTAACTAGAAGGATACATTTGGAAAACATGTGTTCCTGACCACATTTTGTGTGCTTTTCTTTACAGTGATTGTGGCTTTGCTGTCGATGGGTTTGTGAATGTGCAGAGCCCTCGGGTGTGTGTGGCAGGGAGTATGTCAGGCTGGCCATGGTCCTCAATTCGCTGCTGAAGTTGGTTCAGAGGCAGATCTATACTTGTCTGTCACATCGATATGGCCTTTACCTCTGCTTTGGAGGAATTGTGCTTATGATTGTATCTGCCTTTCAATTTGGAGAGGTGAGTAATTTGGTTAGATGATCTGCCAAGTTTATTTTATTTTTTAATGTAGATTTTCATGCAAAATGTACTGTTTGAATACATAACACAGGAATATATTCTGTTCAAAATACTCTTAGTAGGTGAAACGTTCTTCCTTTCTTCCATAATCCTGAGATGAAACGTGTTGAATTGTGTGAGACCTTGCTGACATAAATATTTATAAAAATCACAAAGTCAAATAAAGATAACTGTTCCTGAAATAACCAGTTGAAACCCTAGCAGTCTTAAGTTACCTGCTGCAGAGTTTGCACATAAATCCTGTGATGCTTCAATCATGTAATCTGTCGCACTCTTACTGCAGAACAATATTGCAGGAAGGCAACAATACATCAGATATTCCATACTCCTAATATCTCTTCTCAATTATATATATTTAATAAGCAATATACATTGCTCATGACATACTTTTCTCAAGTATATGAGAAATTCACTTTTTTCTTTTTCAAACTTGTGTGAAAATGTCAGTGTGTGGTCTGGGCACTTGCCCTCATAATCCATTTTCTCACTCTTAATGAGCTTTTTAGTTTTCTTTTGTTGATCCCTAAAACACTCCCAGTCCTCAGGTTTGCTACTCTTTTTGGCAGTTTTATAGGCTTTTTAGTTTTATACTTTCTCTAACTGCTCTAGTTAGCCACGGATGAACTGCTTTCCCTGTGGTACTCTTATTCCTCAAGGGAATATGTGACCGCTGAGAATTATGCACTACATCTTTAAATGTTTCCTATTCTTAGTCTAATGTCATATCCATTAATCTAATTTCCCTATCTATTTTAGCTAATTCTTCCCTCATACCTGCAAAGTTAGTTTTATTTAAATTTAAAACCCTTGCTTCGGATTTGACTACATTGCTCTCTAACTTAATACTAAATTCTATCATGTTATGATCACTCTGTCCGAGAGGAGCCTTAGTATCTATATTACCGACTAGCCCTGTTTTGTTATACAAAACAAGGTCTGGAATGGGTCTGTCCCCTAGTTGGTTCCTCAGCATACTGCTCCAGAAAGCTATCTCTCATATATCCTATAAACTCCTCCTCTACCCTACTTTTGCCGATTTGGTTTTCCCAATCTATGTGAAGATTGAAATCACCCACTATTACTGTATTACCTTTGCTACATGTTCCTCTAATTTCTTGATTAATACCCTGCGCTATGCTGTGATCACTGTTTGATCTATAAACTACTCCCAGTAATGTTTTCTGCCCATACCGTCTCTACATCCTGGTTATCTGATTTGAAATCCTTCCTCTCTACTGTTTTTATTCCATCCTTTATTAACAAGGCTACCCCCCAGCTCGTTTTCCACATTGTCTATCCTTCCTATAAGCTGAAAACCCTGGAATATTTAACTCCCACCCTAGATCTCCCTGTAACCATGTCTCAATAATGGCTACCAGATCATACCTGTTTGTATCTATCTGTGCCTTTAATTCACGAATTAATGCCTTATTCCGAATGCTTCGTGCGTTCAGATATAGCGATTTTAATTTCTTACCATTTCCCCAACTCTCTGCTGCCCTATCTTCTTTACTGAGCTTCTTACCCCTCTTTGACCTATTCTGTTTATCTCTCTCGCTATTCTGTTCTGCCACCTTTAGTTTTCTTAATATTGCTGGCTTGCGATTATTTCTAATCGTATCCCCCCCCTTTACGAGTTTAAAGCTTTATTTACCTCCCTTTGTATTCGGTTTGCTAGGACATTTATCCCAGCCCGATTTAAGTGGAGCCCATCTTTTTGAAATAGACCCCTTTACCCCAATACTGGTGCCTGTGGCCCATAAAATGAAACCCCTGCGTTCCGCACATCTCCCTCAGCCATGCATTTAACTCTCTAATTTGCACATGTCAAAGGCAGCAATCCTGATATCACCACCTTTGATGTTCTTTGTTTTAATTTAATTCCCAGCTCCTTGAACTCCCTCCTCAAATCATTACAACCAACCCTATCTATGTCATTGGTACCTATGTGAAGTACCACCAATGGTTCCTCGCCCTCATGTTTTAGATTCTCCTCCAGCCCCGCCGAGACGTCCTTCCTTCCAGCCCCAGGAAGACAGCAGAGCCTTCGGGTCTCTTGATTGCAGCTGCAGATAAGTGTATCTGTCCGCCTGATCGTCTCGTCCCCAATTACTACAACTTTCTGTTTGTTCCCCTAATATTGGAATCACATTTTCCTTCCTCCTCACAGGCTTCCTTGTCCACACAGGTTGCAAGGATCTCGTACCTGTTGGCCAAGGTTAAAGCCTGAGGCTTCACTACCACTCTCTGGTGTTCCCTTAACGTCCTGCTTGTCAGACACCCTATCCTGTCCTTGACTGATACTATTATCTATACATTCCCTGAGCCTCAGGGGAGTGACTGGCTCCAGGATGAAACTATCCAGGAAGCACTTACTGTCCCTGATGCTGCGCAATGTCTGCACCACGGATTCCAGCTCAGACACTGCCCAATTGCAGACGTTTGCTGCAGGTGTGGTCGCCCGGGCTCAGACTGCCCTCCAGCAACTCCCACATGTTACAGTCCTCACACAACACCTGCCACGCCATTGTCACGTCTCTCACTCCCACTGTGAATTAAAGTTTTATCTAATTAATTATTATTAGTTTTTAAAACTTAAATTCTTAATTAATTTTTTTTAAAAAAATTATTTTTACTGTTGTTAATTAGTAGTTAATGTCAGTTTACTGTTAGTCAGTAGTTAGTGTTAGCCCTGTTAGTTTACTCTTTCAGAATGTTTTGATTGTGACGTCGCTCTGACGTAACGTTTTAATTTTCCCGCTGGTCGCTTGTTTTTTTTATCGCTCTCGTGCCTCTGCTCCTGACTGGCTGACTGCTCTCCTCGTTGTGGCTTTTATCCCCACTGCTAGGTCTCGGCTCCGCCCCTCGCTCTCCTGCCTCTGCTCCGGAATCAGATGAGCTCCAAAAAGACCCCTGTGTATTCCACTTCTCTCCCCCCCTCCCCCCCCCAACTCGGTCAATAGCTGTTCAGCATCTTAAAACCACCTTTATGATGTAGAGATCCATTGGTTCCTTTGATTTGTGGCATTAAGGTATTGCTAAGCAGTGTGGGATATGTTTTGATTACTTTAGTCTGTCTATTAATAAACGTTGTAACCACTTATATTGTTGGGTTGAAGCTCTGCACTATTAGAGGAATTTTTTAAAAAATTGCTAACTGCAGTGATTGATTGGTAATCTTACGCAATATGTTAAACTAAATTAAACTTGTAAAGCTTAATGTGTAGCTTTTGAGTAAATGTCTGTAAATCCTAGAATAATATGGTCTCCCTCTGCCTATTTTGGGCTCTTGCCTCTCATGAGGTCTGCCTCCTTTTTCCTTTCAATGGGATCCTACCCAACAGGCTTGGAGTAGCCTCTGGTACCTTACCAAAGTTACTATTATTTATGGGTGAACCTTGACATCAAATGTTAGTAGAGTATTTGAGGGGGGCCAAGAGACATCACCGTTGAACCTGTTCCTTCTAGTAGTTGCAATCCCGCAATTTCAAGAGCACCATTACAAAATGGAATCCCGGAACTCCATATGGTAATGGTGCTATTGAAATCCCGGATTGCAAGCCCTAATCCTGTCCTCCGCCACCATTCTGATTTTTCCAACTGGGCCAGAGGAACAGAGACACTGCCAGACTGAGACTGATGCCTGCCGAAAGTTGCCCATGTAACACTTAATGTCAGATGTCATTTCATTGGACACTAACCTCCTCTACCTCTCCATCCTGCTCACACCCCACTCCTCTATCTTTCCCCTTCGCTCAATCGGCTCAGATCTTCTGTGTATTCCCTGATTCCTCACATTGGCAGCTGTGCTTTCAACCACTTTCAATCAATTCCTGAACTTTTGGAATTTCCTGACTCAATGCCTCTGCGTGCCCCCATTTAACTTATCTTCAAATCATACCTGAAGACTTTCCTCTTCGACTGTGCCTACGGTCACCTCCTATTTCTTTCCAGCTTGGCATCAAACTACACCATTGTTAAACTCTTCGAGATGCTACCAAATGTGAAGTGCGCTACATAAATGCACATTGTTGTTGTTTAAGATAGCATTGTACTGCAATACTATGTAAATCATCAAGTTGAAAAACTTAATTGGATTTTTCTTTCAAGGTTGTGCTGGAATGGAGCCGAGACCAATATCATGTCATGTTTGATTCTTATCGAGACAATGTGGCTGGAAAATCATTTCAGAACAGGTAAAATGCTACTTAATTATGAATGTTGGCTGGATTAGAACAATGTAGAGAAAGATGGAGATTTATGCAATTTACCAGTTGGTCTCAGTGGGAGGGGGGACAGGTAAGTATTCTTAACTAGAAACTCAGCCTGGCTTGGTTGGTAGTACTATCACCTTTGAGTTGGAAGGTTGTGGGTTCAAGCCCCATGTCGGGACTTTGAACCCACCGACAATGCAACCCCCCCCCACCACCACCACAACTGCATTGAAGTGTCATCTTAGACTATCTAATTCCTGCTTATAATTATCCCACAGCTTCTGGTTGGCCTTTCCCCATTGATGTTCATGGTTGTGTGTTTGGGGTACACAACCTATTATTGCTAATTCAAATATAAATTCAATTTTCATGTTGCTAAATGCTGATTACTTTTTTTTACTGTATCTCTTTAAAATCAAATCTCAGTGAATTGCTTCAAGACATTGCACCCATAATACTCTAAATAGGAAAACTATTATACTTGACTATATATATATAATGTATAGCTAGGGAGGCTTGAGTTCAGAATGGAATTGAAAAACTGGATTATATTAATAATTACTCCAATTAATTGTTAAACTTAATAGTTTTTTTTCATTATTTAAACAATTAATCCAGCCGTGGATCCTGTAAATGAAGAGAGATGTGTAGAGGAAGTTTTATCTCTGAGCAAGTGTTCTTTTCCACTCGACTAAATAATGGATTGAAATGTAATCACAAGACATAAACTGTTGGAAGAGATGCTCGAGTGAGAACATTCAAATTTAAATGAATAAAACTTCTCAGTCCTGGCAATAGGCTGGTAGCATATTTTTATAATTTTATTACAGGAGTGGTTCTGCATTATTGGCTGAGAGTTCCACTATAATGGATATTTACATCAGGGCAGATTCTATAGTAGCAGAACAGCAGAAAAACAATGTTATTTTACTAAACTGTGGGTGTGTAGCTTTTGAGTCCTGAATTGTGAGTATGTTTCTGTTGCTGTTCTTTTAGTTGTTGGGGGATGTTGGTTTTGACTATACATCAGTCTGTCTCAGTTGGTGGCGCACGTTGGAATAGTTGGAAGTTTGTGGGTTCAAGCTCTATGTCAGGACTTTGCACTTGTAGTGTAGCCTGATACTCCAGTGCAGTGCTGGGGTGTGCTGCATTATTGGAGGTGTTGTCCTTTGCATAAGACTTTCAACCAAGGTTTTAACTGCCTGTTTAGGGGGATATTACAGATCCGTTGGATCTTTCTCATTTCTATCAGTGTCCTGGTCAACAATCTCCCTCCAATAAAAAAAATGGTCATTCTATTTGTGTGGGACATTGCTGTGTGTAAATTAGCTACTGAGTTTGCCCACAAAATATACAGTTACTACACTCTACTGCAGGGTTGGGCAATTATTTTGGCTGGCGGGCCACTTCACGAGTTTTGGTAAGCTTCGTGGGCCACACACTTAATATAGAAGCAAATGCTTAATAATAGCTCAAAATCAAGTCTTACAATTGTACATGCATAAAATAAAGTCTATATAATTGACATTCATAGGTTAAATAAAAACAACTCACTGAGCAGACATTTATTCAAATGGGGCTTTGTCAACATCAAATGAGAAAGGTAAAGAGACCAAAGACAGGTCATTTTCGATGAAATTGAAATCCTGGAATCGGCAAGAAAATTCAGCATGTAAGTCAAGTGGTGACAAAGTATACATTTTAAGGCTTTGAGCGTGAACAGTAATCTGCTGCAAAGTTGGAAAGTGGGCAAACAGCCTGTTTCCTATTTGACAAAATAAAATAAATTATTTTGTCATAAATGACTTGACACTGCAATACAAATTGTGCACAAAGGCCCCCTTCTGTTGCAGTTTTCAATTCAGTTCATTCATGTAGCCCATGATATCAATGGCAAACGTGAAATCAGAGAGCCAATTTGCATCATTCAGCTGTGGGAAATCCAAATCTTTTTGTTTCATGCCTAAAAATAAATCAATCTCTGTTCTCAGTTCTCACATTCTTTTCAAGACCTCTCCTAAACTAAGCCATCTTACATTCGTGCGATATCTGCGCTCGGATTCCAATTCCTCAAGCAATTACAAATTGCCTGTGGTTTAATCCTCTTGCTCGAATGTAGTTGACCACTTTCGTAACTGTGTCCATGACATTGCTTAGTTTTGGAACACTCTTACAGAGGACCTCTTGATGGATAATGCAGTGTATAAAAACAGTATTCTGTTCTGGATTTGTTTCTTTGACTTGATCTTGAATTCTTTTCAATGACCAAAATTTTTGCCTGTCAGATTTGGGCTTCCATCGGTGGTCACATTCAACACTCCATCGGTGGTCACATTTTTCCACTCCACTCCTAATTTTAAGATTCACTTATTTACTGCTTCCAAAAAGTCTTCTCCAGTTGTCATATCTTTCATTGACTGCATTGATGCCAATTCTTCTATGGTTTGCTGTTCTTGTCGATTTTGTATGCAATCATGTAACTCACTCTTGTAATCTCATCCTGGGACTCAAATTGTTTTGTGAAAATACTTGGCTCTTTTTGCATTCGAACAACTATCTCATCAGCTTTCTTTCCTTTTTTTTTCGTCAGAAACGTTCTTATATTTGCAAGCATGTTTGCTCTCAAAATGGCGATTCAAGTTGTAGTCTTGGAGCACTGCCACACTTTGTTTGCAAATTAAGCACATTAGCTTTTCCACCCACACTGGTTTTTAAAAAAAATGAAAAAAATTTAGAAGTCCATTCTTTGTTGAATATACGGCCTTCAGTGTCCACTTTCCGCATCTTTGATAAACTCATTTCAAATTAACGTCCTCTTCAGTGAAAAGTATTGTTGCGGTTATCGCGCGCGTTTGAAAAATTGCCGATTTCTACATTTCTGATGTCAGCCTGATTCAACACTTAAGGGAGCGTGCGCACAACTAAGCAGTGTGATTGGCTGATGTTCCCAGTCTGATTCAAATGCAAAATTTGTGCCACTTTCTGGGACTCAATGAACTATAATTTTTTTTATTGCTAGACATAATGACGGGCCGGATAGAATCATTTGGCAGGCTGGATATGGCCCGCGGGCTGTATTTTGCCCACCCCTGCTCTACAATATATCCTGTGAAGTGGTGTGAGATATTCTCTTGGCATAATGTTAAATTTAAGGATTATTATTACATCTTCAGTGGGTACTTGGCCATTAAATATTATGCTCTCACTACCCTGTAGTAACATCTTACACTTCCAGTTTACAGAGTGAAAGCATTTTACAATCGTTTTAAGCACAATGTTTCAGGCTGAGTAGAATTAAGGAATATATGTATCCTTTGTAAATGTGGTGTACCTTGTCAAAGCTTCACCTCCTTTTAACCTAAAAAGGTACCTGCATATTTTGATTGACATATGGATTACCTTTTCTGTCAGTTTCCTTAATTTGAATATACATTCTCAAATTGCCTTTTTTTTCACATGGTTTGCATTAGATTATGTCTGCCGATGCCAATTGATGTGGTGTATACATGGGTGAATGGCACAGACCCAGGTCTGCTGAAGGAACTACACAGAGTAAGGCAACAAATGAAGGAAGACCAGCGTACTGTGAGGTGTGTTTTTCTCTCTGTAGTTAAGTTTGATTTTTATGTATAGCAATAGTTTTGCTTTTCAGATTTTTTAAAAATATACAACACCCAGGATTTGCTACCATATTGTGTGTCCCCTCAAGTTGTAGAAATGTTCAGTTTACATGACATCTGAAATACCAATGTGTTGCTTTCAATTACTTTCAAGGCAACCAGCAAACTACCTACTAAGGCAAGTAAGCTCAAGTAACAAGCAACCTAGACTCTCTGATTGAAACTCAATAACCTTCAGGGCCAATATCTTTGTTTATTAAGTTTCAGGGTTTGTTTAAGGTAAAGTACGTATATCTACAAAGGTCAGTACAGTAAAATGTATTCAAAATAGGATGCAAAGCACTGAATTACTGGTTCTGTAAAAATGAACGTTTGGTGATTATTTAAAATTATTGCTAACAATTCTTAGTAGAAAGTGAGTTGGCTACATGCTAATGATTCTTTCTTTAAAAAATGTTTTTTTTTAAAAAATAGCAACGTGTACATGCTTTGTGTGTCTTTGTGTGACGAGTACGTGCTAGGTTACTTAGTAACACAATAAACAGTAATGCAGGGACAGATATTGTGTTTTGCAGAGCTATGTATGATAGAGCATTATTGTTCACTGTCGGGCTGTAGGCATTTTTGGCTAATTGGGTAGTGCAGTTTTGTTTGGGCAGATGTTGCGAGGGTAGTGGGTGATGGGAATTTGGTTCCTCTTGTCCTTTATGCCTCTTGAGAGTCGGTGGAAAAGGGACCTGGAAGAGATGCTGAAAGAAGGAGCGTGGGATTTCACTGCACTGAGCTTTGTAGAAAGAGGCCTATACTTTCTGGAGTTTGCACTTTGATGCACTTCCAACTACAGTCACCAGTGTGGACAGAATGAAATTTAAAGTATTTGTGCAGGATGAGATAATTGCAATGTAGGATTAGGAGTTGCCCTCTCATATTATGCTGAACTGGTCCATTAACTGCTTCAAAATCATGATTCAGTTTGTGAAATTTAGTGATTCCTTTATACCTTGCAGCAATTTGTGGCAATCAACCTTGGGAGTAAAGAAGAAGGAGCAGGCCTTAACAATGTCAGTCTTCTGTTTTCTAGCACCTTTGCAGAGTTTTTGAAGGCTAATAGAAGAGTTGTTTGCAACATTTGTTTCAATAATTAATGTTTGGGAGGTGTGTATTTGATGTCTTTATGCCAAGAGGAATTTGGAGATTTGCTTATTGAAACTATTGACACAAGGATAAATAATCACTAATGTATAGATCAAATTCCTTTGTTACAGCGCAAACACTGGCAAGCTTTCTGCTGCATGTCAATCTAGAACCACTCTACCTATTAGGGCTTTGGCTTGCAGGGTTAAAGGGGGAAGAATCCCAATCTCTGGTGAATGATATATCCCTCCAAGTCGAATAATATGCCAGGCTAGCTGATCTGTCATCAACAATGCTTTGAACCTGCCTGTATTAGGTACCAGAGGGCTGAAACCACCACAGAGCAGTAACTTGATTCCAATCTTCTATTGCCAGGCATGTCACCTTGGAGCTAACTGAGTCCCAAAGAGATTGCTTATCCCTGTTTCTCTTCCTCTCCCCCAACAGGATATATTTACCAGTTAATGAGCACATGTTGGGTTACTGAGTAACACAGTAAATAGTAATGCAGGGCAATGATGACAAGTGAGGTTTGAGCCCTTGGTAGGTGAATAGCAGGTGCCAGGAAGTTGAAAGTTGCATGGTGAGCAGCAACCCATACGAGGATGATAGGTTGCTGGGAGATTGCTGGTATCAGGATAGACTGGTTGGGCCTTTTTTGCTAGAGCAGAAATGTTTAAGGGGAACTTAACAGAAGTGTTTCAAATCATTAAGGGTTTGATGAGTTAACATAAATCAGCTGTTTCCATTGGTTGGGGAGTCTAAGTAGGAGAAGCTAAGATAAGATCGGGACTAGGGGAATCAAAAAGAGGAACTACTTCATGCAGAAGGTACTGAGATTGTGCAACTCGCTATCTAAAGGTGTGATTGAATCAGATAATAATCAGATTGTTATAAATGCATTTAAGGAGAAGCTGGACTTCACATGAGGGAGAGGGGAATAGAAGAGTATGGGGGGGAATAAAGGAATGGGTGGAGATTTGTGTGGTGTATAAACACTGGCAAGGGGAATACTTTGGGCCAAGTGACCTGTTTCGTTACTGTACATTCTTTGTAAAGAAAAATGAGAATGAGCCCTTTGCCCCTTCTCAGCACAGTCCTAAAATATCCAAATAATAGTCAGTGTCCAGCACAAACCATAGATACTGATAAGAAGCATCACTTGGGATGGATTGTGTCTTCCAATCAAAACCTGTCATTTGGACGATAATAAGGTCTCCTCCTTTGGATTTGTGAAAATGGAAATCCTACTGATTCTGATGGTTTAGAATTTTCTCTAATTTCTCTGTCTCTTTTTGCCTTAACGATTTCAATTCAATAAAAAAAAATGTAGATCTGTTTTAAGGAAGTAACATTTTTTTTCTTCAATAGGGAAAGATTGGGAAATGCCACAGAAGCCACTAAGAAAAGGTATTAACTTAAAATCATCTTTGAAAAATGTACTTGGATTTGTATCAAGTTACTTTTTAACTGGTTTATAATTAGCAAGTTAACTATTGCTGACATTTCTCCAATGCAAATCTAGATAGGCACTGGAGGCAGAATGCTCATTTAATATCCATAAAACTGCAAGGGCCTCTGAATGTAGTAATTGCCCTGCCACAATTTTGGTAGAAGGTCGATATCGACTGAGATAATTTGTAGAGTACTCTAGATATTGCATCATCCTGATGAGTCAGTTTGACTCGCAGGATCCCCCTTTTTTTAAAAAAAAGACTTGCTGTTTGCTCCAAATCAACTAACTGTAATCAACAACTTAGGAGAACTGAGCAGCAATCCTATGCTCGGCTGATATTTGCATCTAATTTTCTAATAATACCCAACTTTTTTTGTCAGTGTCGAATTTAAACNTTTTTTGCATTCTTGTTTGCAAATTCTTGCTATCAATTCTATACATTTAAATATAAAAGAAAACTCCCAATCCAAAACGTCATCTTACAAGTGTCATTTTTCTTTTCCTTTTTATTTGATGAATGGTAGATGAGGGTTTTTTCATTCACTTATCTGTATAGTTTTATTCTTCACTCTTAATCATTAATAAGTAAAGTCAACAACATTCAAAATGTATTCAATTTATCACCTTCTGCATAAACATGAACAAATTCCTAGGTCACTCAGTAACTAGCATAAAACAATCAACTAGAAAAAAACTTTTTTTTTGAATCCTGTAGCTCAGTGGTTAGAACACTCACCTTGCAAGCGAGAGACCTGGGTTCGATTCCCAGCAAGGTGAAATGTTGGGCAAGTTTACTTACTCCACACACCTCTGTTTACCTAGCAGTAAGTAGGAACCTGGTTGTTAGTCGATTGGCGGATCGCTTTTCCAGGGATAACAATGCTTTAAAAAAATAATTTGGTCACTCAATCCACAACTGTTTGTGGGACACTGCTGTGCACATTTGGCTGCCGCGATTCGCGCACAAATATACAGTCAATTCACATTGCAGTATATTCTGTGAAGCGCTTTGAAATCTAGATGTGAAATGCAAGGATTATAAATTTATACTGAGGAGAGAAACTTTCCAATATCCGTTAAGAAATCAAACAGCAGTGACCGACTTCCTATTGGAGCATTTAGATTAAAATATCTGCCAAGATCTAATACATTAATGGAACAAGCTGGGTGGGCTGAATAATAATAATAATAATCTTTGCATTTAATATAGCTCCTTATCACGTCATTGAGACTGCTCAAAGCACTACACAGAATATATTATAAAGCGAATTGAATGGTTTTCTTTTTGAATATGAATGGAAGAGAATAATTAGGTGGTGATTGAACATAGCTTTTTCACATGAAAACCTATTTTAGAGCTATAAATGTTTATATTACAGCTAGAGGGACAACTGAACCAAGGTAGTAACTGAATTTATTTTCTTATTGCTTACAGTGAAAAGCAGCCAGAGTGCTTGTTATCAAATTGTGTAAAGGGGTCAATGCTTGTTTTGGATCCAAGCTTGCCAGCAAATGTCACAATCAAGGAACTGCCATCACTCTACCCTCATTTTCAATCTGGAAAACATATTTTGCAAATACCAAAGCCAAAAAACCCATTGTCCAACCTTACTGTGATTATGTTTGATAGCCAGAAGGACGGTAAGTACACAATCACTCCAAATTATGCTTGTGATCTAAGAACTTGAAGAGAGTTCTGGTTTAAGAAAAACTTCGAAAAGTGAAAAAATACACATAAAATAATTCTGAATATTTGTGGGTAAACAACTTTTTAAAAATATATATATTTTTCTGTTCAACAACATGGAGAGGACCGCTGGGCCTGGGGAACGGAATATTTTCCCATTTCAGAGGCATAAGGTCAACATTAAGCACTGCGTAGTCAGTTTCTGCAATATTGCAGTGCAGTTTTTTAGTTTCTAGCACTCAATGGGTGAACTACTTCAGTAAAAATAATACCCTATAAAATGTTATTTGTTTAATGTTAAAAGAATGTTTATTTGTATTCCTGAAGTCAATTAAAATGTAGGAATTGTATAGGTCTCAAAGGTGAAATGGTAAATCTGTAACAATGTACTTTTATTTTTAGTGGATAATGCACTTTCTGCAGTCCAAAAACAAAATGATAGACGTCTTGCTTGGAGAGGTTACTTGGTAGGTTTTTACATTTTATATATCATATATGACTGTTATAAATCATTTTTTGGGAATGTCTATTCGCATATTTTATCAACAGGTGTTTATTGTGAGTTATAACAACAACCAATTACGTTTATATGGCACCTTTCACATCGGGAGGACGTCCCAAGTATAATAAATACTAGGATTATAAAAAAAAATCAGATTGGATTGTAGGTTTACATTGGTGGCCAAATAAATACTAAAGTAAGGAAGTGAGTTTACACTGATTTGACATTGGGTAGGTTTGCAAGAGGAGTTTTAGGTAATTCCTTATCGAATGAGTATCAGAAACCATAGATAGGGTATAGGATAGGCGCCATTTGGAAAATTGGGTCGGTTACTGGGACAGACAAGGATAAGAAAGAATCTGACAGAAGATTTCAAAATCTGAAAAGTTTTGATGGCATCGAGAGTAAAAGATTATTCCTTTTGATTGTCAAATTCATAAGCAGGGTCCATAAGTTAGTATTGTCACTGGAGGATTTGAAGGAGAAGTTAGAAGTAACTTTCATTCAAATGAGTATTGGCCATGGAATCCTTTGACACAACTGACTTTTCAGGCTTAGACTTTTGATGAAGAATATTATGCAGTTAGAACCAAAGTAGCTTAAAAAGAGCGAGAGCTTGACTGCTTCAAATTATAATCAACGTAAGTGTGGAGTATAGATCTTTTCTTAGATCATTATCATATTTAGAAGATGATTCATTGAATGCTTAATTTATTTAATTGCCTTTGGTATAATCATAATGATCTGATTTCACTGGTATCTTGATGTGGAATTTATTTCAGTACTTTTATTTTCCTATATATTGCATCAAATTAATTATAAATTACATTGCGTTATTTCTACAGACAACAGACAAAGAATCTCCTGGATCAGTCTTGTTGCCGAATTTTGCTTTTCTAAGTGGGTTTCCAGGATCATGCAAAGAAGTGGAACAACTAAGAGCAAAACTTCCATTGATTGTCACCAGCAAAATGAAACAGGTAAGATCTGTTTTATTCATCATTATATGCAAACATTTCCCTTTAGTTATATAAGTAAATCAAACTATTTTTCATATCAATACATTGTAGAAAATTGGACTCCTGTTAGATTCTCATTTTGGGAGCATAACAAAATGTTTCCTTGTCTTTAAGTGTACGTATGAAAGCAACCATGTTGATATGCAAAATATAAAATTCTAAAGTAGTTTTACCTCTAATTTGTGCATATAGTAATATAGTTTGTTTCAGCTTGATGGATGTGAATTACTGAGAAGTAAATTGATGTTTCATTGACGGGTTTTGTTTTCAGCCACTGGAGGGTGCCCTTTACATTTACAAGTCTGAACACTGTTTTCAGTGTATTTTAGGATTTACAGATCCATGATATTCAAACCCATTTATAATCTTGTGCTTATAATAATGATGGAAATAATATTCTTTGCATTTGATATAGTGCCTTTCACGTCGGGAAGACGTCTCAAAGTGCTTCATAGGATATATGCACACATTAAGGAGATGCATTGGCAGCCAGGGATGAAGTTCATCTGTTATAATTGACTAAATGACTCACAAGATTGGTTCAGATGGAGAAGCCCTTTTGCCGCTGATCGAATATGTGGAAATTAATTTATCTGGTGGATGCGAACACTTGTGTGGCTGAATAATCTTCATTGTGTCGGGTTCCATTGAGTACTTCTGAAAATGGGCACATGGATCTGTTCATTGTCTGTCGGTCCATCCCCCTCCCTTTTTTTTAATCTCTTCTCCCCACCCTTCCCCTCCCTTACTTCACTTGAGTGGTTTTAACGCCAGAAATATCCATTCTCCAGACTTTTCTGACTAAAGAATGATAATGCGGAGATTAGAAGGTATCAAATTGGGGGGAAATAGCAAAACGTATCTTAAGCAAAATTAATTAATGGAAATGTGACCTGATGAGTGCTTTCTACTCTGTTGAATCAGAATGTAAACATATTTTATGTCTTGCATTGCTTGCCTTCAGTATTTATTATATAAAATTCAATGCTTACAGATAATAACTACTGAAGAGCACTGTTATAAAGTTATAAACTGTTATAAAGAGACATACTCTGTGAATTGTTGAATTATTATGGTGAAGATTTTACAGTGTTCTAAATATTGGCACAAGGTGTGGGGTAGTGCTTCATTTCTAACTAAAAGGGAGGGGTTTAGAGAAACAAACAGGTGTTTGGTTATCTAGGAGAGGTCGAATTATCCAGGAGAGCAGTTACAAACAGAAAAGCTGAGATAGTGTAACACAATATAGTTACTTCCTAAATTCAATAAGCTGCAATAAATCAACACAAACTAGGCAACACCCACAACAATGCAGGACTATCTCAGAATTGGTGCATTATTGCACTGCATTGTTAGAGGTGCTCTTCTACAGATGACATGTTAAACTGAGGCCGTCTGCTTACTCTTGTGATTCATTAGCTTGTTTGAGATCCCATAGCTCTATTTTGTAGAAGATCAAGGAGTTTTCCTGACATCCTATTCAATTTTCTTTCTTCATCCAAATTCACTAATGAACAGAATAAATGCGGCCATTCATTTTTGTGAGATATTGCTTGTGCAAATTAACTGCATTGTTTGATATAGCACCATATCATGTCAAAGCTTCCTAAATAATTCACAATGGTTGTTTCCATAAACCACTACTGCACACTTCAAAGCAACTAATTCCTTGAGAAGCTTTGACATGATATGGCGCTATATCAAATATTACTTATTTCAGCAAGGTACATGTGTGCCATTTTAATGGTATTAATCTTTAGCCTTATTTCAGTTAATGTGTTGTGTAATGAGTAACTACTTTGAAGTTGCAATGAGGAATAGTTTGATCAGAATTGAGGATCTTACAAATTCTACGGATAGAGTTTCTGTGAATTCTTTTACTGAGTGACCACATTCATTCCACAGTACTGTCACCTTCATAGCTAAATACCGTTGTCTTGGAAGTTCAAATCGGTCACGGCAACATTCATCAGACAATAGCTTCTATGTGATCATCTTTCAATTGTTCTAGCTATTCTTGATCTCTTTCCTTGAAAAGTACAACAGGCATTTAGTTCTTAGCTAAAGGGGTATTTTTAGAGTGTCTATAGTATGACAATGATGCACAGTTTTGGCTGTTTCTGTTTTTCAGTAAACAGATTAGCCTGATAAATAACGTTTTCAGATTAATTAAAATGTTTGTTTTTAAAAACAAAACTACATTGGAATTGCTGACTAGTTAAGAAAAAATCTGAAGGCTTCAGTAATCCATGAATATCCTTAATCATAACAGGTTTGAAGCAATTTATAATATTTTGAAACTGGATTTTTTCAGGCAATGCAGTGGCATTCTGTGATCCCTCTGTAGTCTGAAACAAAAACAGAAGTCGCTGGGTACACTCAGCAGGACAGGCAGCTTTTAAGAGCTAACAGAGAGGGGGGAGGCAGGGCAAGGAAGACAACAACAACAACTTGGATTTATATAGTGCTCTCCACACCGGATGGCGTCTCAGAGCGCTTCACAGTAATGGATTCCGGGGCCGATCCATGGGGGATGGGGAGGAAGGTGACCAAAGGCGAGGTCGAAGAGAAAGGTCTTCAGCAATGACCTGAAAATAGGAAGAGAGGGAGCGAGGAAGGGAATTCCAGAGCCTCGGGGCATAGTGGCTGAAGGCACAGCTGCGAGGGTGGAGCAGAGGACTCGGGGGACGAGGAGGAGGCCAGACCCGGACAAAGGAGAAAATGGGCTAGAAGACGGGGGGATGATGGGTTAAAGATGTGTCAATGATGCAAAGCAAAGGGGGGGATTGCAACAAAACAGGGGAAAGTTTACTGCAAAGTTTCAGAAGTGGACAAAATATAATTTATGGTAAATGAGGGGTAGACAAACAATCAGGTGATGATTCACCCCAGGCAGCTCTTGCCATTATTAAGGGTCTTGAAAGTGGATCACTACCTTGTCCATTAGTCTAGAAATTATGTAACCAGATAGAACAAATGATTGAAGAACAATAATTTCTTCTTCTGAAAGGTTACCTCTGCCCAATGTACTGTTGCTGAATGATGTCCCAGCTTGAAAATGGTGCCAGCTGATTACATTCATGTAGGGAGTTAATCTGCAGTTATCCATAAAATGGCGAATGTACGTCAGGGTTTTCTACTGCTATATGGATTGACAGACATAATGTTATTGTTCCCAGTAATTGTATCTTCCATGCGCATGTGTAGATTAAAAATAAACCATTTCCCTTCTTTCAACTAAAATGATAATCATCTATTTATTCCCTATAGACTTTAAAGACGATGTGACTCCATAATGTTGTTTAGCAGTTACTCAACTTAGCACTTAGAAAAATGATCCTGAAAGCATTGCATCACAGATTCACCAATGATTCACACACCATGTGCTTATGCTCTGATCTGCCTTATGGAGTGGAGGCTTGCTTTGTCCTTCATTCCTTTTCCATCAAAGAAGAAGTGGGTTCTTAGGCGTCTTTTAGGAAAGGCTAGATAGAGACTGTCATCCGAGATGTAAATGTTTCATTTTGTCACTCCAATGCCTCAATAAGATTGAATTATAATATTCAGTCTTCTGATGTGTTGGAAAATTCACTTATTGGGTTTTGAGAAAATTTTCCTGATGTGGGTTCCTATTCCCGAATGGAGGCTTGGTAAAAGAGTAAGTTTAGATTTTCAAGAATTTAAGAAAATTCCACAATACTGGAGAAATAATTAGGAAAGCTAGAGAATGTAGGAGAGAAAATTAGAGGAAGAACAGTAAATAATCAGTGCCTCAGGTACCATCACCGTACTCCTGCCAGCTACAACAGAAAATAATGTTCTACTGTATATTGTTGACCTTTAGCAATATTTCCTTGGGTGAGTACTTGGAACATAAACTATTCCCCAACTTAATAATAACTGTAGTAACAGTAAGAACTAATAATTAATATTTCAGTGCCATTATTATGGAAATAGTTTTATGTACGTGTGTGTGTGGGAAGAAAAAAAAGTCACATGAAGTACAGAATTCTCTAGAGCTCACTTGTCTTGATTCCTAATTTAATTTAGTTGCTTTTCATAGTACAATAATTGATCATAACCCTCAAATTTTTTTTGCAAAATAACCTTGGTTTAAGAATAACTATTATATGTGTAAAGTTCCCTTAATGTACCTTAAATATTTTTCCTAATATCTAATAAAGAACAACATCCAAAGCAGTGATCTGAAGCATAGTTTAATTTGTTCATATTGTGAACAATTAACTGTGAGTATAGATGTTAATTGAAAAGTTAATTTCTAATAATAACCTATGCACTGGAGCAATAAAAGCAATTTGTTTTTTAAAAAGAAAAAACGTCCTTTTGTGACATGAATGTCCAGTGATTCATTGAATGCTAAGTTCTTTCTGTTAACAGTTCTAATGTGAGCAGCAACAAATTCTTCACAAGACCTGATGAACCCTAGCAACTGCACAAGATTCTTCCTCCCCTAAATAAGGCTAGGCTTAGAGCAACAACATTCATTCCACTTGGCGCTGGTGATGGGCACCGGTGAGCATACTTTGGTGGCTGTGTTATGGCTTATGACATTACCTCACCACCACGGGGTGAAGTCGTCTCCTCATCAGCATGTTTGAATGTATTTTTGGAACAGCGTAGCCTTATCATTTTGAATGATCCTAGGTTTTTATAATCGCGTAAAAATGCAGGTGACATGAAATGGTATCCATTTATATACAACTTGTAGACAGGCAGCTGTGTAATTTACAAGCCTGACAGCTGGCATTCTTGTTCAGACGCTAGTAATCATTAATATTGAGCCAGCTTACTCAGTGAGGAAGAAATCTGGGCTCAATTTTCATCTCTGGAAAGATTGTATTTTTATTTTTAATGGTCAATATTTGGCTGGAAGCCACTGTGTAATTTAGTAGAGTTCTGATGAGATCAGTCAAATTCTGCTGAAAGAGCACATAGGTTATAGGAAAAGTGGTTACGTTAGAATAACTTGAAAACAAAGTTATCTTGAAAGTTGAAAGCATTGCATCTGGTTTAACTTTTGATTGCTTGATTCTTAAAGGATTATTTAATGTATATCTTAGAAACAAATCTTTTATGTATTCATTTTTATTCAGTGCTGGTGAGGTACATTTTCCTCCTTCCTTTCTATGCAAAAGCTTGCTGTTTACTGTCCTGGAGTATTGATAGAACTGTTGCCTATAAATATGTAATCACTACACTTTGCTTTAAAAACCTATGAAGTGCTTTCAGACATTTTAACAAAGCGCTGTATTAAATGCAAGAATTATTGTTATGGATCATTAAACGTATTGAATAGAATATTTTGTGGATTTACTCCTCCCAATTGAAGACTAAACTATACATTACCAAGGAATGAACTTTAAATTAAAGGTTATTGGTGAGGTTTGGCATTGCCAAACAAAGTACAAAGATTCCTTGCATTTGATAAGCCTTGCATTTGAGGACTCCTTTTTGAACGGAGGCAATAAATTCAGGATGTTGGTTTTAAACTCCAAAACTGATCAATAATTATAAATGGAGTTTCATCTGGAAAAATTCAGTTTCAATTGAAATGCTTTGTGCCTGAACAAGGTTTTAATACTGCACTGCATTTAAATTGTTTTATTGGGTTTCGAACAAGCTTAATTTGCCTTTTAAGACTATGACCATGACCTATTATGACATTTTGTTCAGGTGAATACTCTTGTAAGTAATGCTGCCTTTTTACAAACTGATTGACTTGCGAACCTTTGTTTCCAAATTTTTACTCTGAAAAAATTGTATTCTAAAATATTGAAGAGTAAAATGGTACAATGGAATTCTCTTTCCAGCTGCAGCTGTATTCTGAAGCTGGTGTTGCACTGTTGGTACTCAATGATCCCAAGGATTTTATGGAACTAACTAAACAGCCTAAGAAGAACATGACTATAGAAGGAAAAGAATTGACAATCAATCCGATTTATTTACTGTGGGATCTCAGTACTATCAGTCAGGTAAGTTACCTATTCAGCAAGGAGCTCAGTGGTTAGAGCACTCGCCTTGCAAGTGAGAGACCTGGGTTTGATTCCCGACAGAACAAAACCTTGGGCAAGTTTGCTTACTCCACATGCCTGATAATAATCCCTCAAGACAAAAAATAATAAATTGGTCACTTCAATCCACGACTGTTTATCGGACACTGCTGTGTGCAATTGGCTGCCGCGTTTCGCCCACACAAAAAAAACAGTCAATTCACTTTACAGTATATTGTGTGAAGCGCTTTGAGACGTCTAGAACACGTGAAAAGCGCTGTATCAAATGCAAGAATTACTATTACTTAGCTTTCTGGGCATTGTTCATTTTGTAGTTATCTTGTTTTTATTTTTTTAAATGCTTAATTTTCTTTTAGTAATTTTGACTTTTGCCCAACATGGAATGTACCAAAACCCTTTTTTTCTGTCTGTGGTAATGCAATTCATGTTGGCACTGTACACCACAGGTAAGTTTCACTGTTACATTTCACATACAGTGTTTCTCTTGCTGCATATATTGCATTTTTATATTTCACTTGCTTTTTAAGTTGACAAGTATTTTTTAATCTCACCCTAGCATCAAAAAGATAATAATAACCCTTGTATTTGATATAGCGCCTCATCAAGTGTTCAAGACATCTCAAAGCGTTATATCAAATGCAAGCAGATTGCTACTTATGCTTAAATTGATTAACATAATTAACCTTTGTTTCCATCTCCAACCGACTTATGTAGTATTGGATCTATGGATCTACGGATCTACTGTTAATCTTTTTATATACAAATTTTCAGCAAACTTGTTGAAGTGTTTGGCAACTCTTATTGCAGTTTTGTCACTACAGCTTTATTACTGATCATAAATGATGCATGGAAACCCTATAGCAAGCCACGAGGGAGACCTCTTGAGTGTTCTTGCATTCCTTCCAGCAACTGATTTAGAGCAGCAGCAGTAAAGGACAAGAGCAAGGACAAGCCTCCTATTTGCCCTTTTGTTTAGAATCTGTGTCAAAGGAATCTAATGAGTGGAATTGCTTCTCTTTTGTATTTTTAATTGTGCATAAATAAATGTTAAACTTAATTAGTGCAGGATAATGGAAGTAGAAGAATATTAGAAATGTGTTGTATGTACTTTGGGCAAAACAGTAAGAAAATCACATAATAGGGGTCAAACGTAATTGCAGCTTCTATATGTGCTCTTGCAAATAAATGTCTTGAGACCTTTAAACAGGTTCTGTAAAACATTTAATCAAAGCAAACAGAAGTGTTTCTATTCCTTTTTAAATTCCTGAATGCTTTCTAGGCACCTTGGGTTAAGAATTGCATTTTGCAGAAAAATATTTTTGTATTTGTGAAATCTGTGACCATATGAAATCTACTATTTATAATAGTGATTTTTCTTTCCTTTCTTTCTACCATTGCAAGCCCTAACTTCTACTTTTTTAAAAAAAAACAATCTGCTGTTGGAGAAGAACACTGGTAGATGAATGACAACTGGAAGTAAAAATAGCTCATTGGATTTAAGCCTATGTTTTGGTTGGTGGTGCTTAAGTCCTGGTGGCCAGAATTACTTCTATAGAAATCTATTGTAAAAATGATTGATTTTGTTATTAGATTTGACATAGAAGAATGAAAAGTGGTGTTTTTTGTCACAAGTGATCAAATGTGCCATTTGACAACCCAGTTACTCAGTGATATCAGTAATGCTGAGTATTTCAAATTTACCAAGTAGAATTTTCTTTAATGTTATCAATCTGTACCCGGACTCTATTTTCAATGTTCAGTTTTACTGAGAAATCTGTTTAATGAAGTGGGTAGTTTATGTAACTAAATTAATAGTATTGTGTAAGTATTGTTTTTTTTGCAAAAGTCATTGCCTTGAGCTCCATCGCCAGACCTATTGGACAAGCAGAAAATCTGTTCTCATTCGTGTTGTATTACAAATGTTAAAGTGGCTTCAAGGATGTGTTTGCACAAGTAGCTATTCGTTGGTCGGCCTGCCTCCCACACTTATTTGTGGGACACTACTTCACCTCTGCTTGGTGCCTCTCCACTTAATGGACAAAGTTTGAAATTTGCTTTGTGGGGAATTATGTGTCTAATAGTGCCCAGCACCTCAGGATGTCCTCACAAAGTGAAAGGAGCTATATAAATGCAGTTGGTAGTGGTTGTTATAGTACATCTTACTCCCCCACAATATTTGAACTACTTATTTATCTGTATAATAGCTGTCATTTATTTCAATTATTTTGTCTAAGTGTGTTCTAAATTCATTACATGCAATATATTTAATTATTTCTGCTATCACATTTGATGGTTGGGATACTCTTGTAACTAAATATTTGGAAGTGACAAAACAATTTAGTGTGAAATTCTTACAGTAATTTTGATTCTGGTAGCTTACATACATTTAGTAGATGATGTAAGTAGATTCATCACCAGCTATATCTTTTCCACAAGTCTAAGCAGGATGATGATATTTCAGCCAGTCGATTTGAGGACAATGAGGAACTGCGATACTCTCTACGGTCTGTGGAGAAATATGCACCTTGGGTTCGACACATCTTTATTGTGACAAATGGTCAGATTCCTTCTTGGCTTAACTTGGACAATCCTCGTGTTACAATAGTATCACACCAGGTACCAATAATATTTTAAAACATATTTTTCAATAGCAGTAACTTTACTAAGTGGGAACATTACAAAGTGAAAAGGCAAATTAATATCAACCTAGAGTTGAAACATCTTTCTCTTGTTATTGTTCTATGCTTGGGCTCCATATAGCCAGGTTTTGAAATTGTGTTGATCATAGTTTCCAACTCGTACTGTCCTGTTTTTTGATGCGAGTTTCTCCACTGGCATTAACAGCTATATCCCATCATATTTTTCCAGTCTGTTATCACAGAAAGTTAACTTCACTGCTGCTGTGCCTAGTAAGAGCCAATCCTAAAATCAATTGATAAGTGTGATTATTGATGAGTTGATATATTCCACATCTTTTCCAACTAGATATTAAGGAATAATGTCCTTTTTTTGTCTAAATGTGTGTCAGATTGAAGTTCCTTGAAAGTTAATATCTCTTACGTTCAGTACAATTGAGATCCTATATAGGGTATCTGCAAAATGTACTTCATCTTCCTGGTGTGAAAAACACTATATCAAATGCAAGGATTGTTTGGTTGTTTATTCATATTGTTGATTTATTTTTCTAGGACATATTCAGGAATGTCAGCCATTTGCCAACATTTAGTTCCCCAGCTATTGAAACACACATACATCGAATTCCAGGTCTTTCTCAAAAATTCATTTACCTAAATGATGATGTCATGTTTGGAAAGGAAGTGTGGCCTGATGATTTCTACACTCATTCCAATGGACAAAAGGTAACCTTTTAAAATAGCAATAGCGAGGCTAGAATCTGAACAAGTATCAAATAAGACTGGCTTTTGAATGGCAAGGTTTATCTTTGCTGGAATATCTGTTGTTTTTGCTTGCATCAATCAATTTGGCAAATTCAGTGATGAGTTTATTTTAACATTCATTAAAAATTATACATTACTGGGGAAGCAGGGTAAGAATTGCTTCTAATTTCTTTAAGACTTATAAAAAGGATTACGTCTAATCTGGTTAAGCAGCCAAAAATATTCCTGATGGTACAGAAGTCAATCTTCAGTTTTTTTAAATATTAGGTTTATCTCACTTGGCCCGTACCGAATTGTGCTGATGGATGTCCTGGGTCCTGGATTAAAGATGGCTACTGTGATAAGGCTTGCAATAATTCAGCTTGCGACTGGGATGGAGGTGATTGCCTTGGTAGGTGGATCAACCTTTGTGAACATTGCAGCACTAGCTTGCACATTTATGATAGGGAAATAATTTAGATTTAGAAGTCAGTTTTCTGTGATCATTTTTAGATTTGTTCTCATTTTTGCAACTTCCATATACAGATATGGATATTTGACATTAGTATAAAAACCAATACATTCCTGGAAAATGTGTTATCCCTTTGTTGCACCCTGTCAAAGGCCATTTTAATCTTTTATGTGCTGAATAGTAGTAGTACACAGGATATTTCAATCCAGCCAATCCACATTGATGTCGTTACATTGGGTAACTGCATCAATGCTCTCGTTCTTGTATTAATTACAAGACTCTCCTGGATACAAGTGTTCATTCACTTCAAGGCTGTTTGGTGGACATTGTTGTGTGCAAACTGGTTGCTGTTTGCCTACAGAACTACACTGTCTCTACACTCTAGAATGTGAAGCACTCTGAGATTTCCTTCTGATGTGAAAGGCTCTACATCAAATGCAAGGATTATTATATCAATGTTGAGTGGAGTTTGCTCTACAGGTTAGCTTTTTGTCTGAAATAGTGACAATTTATCTACAATGTTCTAATTCTAGGTAATCTTGGTGGTCGTATTGCTGTTGGTGGAGGAGTAGGAGTAGCAAATGCTCAACTGTGGCAGCTTAATGGAGGCTTTCCTGGTGTATCCTACTGTAACCAAGGTTGTGCTAACTCTTGGTTAGCTGACAAGTTTTGTGACCAAGCATGTAATGTCTTGGCGTGTGGATTTGATGCAGGTGACTGCGGACAGGGTAAGTGAACTTTCAATCTTAAATGACTTACTTTCTACCAATATAATACCTTGCTTATTTTAACTTGATGCCAGATTTATACATTAACTTAAATTAACATTTGTTTTGACCCAGTAACCCCCAGTTTAGTGCCATGGCTTGCAGTTTGTCTGAATGCTTAGCTTGACTTTGTATGTGAAACCGTGTAAAAGGAAAACATTGCTTGCTTGAAAACTCGACAGGAATTACATATTCATATCATGGTCATGAGATTTTTATATTGGAGTTTGCAATCTTAACCTAAATATCAACTGAGGCCTGGTTTGTTCTCATTTCATTTGTATTATAATTAATCCTTTTTAGAAGAGAGTTTATTTTTAATACTGCATCTTCAAGTAGGGTGTAAATTTTGTTGATGCTTGCTGTAATAACATGATATATTTGACTATCTCTTCTACAGATCACTTTGGTCAGTTGTATGAAGTGACTCTTATCTTTAATCAAACTCGTTACATCCTGCCAAAAGGTGAGGCTTTGCCTATCTTCAGGTTTGACAGTTTTTCTGACAAAATCATTGAGGCATCATTTACCGATAACCCAATAATTCGTCATGCTTCTGTTGCTAACAAATGGAAGACGATCCACTTGATCATGCATGGAAGTATGAATGCAACTTCAATTAATTTCAACTTGAATTTCTTGGACAAAAGCGCCAAAGAGATGAAAATGCAACTCATTATAGATGTCGACACAAGAGAAGTTCAGAAATCAAATGAGTCGACCTCTCGTAGGACAGAGATCAAACCCAGAAATGTCACTGCAGCACCATCTGAAGTAGAAGTTCTATTTGAAGAAATTCCTCAAGAATTGCGATTCCCTAAAATTCATGCAAGACCTTTAGATAAGGTGGATGCCATTCCATTCATTAATGTATCAGTATTGCCTGCTAATGTTCAGGAGGAGCTGAAAATATTGGATACAAAATTAAAAGATGGTGATATCACTGTTAAAGGGTACAATCGAACAAAGGCATTGATGTTGGAGCCCTTCCGAAAGCTTGCACATCCTTTCGAACTGATGGTTGCAAAGGTTATTCTGCCACAGGACACAGGATTAAATAAAAGTAATGACAAGATTGAACCTCCAAGGATTGCAGACTTGAAGGAAAAGACATTTGCTGGCAGAGATAATATGAAAAAGAATGGAGAAGATGCAATGTATTTACCCAAACGTAATAATCTCTTAACAGAAGAGCAATTAGAGAAAGTTAGAAAAATGAATCCAGAAGCTAATCGTAAAATATCTATTACTCCCTCAGTTCCTATGAAAATTGATGGGTTGTTAAACAGTACCATCAAACCAGTGATTGCCCTGCCTAGAAAAGAGATCAGACCCACCACTGCCCAGAAAATTCTTAATATTCTTATTCCAAATGATAGTATCAAGCTAAAACATGGTCAGATTGCTAGGGGAATCGAAAGAAATGTTAAATACAAAGTCAGAGGAGGTGAAGCGTTGGGAGATGCCAATGCTGGTGCAGAAACTGAAATGAAACAAGAAATGGATGGAGAAAATGCAAGGCTTGCCAGCAGAAAGCTGCAGCATTACAAAGGATGGAACGCTGGCTTCTTACCTTGGGAAAAGCATGGATATTTCCAAGACTTGTTAGAAGTAAGTAAAGTTTTCCAGTGTATTCAGTGATTGGTTAAGTATGAATGCAATTCTTAAATGTGTTTCTATGAGAAATTGTTCTCTGTTAGAAAGTATTGCTGTCACACAGAGTAAGGTGAAATTCATTGTATATAGAATATATGTAAATTTATAATTTTTCCAGCTTAATTTGTTTGGAGTTTTAAAAAAAAAAAGATTTCTGGTTTGCTGCATGCATTAAGTGTGTTTTTATACAAGGTCTATAGATTCATAGTTTTTATTGTAATCGTTCACTGTTTCAACCAAAGCAGTTTCAGGCCTTGGGTTCAAGCAGCTAGACTTTGTTTACTGAAGTGATCTAAATTTTAAGATTTGAATTTAACCTTTTTTATCCTTCCCAGTTATCAAAGGCCATGTTACTTGCTTGTGCTACTTGAGATTGCATGTTGTGGAGATCTGAAACGTGCATCAAATGAGCGTGGACAATTTCAGCCTAGTGGGTGGGAGCTAGCTCGCAGTTCAGCAAAAATAAGCATTAAATTGGCAGCCTGGCCCAGATGTCAGCTTGACTCATTGATAGCTCTCTTGCCTCAGTCAGAAGTAACTTCACTTAAATCCTGCAGTAATCCAATTCACTGTTAATGTTTGACCTTTTCAGCTTCATCAGTTTAGATTTGGAGAAGTAGGCATGCCCTTGCGAGCCAAAGCCTTAAAGGGTATAACAGTTTGCTGCATTTGCAGTTGTATAATATATGGGTTCAATTCCCGAGCAGGGCAAAACCTTAGGCAAGTTTCCTTACTCCACATGCCTCTGTTTATCTAGCAGTAAGTAGCAACCCGGTTGTTAGTTAATTGGCAGATCGCTTTTCAGGGGGTAATAATCCCTTCCAAAGAAAAAATAATAACAATTTGGTGACTCAGTCCACGATTGTTTGTGGACTCTGCTGTGTGCAATTGACTGCTGAGTTTCGCCCACAAACATACAGTCACGTAACAGTATATTCTGTGAATCACTTTGAGATGTCTCGAAGGCATGATAAGGCGCTATATCAAATGTAAGGATTATTTTTATTTATTATATAATTTTCACATGTATTAGTGGCTGAGCATCCACATGCTATATAACCCAGAAACGTATATGAACCATTCCCAACATTTTATTTCAGGAGGAGGCAAAACTGGAGAATGCCCTTGAGTATGTAACTGATAGTAAACGAATGGGAAGAAAACTTCAAGACACTTTTGCAGATTCATTGCGCCATGTAAATAAACTTCTAAATAGTAAATTTGGGTTCACTTCACGGAAAGTTCCTGCCCACATGCCTCACATGATTGACCGCATTATCATGGATGACCTTCAAGAAATGTAAGTCATCAGGACATTTTTCTTGATCATTTTATTATAGTATTTTTTTAAAAAAAAGTGTTTTTAACAATAAATTCATAATCTTTGATTTGTTCATTTAATATGACCAAATATTTTGTCTGCAGTATGTTTTGACTCTTGACAAGAGCATTGTACAGTTCTGTTAAATGACTTACAAACAATCAATAAACAGTAATGCATGTTTCAAAGTGATTGCTGTTCAAATATTGTAGGCATGATTAGCTTATTGATTATTGTTAAAGGGCTTCTTCATAGTTTAAGCATCTTCTGGTGTAACACTGAGCCATACGGGTTATAGAGCTGGAGGTTCAATGTATGATCTCAGCAGAGTTGGCAAGGGCAACAGTTGCTACAATAGGACTTAACGTCCTGGGCTCCGGGGGGGGGGAGACATTTAAGCCCATTTCTGCTCCTGATCGCTATCCATTAATTAATACTACAATGAGTGCAGATGGATGGAAAGTGAGAATAGGAACCAAGTCTACAATGATGTCTTCCATGACTGTATAAATTGTCAACACTTTAACATAAAAAAGGACTACTTGGTGAAGTAGCAGAAACCTTTGCCCTATAAACAGTAGCCCAGAATCAGTCAGCACCTGAAGAGCAGAAAAAAGGCAGAGAAAGCCTAATGTGTATTAGCAAAAATCATGTTTAGGAATCCTTCACTTGGCAATGCAATGTATCTTTGTTTTAATTCTATGTGATCTGGAATACAAATGTAAATGCCTGTAAATAGTATCTGGCAGAAGCAAGTCTTTTCAATTTGCATGCTGATCATTGGTAACTCAAGCTCCCATAAATATCCGGCAATTTTTTAAAAAACTTGTTAAAATCCTATTAAAATTATTCATTTCATTTTGGTAATGTCTTAATTTACTTCTATAATACTGGGAAAAACTCATTTCCTATTGACTGAACTTTTTTTGTCTGAGTTGAAATAAGATGTTTTTAAAGCCGATTATTTTTGGACAGTTTTCCAAAGGAATTTGACAAGACATCAGACCATAAAGTTCGCCATCCTGAGGATATGCAGTTTGCATTTTCATATTTTTACTATGTAATGAGTGCCCTACAAGCTTTAAACTTGTCCGATGTTTTTGATGAGGTCGACACTGATCGCTCAGGAATTCTCTCTGATCGAGAAATACGGACATTAGCAACAAGGATTCATGAACTCCCTCTGAGTTTGCAGGTAAATCTCCTGCAACCTGCCAAGCTCCTGATTCGTGTGTTTGATAAGCAATAACACACATATAACCTCATTTTCTGTGTTCTTATAATGTCAATGAGCAATCAAACAGTTTGTATAAATTAATTAAAATGTTTGATTTAGAGCACTGAGATATGTCCTCTGGTTTCCTACTGGACTTTCAACTTTAGAATAAAGTAATAGAGGTCATTTTTATGAATTTGATAATAGCAATTGCATTTTTGTGCTTTTCAAGTTTTTCAAGTTTACTGCTTTCAACTTTTTAAAAACAAATTGAATACAAACTTGATCCATGGATGAGAGAGAAGTGAATAACAATAAATTGCATTTATAGAGTACCCTTCACATCAGAAGGATGACCCAAGGCGCTGGGAGTAGAGGGATATGGTACAGGGGTTTAGTAGGGCTGAAGGCTCATGGAGCATCAACATAAGCATGGACAAGTTGGTCTGAATGGCCTGTTTCTATGACATACAATTTATGTAATGTAATTCTATGTATTCAGGAACTGTTTGATATTGATAGTAGATAGGAGTACATGATTAGCACTTTTCCATGAGAGATTGGTGCACAATTTTATGCACTTTCCACTGAAGCAAGATTGAGGATGTGGATGTATTTTGCGGTGATTAATTAACACTGTTTTAGCTTTAATTGTTGTCTGTTGAAACCTAGGACTTAACAAGTTTGGAGCAGATGCTGATTAATTGCTCAAAGACCCTTCCCACAAATGTCACGCAGATCAACCGTGTTCATCCCACCCAGGAAGCATATTACGACCCGCACTTGGTAAGAGGTTTTGAGCTAGACTGAATCCCATCCAGTGGAATTACCAAAATAGTTTTAAGTATTTCTCTATTGGAAGTTTATCCAATAAGATTAAACTTTCCTTTTGTCTTGATCATCTTTCAATAAGATGGGCCTTAAGACCTTTCTTGGCCTCTGCTGTTTTGTAACCAGGGATCAGATCTGTGTGAGAGTGATCAGTTCTTTTTAACGTTTTCTCTCAGTGAGACTGTGTGCGCACGTGTGGAGAATGAGATCCTTTTTGGTTGGCACCTCATTTACATTTTCATCGATGACCAATTATCCCCACTGTTTGCTTATCCACAATGAGTCCAGTCACAATTGGTGCAGATAATTGTCTCTGGAATATACTACTATTTTAGCATACCAAATAACAAATCATGAAGAAATCTGAAATTTATCGTATAGTTCATACTACTCAATTTTTATCAGAATTTTGTACATGCAAACCAGTTTAGCATTTCTGTGACTGATTTAAGGACAAGAGACATGAGTTTAAAATTGTAACTAGAAGTGTGAAAGGGGAAATTAGGAAGATTTGTTTTTTTCAGAGAGCTGTAGGAATGCAAATTGATTTGCCAAGGATTGCTGTTGGAGCTGAGTTGATTGGTACATTTGAAAGGGAATTAGATGAGTACATTTGGATGGAGAGTACTAGAGGGTATGGGGAAGCAGGTGGGATTTAATAGATGGCTTTATTGGAGGAACAAGCGCCAACACTGATGCAATTTGAAAGTCGTTCTAATGGTTGCAATATTGTGTCCTATATTTCTATGGAAATTGGATGGTAACAAATAATTTTTTTGTCCTAAAAATGGTATAGAAACAACTTTTTAATTTTGATTTAAATACAGTAACAAATTAAGAGGAACTAACCTGAAACAATAATATTAATGGTGTAGGCAAGCGGAAGGTGAGATACAAAGCAATTACCCTTTTCTTTATTGTGGAAGGGAGGAGGAAAGTGTAAGAATTGTTCCTCAGTATCTAAATATCTAGTATCTAAATTTTTCTTTTATTTGAAATTGTGTTTCATCATTGTAATCTTTCAATGTTTTATACCACCTAAATTGAAGTCTTGCCGTTCGTGTTGATTATTTTGCGTTTTTTGAAAGATGGTGTGGAAACTTTTTTTTAAAAGCATTGAAATCTATACTTTGTCAGATATAATACAAGGGTGTTCCAAATGCTCTTGTGAGAAACGATTGTGAATAGGCTCTAGTTTGAAATCTTGCTGGAGAAACAGTGCAGTGATGGATCTGGAGACAGCTGCAAGGGAAAACAGCCAACAAACAAATCCATTTATAACATTCTGTGTAACATTATCTATGAAAATACTGATAATATAATGCAAGCCAAACAGTGTTCAAGTAGCTTGAAAGTTGTGTAATATTTTGTTATATTCTGTGCTGAATAGAAGAAAGAAAATGGCTCAATTTGAATGTGTGGGCAGTAGCTTGCAGTGTGAACTTGCATTATTGTACAATCACATTTGAAGAGGTTAGCTGACTGAATTCATCTGAAAATGACAGTGATATGTAGTTGAACAGTTGCAAGAGCACTCTATATTTGAGAGGAGTAAATTCCTACTATATCTATGTATCATTGAGGACTGTTCATTTTATTTGTAGTGTCAGTTTGGCTCAGCTAGTAGCACTCTATGACTTCTGAGTCTGAAAGTTTGAGTTGTGTTCAAGGATTTGACCTCATAATTCACATAATTGCACTCCACTGCAATACTGGGAAAGTTAGAGGTTTGGCTCAGCTAGTAGCACTCTGTGACTTCTGAGTCCGAAAGTTTGAGTTGTGTTCAAGGATTTGACCTCATAATTTAGGTTGACGCTCCACTGCAATACTGGGAAAGGTAGAGGTGCCATTCTTTAGCTGAGACCTTAAACTGAGGGCTGATCTGGTCAATATTCCTCATCATACAAATTTTACCAACCTTTAATTAAATGAGCACTGCATACCTCACTGCTGTGCGATTAGCTTCTGTGTTAGTCACTAATCTTCCAAGTAACTCATTATGTTAAGACTTTTGAGACCTTTTGTAGTGATGATGTACTACATCAAATGCAAGTGTTTTATTACTTAACTTCTATGGAGAAACCTCTTTTTATGTCTGTATTTTAACCCAATGTTAAATACAATTTGGAGGCTTCCTTTTTGCCTCTACCACATTTGTAACTACTTGTTAAAATTTGGTCTGTTGCAGCCTCCGGTGACGAAAGGTCTTGTCATCAACTGCAAACCTATTACTGACCGTATTCACAAGGCTTTCAAGGATAAAAATAAATACAAGTATGTTAAATTATGAAATAGTTTCCTTTTCTCTATAAAAGTTAAACATTTGCAAATGGATAACCCCAAATTCCACAACTTGTATAAGAAATATGTTTAAACAGATAATATCTTGCAACTTTACAATATCACCTTAGTGTTTTGTTTCAACATTAAATGTTCTTGCTGCTTATTAAGTTGAGGGTTGTCTTTAGTAAATTATCCAATGACATCAGTTTGCCTGCATGCAGAAAGCCACAAAACTCTATAATAATAATAATAATAATAATCCTTGCATTTGATATAGCGCTTTTCACGTCGGGAGGACGTCCCAAAGCGCTTCACAGAACACACTGTAAAGTGAATTGACTGTATATTTGTGGGCGAACGCGGCAGCTAATTGCGCACAGCAATGTCCCACAAACAGTCTTAGATTGAAAATGACCAATTTATTATTGTTTTTGGTTTTTTGCAGGGATTATTATTAGGCTCTGTGTGGAGTAAGGAAACTTGCCCAAGGTTTCGCCCTCTGCCTGGAATTGAATTCTATCACACTTATCACAAAGTCATGGTTTATGTATTGATGCATTTCAAAATGGAGCTATCTGTATGTAATATGTATAATTTATAAAATATTTTCATTAAAAACTTAGAGATTTTTCTTCACGTTTTCTCCACTCAGGTCTGAAATCATGGGAGAGGAGGAAATTGCATTTAAGATGATTCGTACCAATGTTTCTCATGTTGTTGGTCAATTGGATGACATCAGAAGAAATCCCAGGTACTATTTTGATTTAAAATAGGTCATTTTTGAGGGACATTGTAGTGCGCTTATAAGCTGCTGTTTGCCAAAAAGTACACAGTTACTAAACCTTACAATATATTGTGTAAATATTATGTGAGTGAGAGGCCAACCTGCCGTGAAAGACACCACATCAAATGTAAGGGTTATCTTATTCTACTGTACACATGGCATTACTCTAGCCTGCAATGAAGAGCTAATTTTGGAACATGGTTCACACCAAGAAAGAGTTTGGGCACTTAGGCTTTAAGGTATGCCAAAGCTAGAGCTCAAGATATCACAGGTTCAAAATTGTGAAGGGCAATTAGTGAAGATACATAGAGTAATTAACAGTTGATCAATGGGTTACCAGGAAAGTTGGTAGCAGCTAGGACACTTGATAGTTGCTAGTGTTGCTCATTCTAAATTTGCTTCTTATTCTTGCAGAAAATTTGTTTGCTTAAATGACAACATTGACCACAGTCATAAAGATGCACCTACAGTGAAAGCAGTGCTTCGAGATTTCTACGAGTCATTGTTTCCGATAGCTTCACAGTTTGAACTCTCAAGAGAATACCGTAACCGATTTCTTCATATGCATGAGCTCCAGGAATGGTTAGTTTAGTTGTTCTTTCCATGATGAAGTTTAATGCATTGATCTCTAATTATATTGTGTTGAAGTCCTCTTGTCAATACATGTAGCAATTTAAGCTCACATTGTTAAAGCTGTAAGGAACGAATTATAATTCCCCTCCCAGAGTTTAATTATTCAATATGGATTTGATCTCATGTTCCTTGCATCACATTTGGACTGCCACTTTGCTAATGTACAACAGCATCATATACAACACAATGAGCATGTTTTTTGGGGTGGAGAGATAGTTATCAAACGCCAAAGTAAGATTTACCAGTAATTTTATGAACAAAGGGGCGAAGGGCATTCTGGTCATGCTTGTCCATCTTCAAGGATAGCAAGGTCCTGATGCAAGTCACGCTTGCGTCATTTAAGTCTTGTGTGCAGAAGTCCTTCTTTATGGATCTGAGCTCCTGGGTATCCAGAAGAGTGGCTTCCCCTGCTCATTTGCAAAGTCCAGGATCAAGCAGTGAGATGGATTTGTGGCAAACATGGAAGCAGCTGCAGGAAGGAGGGTTCTGGCCTACACTGACCTGTCGCTAAGCACCCTGGAGACGCAGTCAGCTTCACTGCAGCCATGTCTAATTGCCGAGGCTCCTCAACTGTTTGGATGAGGGCAGACTTCCCAACTCTTCCCTCCACAAGCTGAAGATTATTCTCAACTCTGCAGCTTGTGTCTGCTCTTGCACTAAGCTTCATGAGCCGATCGCCTCAACCTTGCTCGGCTTCACTGGCTCTCGACCCCTCGGAGATCGAGGTCACTTTTAAAGCCCTCCACGGTCTTGTTCCTCCCTACCTCTGACCTATTAAAACTTCACCAACCTGTGCGCTCCATGTTCCCCGACCTGCCTGCTCCATGTTCCCCGATCTGCCTGCTCCATGTCCCCCATGGATTAAGTGGGTAAATCACGATTTTTCACAAATTTACCTGGGTATCTTTGTGTTACATTTTTTCCCGCGAATTTCTCTGCATAATAAACTAGAACCCCAAAAACCCTGACAACTGATCAGGTTGATTAAAACTAAATCAACATTAAGGGTCCTTTAATGATAAATGGAAATGCATCTTTAATGGAAATTTATCATTAATGGAAACTGTTCTAATCCACCAGTAGGTTAGTGCTGTTCTGTGTTTCCAAGAATAGCAGCCAGTAGCATTTATACTGATCATTTAGCAAATGGTATATCAGTCTTATTTATACAGTAAATTAAGGAGCAGTTATTTTTAAGCAACTCTTAAGTAACCTGATATGGGAGCTTATGAAGCAGTAATATGAATTCTAAAATATCTTGTGCTTTCTTACTATGTGACATGAGCAGTGATTTATTATGTCAAAATATATATTAATGACCCTTTCTATATTTTTGAAGATTTATATGGTTCTAACTGTCAGCACTTGAATACAAATAAATTTAAATCAATTGACGCCAGTAACTGAGACTCTGATTTGGCCATAACCCTTAACTGAGTATTTTATAATGCATGTGGAATAAGATTACAGAAAGCAGGTTAGTGGTACAGCAATAGATCACACAAAAAACTCAAATTATTATGTCCCTTTGGCTCGTTTGATCTCATCCTTACAGAATTCCAATCTCACTTTCTTCCCATCGCAGCATTGAGCAGTTTCTTAAACCTCTCCAGTGTTCTGTCCTTGGCTATTCTTCCTGGAAATATTCAGGCTATAATATGTACAACATGAGACTGAGATTCTTACCTGTGGCTTCCTCAGATGGTGTGTTCCAATTTTAACTTGTCTGGAATAGAGAATTGGGAGGGTGTTGAACAATTGTGTTCACTTCTGGCTAAGATGAGGTATTAATTCTTGAACAGATCCTTTTAATTACTTACTATTTTCCTGGTTAATATTAAGAATTTTTAAGAAATGTTTCAGACAAATCTTCATTTACTTCACTTTGGGCTGTATATTATAAAAATATAAAAGTGTAAGAAGATTATTATGAACATATTTTAATAGGAAATTGCAATGAATATTTGAGAGCTTTAAGTAGGTTATGTAAATAACTTCCAGATTTGGTGGGGAAACAAAATGAACAAAGGAAGAGGTGTTCAGTAATGGTCAGGGGGGAAGTGATCCTCCCCTATCTGTTGGCTTTGCTGTGTTCCACTTGCTTCGCTGTTAGGAGTATTTTGTTTTTATTGCAGAAGGTGGCAAATGCTTGAAAGATTTTTAATCTTTGAGAAGGTCATGTGTACTGGAGGTCACTGTGGAAGATATTTGAACTGGAATCAACTGAAAAGTTGAGAGCATTGAAAGATCTATCTCAGGACTTGAGGCCAACGTTACCCTAGATCAACCCCAATAGGAGCATAGAATCAACCAATGACCAATTCTATTTAATTGTGCATAATTTATAATAAATACCAAGTAAATTTAATTCATCATAACCTTTGGTTCAGACTGTATATTATCAATCTCTTATTTAATAATTCAATCATTTCTGTTTTCCCATCATGAAGCAACCAGATGGCTGCTTAGCATTAATTCAAAGTCTGTATATATTAGAGATGTAGTGAGATGGAAACAATTGCACACATTTCTGAGATTATTATTCCATAGAGGCAAAGCTGTCAAGAAAGCAAATGGAATCCTAGATTTTAAAAATAGGCGCATAGAATAAAAAAAGAGATAATGCTAGACTTATTTATATAAAACGTTAGTTGACCTCACTTCTTGTGTCCAGTATCGGATACAGTATTAAAAATGTTGTCAAAGACTGTATAATGCAGAGGAGATTTACTAGGATGATACCAGATTAAATCTGCTCAATTGCATGTTTTTTGAGGGATTTTATAATTGTTCAATGTGCTGATTCTAACATCTATTTAAGGTTGAGTGTACCTATGGTTTCGGTGTGCTGTTTATGACAATTTCTAAGAAGGTGCTCCTGCAAACATAGTTTTGGTCGACCAGAGCAATGAAGCTGTTTTTTTCTCAGTGAGAAGTAATTTGAAAGCACAAAGCAAGAAAGAGTTCTACCTCGCACAGCTGCCACCAGTATTTGGTATATTTCTTCCTTTTTTTAAGAGTACTAAATACAGACTGGCAGTGATTTATTTTTATCCCATGTGGAAGTTATTTTTGCTTTTAAAAGTTTCTCAGCACAACTGTGTCAAGTAGCTAACGTCAGGGTTTACTACGGTGATATTTTTCTAAAATTATATCTACCAGCTGGAGTCTGGACTGTCAGTCAAGTGTCCATGACCTTTTATATTAAAAGAAAAGTATTTTATTATAAATGTCTCGCTCTAGCAAGAGCACAGAAAACTCAGAACTATTTCACACCTTATGTTAATGCCATCATTGATCTGAATATACTAAGAGCAGGCTGCCCATGACCTATACTTACAATCGGATATATCGGGTTACAGGTATACAATAGTATGTTGCACCTCTCCAGTGTCATCCATTTCACCACTGTTAACTATTGACAGCATATTTACAATTTCTCCTGAGCTTTTCATTTCACTAAAAGGCCACAAGGTTTCTCTTGAACTCTGCAAACAAAATTGATCTTTTTGTAGGAGTCAATTATACGTCTTATCCAAAATTACTGGCAATCCAATTCTATTCTTTCATGCAGTTTCACAACAATTGGTTCACAATTAGATTGTACAAATGTTATTGGCAATCAATATAGTCTCCCACTTTCTGCCTCATTTAAATTACCTAGAATGAAAAGCATAAGACGTAGGAGCAGGAGTAGGCCATTCCGCCCCTCAAGTCTGCCCTGCCATTTAATAAGATCATAGCTGATCTTCTGAAGATTAGCAGTGTTGTATCACAGAAGCAGCCCTGTGAATTCCCGTACTGTAATTTTGCTGAAAGGTTGGGTCTTGTTTCAGATATATGTCCTTAGACAAAGGATTGTATACTGATATAAATGTATGTCAGCAGCATTGAGTATTACTTTTAGTTTTGTTCTTCGGTGAAGGAGTAATGTACAATCCACTATTTATAAACTTCATTGAAACATTTTCTTCGCAGGAGGGCCTACAGGGACAAGTTGAAGTTCTGGACACATTGTGTATTAGTAACTCTGATTGTCTTTACAGTATCTTCATTTTTTGCTGAACAGGTATGTATATTCACAAAAATCTTTAAAATAATGTATTCATTTTTTTAAAATGGAACTTCATCTTAATTATTTAGGCTTAGGTACTAGTTAAAGGCATATGTCAGAACCTGCACCCTTCTTAATACTCTGCAGGGCAAAACGTTATAACTTGGCCATCTGGATCTCCAATATTTGAGAAACTGAGTTGTACTAAAACGTGAAAAATGTCCAACTTTTAGGCCGCTATTACAGCACAAAATCGGAAGCCAGATGTATTGCACTTGCAGTGTAGTGGGATTCAGTCATCCCCGGCATGAACATACCACCCTGTCTTATCTTTATTCAGAACTCAACTGATGGTACATTGATAAAATTGCCTACTTTGAGTGAAGCAAGTCATCCAGAAAAAATAGAATTATTTTATTTGGGGTGTAATTCTCTACAATCCTGTGTAAACTTTTTTTTCTTGCTGTAAAAGGTCAACTGTCTCTCTTCATTTTTCAGTTGATTGCACTGAAGCGAAAAATTTTCCCAAGAAGACGGGTGTATATGAATGTCACTCCGGATCGAAGCAGTGTGTAAAATAAATTCTTCAGAAGCATCTGCTTTCATTCTTAATCCATAACTTCAGCTTCTGATCAGCAAGAATGAGAATGTGTGTGCCTGTCATTAGACATTCAGGAGTAAAATGATGAGGAATTGAATGAAGGAAACAAGCGCGAAGGTATAAAATAAGGAATGGAATTTGTGGGTAAAAACCTGATCATGTACCTGAATTATAAAACTCCAGAAACCGAGAATATTTGCAGAATGGCCATGGATCAGAGATCTTCGTTCTTTGACTGCTGTCAGCAGTTTGGATTTACAGTGTTAGACCAGTGCCATTTTAACCTGTACCAACTTGGCAGCTGAAGCAAGTATCAAAAGCACTGGGAACAGCGTGTAATGATGGAAATTCAAGGTGATGAGGGACAGCAATGGAGCCTTGTCCCTGAACTCGCTGTTCAAGTACCATTCCATGCAAATTTTCTGACATTCCCCAGGGAAATCATGTCTTTGTGCTGGTGTAAAAAATGTTTAATGTATTTGCACTACTGCATTATCAGAGAAATTGGTGCATTGCCCTTCCTACCGTGTCACAGATTGTAAAATAAGATAGTGGCAAAGCTTTACACTGACTGAAAAACCTACAAAAAGCCCAGTAACTGGAGGAGCTGTTCTTAATCTGCACGTCCACAGTATATACTCCAGTGTTCTATGAAACATAAGCATGAAAACAATGCTTTACTGTTACGTTCCTAGAGATGTGTAGCATAGCTTGCATTTGTTTTATGATGCCTTTATGTGGCAATCAAATAACTAAAACTGAACTGTTAATGCTGCATTTTCCTACGAATATAGCTGACTGATATAATGTAGAATGACTTATGCCTCCATAATTTTACTTGTAACAAGTTATTACTAGGTAATTGTTATACTGAAAGGAATGAACAGGCTTTTACATTTGAACTAAATGCTTGAATTTAACTAGGATCTTTCAGTTCTCCAAACATCCCAAATATATACCTAAGTGCCTGTTTTGATTGGTACAGTTCACAATGGTGTGCATATATTCGGGGGAACAAATTAATTTTAGAAATTGGGTAAAATAAATTTAACAGACTCCTTTATAGTTAAGGCTATCGATACTTTTAAAGATAAGTTGTTTTATACTTAAACTAGCAGATACAAATGCCTTTTAGCTTCATTTGAATGTAAGTCATGTAATTGTACAGTGACTTTTTAAATGCATTGAATTTTGATTTGAACATAAAATATTGTCCAGCAAGTGACTAAGTATTGTTTAAATTAGAAAACTCATCAGATGCCTAATCTGACTGAGCATCAGCAATCTTACTAGGATCAACATTTTTTTTCATCTTTCACTGTTTCTTTTTTACGAACACTATTGTGGTGGAGACTTGAAACTGACGCTTGCAGAAACAATATATAGCTATTCAAATGTAGTAAATGTTTCCTGAAAGTAATAAAACATTGTATGTTGGAATAGCCATGATTTTGATTTATGTTTGCAAAGCTTGCTTGCTTCCGTATAGTGGTCTTACATTAAAACTGTGAAAGGATGCCGTAGTTATGTGTGCCCTTAAGATTTAATTTGTATATTTGACATCTTTTGAGCCAATCAAAATAGATTCAAACTTGTTAAAAGGTCTGATATGAAATGTATGACGTTAATCCATGCACAATTGCGGCAAGTTTTTAGCACAGCTGTTCAGATGTCTAACTTTTTCTTTTTGTGGAGAGGCGGTGGTGCGTTTTGTTGATTTTAATGTAACTGTTGTACTTTTAAAAGGATGAAAATGTTGCTGTGTAATGTGAAATTAAGTGAATTTAAGGATCTTGTTTTTGCACAGTAAAGTATTTTATTTAAAATTACCCCTGTCTTCATTTAAAGATGAAAATATTTTATAAATCAAGAAATCAAAGAGCTCAGATATAACCTTTCACTTGGCTTGTGTAACAAGTGATAAACTGACACAAAATTGTAAAAAGCTCTCTGTTTTTAGTGACCACAAAGCCAATATATAACAGATTGAAACTAAAATCGGATTTAAAGTCAGATTTTAGATCCTCCATTCTGCTAATGTATGTCGGAAAATTACTATATCAGCACAGAAAACCTAAGACACATCCAGCATTCCCTGTCATAACCCTGCTATCTAACAATATTAGATTCACCTCTCCAGGAATCTAGGCCAAAGGCACGTTCAAAACTATTGCTATTAATCACTGCTCTTCTGCAGAATTCTCAGCATCTGTCATTCACACTGTGGCCAGCTCTGCAATAGTTGGAATGAAAGTACCATTATAATTTGATTGTATAGGCAAAATGGATCCCTCCTTCCAAAAAAAAACATCAGACTTGACTTGCTGGAGGATTATGTGGGCAGATCTATGTATACAGTACTTAGGTAGTCAACTAAGTCAGTGAATGTTTGCTTCTCATCTGGTTTTCTTGTTTTTTTGCATATTGCAAAAATGTAGTTGCTGCCTTCCGCTTGATGCGGCAATCCCATGAGGCAAAGGTTAGTTAATGCGTAGCACAATAATATTCTGAAAGCCACAATAAATTCATACTTGTATAATTAGTATAAAAATGTGTATAATTACAACATTTTCCTTTTAATTATTAATCCAGCCACAGGTTCTTTAATTTTGTTATTGATTACCAGCAGTTGTGAAACTCTGAGGAAACAAAGTACGTTTTTGAAAGGTGACTAATCAAGTTAATCTGAATGATAAATCTCACTGTTTACGCTGTACTATTTTACTGAAAATAGCTAATGCTTAAATCGCAAAATATTCTTTCTTGGTTCAATAAAACCTAAAAATATTTTTAAAGTATATTTTCATACGTGTTTTTTCCGCATTTAGTGGGTTTGAAATTACTTGTACTACCAGGAACACTTTCATGCTAACTGATAGTTATTTGGATATATCAAGTTGTAACTTAAGAGTCTGGAGTGAAAAATCTGTAATGTCTTTAATTCAGATTGTTCATTCAATATAATTGCAAACTTGAGTTTATTATCCAATAACTAATAGGTGCACAACTTTCAAGGCTTTATCTTCAAAGAATTGACAAGGGTCAAAGAATATAAACTGAAGAATGATGAAACTTGAGGGATAGCCATGTATTTGCAAATACTGCCATTTGCTAAATTGCGACTACAAAGTTTCAGATCTCTTTTTACAGATGATTATTGCTTTTTGCTTTGTACTTTCCCAGCTGAATTTATCCACCCAGCTTAAGTAGAAGCTTTTGTTTTACACGGATTGTACCATTAACAATAGAATCCTGTAAATTGCATCTCTTCAATAAAATAAATATAATTTTGAATACAGACTGAGGAAACAATAAGTTCTTAATAAGGCGATGTTAAGGTGTTAAGCATCCAAATTTAATAGTGTCAAATGGATGGGACGACTTTATCTAGTGGAGAACTTTCTCTCATAGAAGCCTTTTCTTCTCCTGTAAGACTTTTTTTCCTCTCATATAAGATGTGAAAATAGACCAAATGATTTTTCTTATCAAATATAGAAGAGTGAAAAAATTATTAGCCAGCGAGCAGGGCATTGGAATAGGTAAGTCTGGCGGTGACAAAAACGTGTTTGAGGGTTTTCACTGTGTAGGGTTGAGGTATTGGCAAAGGTAGGCAATACTGTGGATGATGGAGTTGGAGAATTTTGGAGGGGGAAACCTGCACTTGTGTTTTCTGCTTGAAATTGCTAAACCGATGAGGTTTTTGCACATGTGCAGTGAGTAGAATGTAGATTTAATTATAATGTAGGCCGAGAAAGGGAAATTTAGAGAGATCTCAATAATTACTTTGTCATTGACTAGTTTAAAAACCCAACAAATTAAGAAAACACTTTAGGAAAAGAAAATCCTCCATGCCTATGGGTTTCAGGGGGATGACGACACACAAGGTACCAAACTGCTCTCTGATCTTCTACCCGATTTCTCTGCTCGTTCCCATTCAACTAACTCAGGCTTTCTATCCTCTCTGTGACACAGTTGTTGTCTGAGCCTTCAGATACTTTTCCCTAACCTCTGGAGCTTGCTCCCTTTACATTCTGTTTTTAAATCTCACCTGAAAATCTTGAACCTGTGATCACTTTCCCCCATCTCCCCTCTCCCTTGCTCAGCATCTGACCCTGTCTTTGTAAAGCATTCTGAGATGTTAATCTACTTGAATCTGTTGTGATTCCACACTGTAAATATATTTTTATATATGATTCATGATTCTTGATTTGTTGATGTTGATACCTGTATTTCAATACATGATTAATTAAAACTGAATACTGGGTTTCCTGTGCTAAAATAACATGTTATCCATTTTATCTAGAGTGTGCAAAGTTGATGTAGAGCTAATTGAATAAAACAACCTTCCCTTTGCTATTTTCTGACAGAAATTCTGATAATTTCATTGAGAAACAAGAGAATTTGATCTAACATTCTCGTTGGCAGATCACAGATTGTGTCCAAAAACAACTATAATAGTCTAATTAGCTGTTCGTAGCTTTAAACTACAAACAACAAATTAGACTAGTATAGTTGTGTTTGGTCACATTCTACATTGGCAATATTTGGGGATTATTTAAGGTTACTATTATGTACCTTGACATGTAATGATTGTATTCAGAGGAGACTTTCATACTGGAAAAGTCTGGCCAGAAGCAACTTTGCTTAATGCATACCTGTGCTGAAGTTGAAGGTGATGTAGGGTAAAGTCATAGTATATATTACAATTTGAAATGTGCAAATATATTTGTTTAATCCACATAAAATGACTCTGATCTTGACTTCCATAGAAGCCGAGAAATTTACAACACCAAAGGAAGCCATTTTACCTATCAATTCTGCACTGCCTCTGAGCAAGCTGTTCTAGTAAATCTAGTAAATCTAGATTTACTAGAACAGCTTGCTCAGAGGCAGTCTAGTAAATCTAAACTCGGATGGAATTTCTCCTCCACAATTCCAGCAAAATGAAGCATTATGTATGTGGGTGTATCAACTACTATGCATGTTTGTAAGAAAGCTATAGTGGTGCAACCTTCTGGGAATATTAATAGAATCCTCACAGTGAATTGTGGCTTACATTTCCAATTAGTTGAGTGTACATCAATGTTTCTAGGAAGGTAATTTTAAATTCTTACATTGCTCTGGAGATCTGCTGAGAGATTAGTTTAAAGTTTAAAGTATTGATGATTGAGATCTTATTGTGGAACACATTGATATGCTAACAAGCTGTGCTATGGAGGGAGGATTCAGAAAATCTTTGATTAACAACCTGTTGAGTTCATGACATTAACTTGGCCTTCTGGCAAAGAGAAAATGTACAAGCCAAGCCAACTCAACACTCAAATCAAATAGTTTAGCAGCGGCATTTGCAGAGTCATGAGTACAGGTCACACGTACCCCTTCTTAATCTGGGAATAGTTCAGAGGGACCCAAAGGGAGAAAAGGAATCTATTGTTGATAGACGTAAGAAAGATAAAATCCTCTTCTGTGAAACCATTATTGTAAAATAATGGTGATAGAATTCAAAAGAGAATAGTCACATTGTAAAGTAACTAGAAACTCACTACACAGTAGATATTACAGAATAGTTTGAGTTGGATGGACTTCCTGTTTAAATACAGTATTCGTGGTTTTAGTTCAGGGAAGTCAAGTGGAACTCAAGGTGCAATATACCTGTGCAATTCATTATCAAGGAAATACCAGTAAAGTGAATGTGAGTTCAATTGCTTGTGCTCATTCTTTACATTGAGATCAGGATTTGTCACTGATTGTAGCTTTAGGAACTGTCTGGCTCAGTTTTCCTAGCGTAATGTCATGGCATAAGGAATACACGTTGTTGAAGACAAATATAAACACATTTTATTTACATTTGAATAATTGGTTAAGTGTGTTTGAAGGGTTCACTGAGCATCTTTCTTCCTTTGTGCAATGGTGAAGTCTAAACTATGCGAGTAAGGTTCAGAGGCAAGCACCATGATCATTTACTTGTTTATAGTATCTGCCCTGTCATGTGCTTAGCTCTACAAACAACAGCTGATAAATGTAGGTACATAGAATGTGGCCCCGGTTTAAGCAATGAAGAATTTAGTGTACAACAGCCAATTGAAGGACCATATGCTTAATTAATTAACTAGTTCTTTTAAATACGGCTTGAAAATACTTTTATTTTTGATTTATTATACCGATTTATCCTTCATCAACGTTTGCTTTTGTTATTCTTTGCTTTGGTTGTCATTTAGTAAATGCCTTAATTGAGGAAGGTTGAGTATTGGTGAAGTGTTGCTGTCTTCCTTGGATGGTGCTGAACTGTCCTAGCGCATTGGCTCCCAGTTGACATCCAGGGGCAGGATAAATATTAATCCGCATTATCTAGCTAATGCTTTCATTGCTGAATCTACAGTGAAAAGAGATAATGAGACTATTGTATAAAATTACTTGAGCTTGTTCCAATATATATCAAACTAGCTATGCTTGCAACCAAAGGGTCCAATATGGAATGTAGATTTCAGGATTATTATACTTTATATTATATTATTGTACTTTATATTATGCTCTATATTTGTTGCAGAATATATTAGTACAGATGTATCTTTCTAGAACGGTGTGTGATTTCCTCTGTCGCTACCTTGTTGCAGAATGCCATGCATACCTCATATTTTGGGGCTTAATTAAAGCATTTTTTAAAAAATATAGCTCATCAATGATAGGAGATCCCCGAAAACAAATATGCCCATGACACTTGTGCAAGCAAGACCTTTCTGATGAGGTATAAATCATGTTTCTACGTCAATCAGTTATTGCGTTATTGACAGATACACACACATCGTCGTTTTATTAGATATGTACTATTTGTAAAGTGAACAAGAAAATACGCTCAATATACTGAATCAAAAAAAATTCTGATGTGCATAAAATATAGGAGAACTTTCTTGAAATGAGGTTTCTTAAGTGATATAGTTAATTCTGATGGAAATATTTGTAGCTTTAAACTATTAACGATGATTTCAACAAAACTCTCCTGGCAAAGAACAAAAGGGTAATGTTCACTAAGATGTCTTTAAAAGCTGAAAGCCAGAAGATTGAACAAATCTGGAAAGCTCGGAAAGAACAAAGGAATATTAGGTAACAATATTCAGAAATATGCTGCACATATTGTGGACAAGTATTGAAAAAGGTAGAGAGAATAAAGGACGTTAAGATGTGTTTTAGGAGGGTATTCAAAGCGGAGAGAAAGCAGGGTGGAAGATTTTGGATGAGTTCCAGATCGCAGTTGAACAGCGGCTGAAAACTTGACCACCAATGGTAGGAGTCGGAAACTAGCAAAACAGATTCAGTGGATCGGTCGTTACATGCAGCAGAATAGGGCTGGAAGAGATTGTATACGCAGGAAGAGATTTCGTAGATCAGGCCAGAATCTTAAAAGATGATCCACTGGAATATTGGCAGCATATTGGTTACAATTCCAGTTCTGGATATGCAGATCCTAGTATTGTAGAGAACACAAGAGTGCAAACTTTGGATGAATTGGATTTGGAGAGGTTAGCTAGGGAAGCTGGTGAAGAGAGTATTGGAGAAGTTTGTCCTTGATGTGGCATGAAAGAAGATTTCAACATCAGAGGTATGGTAGTATGTGGGCAATGTTTCTGAGAGCGATTAACCAGACGTGGAGCTTTGAAACCCTGTTGTGGGGCAAGTTCACATCAAGATTGCACGCTGACTAATTATGTCTGAGTTGAGCAGCCATGGAGGTCAATGAAGTAAGAGCCAGAGGTCAGAGGCTTCAGTTTTGTTGCATTCAACTGATCATAGGATCATCAAAGGATCCATGTCTGACAGGCAGGCAGTTAGTCAATAAAACAATAAGTTCTGGAATTGAGAGTGGAAACAGAGCTGGAGGTGTGCCTTAATAGCATAGAATCTTATTGTTGTTTATTTTAATTTGTTCCCATGTCAGTCAGGTTTACTTAGAATTTGGGGGAGTTAAGATGAGGCATGTGCACAACTTGTACAGTTATTTCAATGGCATACCTTGCAAGCCAAAGTACTAACTAATCAGTAAAGTCAGGCAAGTAAGCAGTAATGCAGATTTTGAGGCCTATATCTAAATTATAGGATTATATTGATTGGTAAACGTATGAAGGATTTTTAACTGGTAATCTCCCATATTTCACTCCTAATTGCAAAACTTGAACTGTGACCCAAGATCTCAGTGGAGCCCAAGTTTCTGAAGTCAACGTGATGTACAAGGGATTCTCAATCGATAATGCTCAATAGATAAGATTTTTGGCACATTGATCAGAGTCTAAATGTAGACATGACCACATAAGCTAATTTAACAGATGGTTCAAAGGCATCTGTTGACAAATAGTTTCACATGGTTTCCATTTCCTTTCAACAGTTTCCAAGTATTACTGCATAAATCAATTTACTAACAACTGTTGCCCCCCAAAAAGGTGAAGAACCTGGCACCTGTGAAAAATCTCATTGATGTTAACCATTTTAATTGTGCAGTCATGTTTCTATATCCTCCTACAAGTTAGAAATTGGGGCACATGTTTGTACTTCATTTTTGTTCAACTGGAAATAATGCAGAATGTAAAAACACATGGTTGCTAAAATACTGTAACATCAAAATGAGGTAGGAAAGAATCGCCAAGATCTTAACATGTAAATTGTCATGTTGCATGCTGAAACTGTAAGAAATAAAGAATTTATACTTTTAATCTCATCTCAAAGTGCTTTAGAGTAATTACTGTCAAATATGACCTTTCTCATGCAAACTCATCGGCCAATTTGTGCACAAGATCCTATCAATAGTCAGGAGATAAATGACTGATTTATTTGGATAATTGTTAACCAGAACACCAGATGAATAGTGTCAGGAAATTGTTTACGTCCACCTGAAGAACAGGCAGATGGGGCCGCAACTTAACATCTCGTTCACAGGATAGCACCTTTTGCAGTTCCGCCCTCTCCATTACTATATTCGAGTGTCAACCTAGTCTTAGAATCCAACACCAATGTAAGGCTTGTAGCCATAATATTCTAATCTAGAGGTGAGAGCACTCCCAACAAAGCTAAATTGACACATAACATCTGTAGCCTTGATCTAAATAGTAAAGCTTCGAAATATACTGCAGCTGAATAGTCATCTTGTAACTGGTACCTCTTGGAAGAACCTACATTTTATAACAATAATAATCCTTGCACTTGACATAGCGCCTTATCATGTCTCAAAGTGCAAGAAAGGCCCTCCATAAAATTGTTGCAACATAACTATATCACAAGTTATGATGATTGTGTTATCATTGTTAAACACAATTATGCTTTGTAAACTGTTCATTGTTTAGGGAATAAAATTCTTGCAATATTTTATAAAATGCAGTTCAGTACTGTTTTAAGACAACATCTGCAATGAATCTTATTTATGTGATAATTTCTTTGCTAAGATCAAACCTATGTGTTTAAGGACAAAAGGACAATCAGAGAATTCCCATCAGTTTCTGACTATTCAAGAAATGGGAGATGGATGTTCAAAAATGTTGATAGGAAAAGTTAGCTGTAAGTATACATTCCCAATTCAAATCAAATCTTTTCTAGAACAAATCAATCTACATTATAATAATAATAATCCTTGCATTTGATATAGCACCTTATCACATCTTCAAGACTTGTCAAATGTCAAAGCTATTGTATAGAAAGGTGCCCATGAAAAATGCAATTCAGTTAAATACCAATGATGTAGAAAGGCATAATTTTAAAGCAAAACCAAAGTTCAACCCTATTCTCAACATCAACATGATACAGTGTGAACCTTTTACATCTGTGAAAGTAATCAGGTCCACAAGCTTCTAGGAATATAATATCCAGCTGATGATCACCATTAGTTCAATTGAACTTTAATGGAAGAGGTTATTTGTGAGTTCACTGAGAGAACGTACAAATAACCTCTTCCTTTAACTCCAGGATCAAGGGAGGAGGATTTAGTAACACTTCGCTCTTAAAATGAAATCAACTCTTTCTAAGGTAGCTGAAATACGTTGATGAAGAATTGTATTGATTATGCCGTTCAGGCCAGTAATATATTGACTATTCTCAGGCGAGATACTGCTCTTCCACTAAACCGGAGAAACAATTGTGCATTGTAAAAGCTATTAATTTCCAATAGCGCAGAATAAAATCCTTAACCTTCAACCACTATTCACTTTCTCCTGTTCCAAGTGCTTCACCAAGTTTCTGTGAAGTGTAGTGATTATGTATTTGTAGGCAAAGGTGGCAGCCAATTTACTCACAGCAGAGTCTCACATCCATGAAGTGATTGACCAATTCATCTATGATTAATGACCAGAATACCAGAGAAAATTCCTTTCTCTGTTTAAGGAGTACCATGGAATCGTAAACCAAAATCCTGTTCAGGTGTCTGTTAAACGTCTCACTTGAAGGACAGCACCTTCAACAATGCAACACTGCACTGGACAAAATCCTAATGTGGGGCTTGAACCCACAACCTTCTGACCCAGAGCTGAGAGCGCTACCAACTGAGTCAGGCTGACACCTATGTATTGTCAAATTAAAAAGAAAAAAAACTTGCATATATTATATACCCATTCTATGAATAACACAACATATTAAATAGACCAAGTTTCAGTTTAATACATTTCTAAAAAAATCAATTACACAATTTGACCTACAAAAACGTAAAACATGAGGAAAAAAAAACATTCAGCCCATTCCATCCACTAAACCAGGCTAATTATCTCCCATTCCATCTCCCAGTAGAAAGTTATTCATAGATAGTCCGGGTTTTCCAAACATAATTGAGTAAAAAAAATCCCAAATATTCATCTATCTCTACTAATCATGGCTTTCTTCTCTTCATTTCTTTCCCACCTTCACAGAATAGAAACGGTTGGGTTAGATTTTTTTCTCACCTATCCCTATATCTTTAATGCCGCTCCCAATCAGATACTTATTCTTTGCAAAGGATTTAAACCATCAAACAGCTTAATTGGAGTTTGCACTATAAAACCTTTCAATATTTTAAAAAAGGATCATCTATTGTGGGGTCAGATTGCAAATCCAGTTACCTGTTCACATTGGTTGTACCATTTTGTAGATCCAATATAATGCATTTCATAATTGTTCTAACAATTGTCTCTCATTTAACACAGCAGCACCAGGAAATGGCACGTGTTTGCAAGTCTCTTCAGTCATGTTCTGAATGCAGGCGGAAGCTGTAACGTTCACCTATGCAACATAATAGTTAATATAAAAATCATAGTTAATATAATGTTCATTCTTTCAATGTGAAGATTTGTATAATGTATAGTAGTTTTCAGTTTTATGGCATTTACACAGGTTACTGCAAATGTTAGTTAGTAATACAATTGAAAATTGTTAATTATTTTTGTGAACAGTATAATAAACTGGCCACCCAGACAATCAAATTATTGGTCTTTCAAAAATATTTGCTATCTAAAAAGAGCCAGCTAAATTAATGATTTCCTTTGAAAAGATTAAGCATTGTTAATGTAGTTCTTGTCATGCATTAAAAAGTGTAATACAATTTTAACATTAGCATTTAGGACTTAGAAATGTTGTCACATTTAAGTGTGTTCAACCACAAGTTTAAAAGAAAAGTACACCCAGAACTATTTAACAGATCTATTAAAAAATAATGTTAACCTACTCAGAAGGAAAGCAACCATGTTCAGTGCTTTAAATAGAAGACAATATTAAGAAAAATTGCATAAGAAAAAGTGTTTTAGTATAAAAATAGCTTCTTGCAAGTCAGTCCAGGCAGCTTGGAGAAGACACCCAAAAAACTACCAGTTTAATGATCCCAACATTGATATGTAGCTGCGATTTTTGCGTTGCAAAATAAGCACCCAATAAAATGAATTGCTAGAGAAAGGTTTTGCAAAATAGGTGTTTTAATGTTGGGAGTTTTCTTTTCTCAAACTATTTGATATTAAAGAATTTCATCTCATTGAAGAGTGCTGATAAAAATTCACCACTTCCCACTAGATTTTTTAAATCTTGTGTGTGGTCCGTTGAACAGGATTCATTTTGTTCCACCGCCCCGTTTAAAATGCCAGCACTAGCTGAGTATGAAGCATTCCAACTGATTTGAAATAAATGTTGGAAAAAAAAACTGACCGACTCTTAAGCAAAAAAATCAACTTAATTTTGCGAATGATGTGATTTGTTTAACAATGCTTCTCATGGCTTGTTCAATAATACATAAGCCTTGTATTTGGCAAGAGCAAACAGAATGTTTATTGGAAGTCTGGTTCAGACATCATTTTTGTAATTTAAGATTTTAAAAAACTGCAGTTTGCTCAAAGATAACTATTCATGAAAGTATAGTATAAAACATTTGTAGAAAATCTCTAATTTGCTACCTCGTGTTTTTGTAAAGTTGACAATTGTAAGAATTAAAAAAACTGTCTGCACTATAATGGTGGATGTCTATAGGATCCATCTATTAAAACTCAGTTTTGTAGTTGTGCATCACAGGAAATATGGTAATTAATAAATCAATGACTCAACACTACCTAAACAAATTTGCAAAACCTTTTTTCTAACTCATCACTGGAAAATAAAGTTGAATGAGACAAATACTTGTACTTGCAATGATTTTTAGTTTAATTGAAAAATGTTAAAAAAGAGACAAAATGTTGAATAGAAAGCAAAATAAAAGTAACATTCTTACCCACAGAGAACTTGAGTACAAGAAACATCACTTAATAATGCAAGTAGTACCACTGTAGTTCAATTGCATGATTGGGATTAGTTTTGCAATTATTGCAGTTATTTTGCAATAACTTCCAGTACTTCTAATTATGCATCTAAAGTAGAACCCCATTATAATGCAGTTTCACTTACAGCCTGATTTGTTGGTGAGCCTGATAGTTACTTACCAAACAATCTAAAATGTGTGCAAAAAACTGGCACAAACTTTGTCGGTAGCGACCTGAAAGTTAGACATTTCTAAGAATGGGAAACCAGGTGGCTTTCCGCAAACGTGCAAAGTAAATGCTGACTTGAACCACATCATAATGCTGATTGGCATTTTATGGACTCACAACTACTTTGTTATAATGGGGCTCTACTGTACAAAAGTATAGAGCATAGTAACCGAATGTTAAGAGAAATAGGTAACAGATATTGGCCAATTAGTGAATAGGAAAGCAAAAGTTTGGTTTCTCTTGTTTAGAAAATATAAAACGGTTTCTGTTACAATACATAAGACACCATTGGCAAATGCTACACTTAACAAACGTGTTTCAATTTGTTCCCGACAATATTCTGAAACCTTCTGCATAACATAATTGTTCTCAATCAATAATCTTCTACAGTTAAAAACAGGTGCCTGGCTGCATCCTGTGTTGTAACACATTCATTTGACAGTACAGTGACAAATATTTTAAAAGATTTCTGTTTTAAAAAGACAAATGATTGGATTGTTTGAATATTTCAAGTTCCGTTGGTTGGTCAAAACATTGTACAGTTCAAAAGTTAACAGCTCAAAGTATATTGGAAAGAAAATTAAAAGTTTAAACATTTATTTTCAGCTACAAATTGTTTCATTTTGTAAGGTGCTGATTTACCATCTTAATGAACATCTCTATATGACACTGTCCAAACAAATAATTGCAAACAGTTTAAAATGGAACAATGTAGCTGTAAGCAGCAATCAGTTTAAATCGATCCAAGTATCAAAAACAAAGTATTTGCCCATCAGGAGGAGGAAATATTTGATATCCTACAAATAATTACCATTCATTGTTTATATGCTTTCTGGGGATAATAATCCCTTAAAAATATTGGTCGCTCAATCCATGTTTGTTTGTGCCCACAAAATAGTCAATTCACCATACAATGTCTTCTGTGAAGCGCTCAACGATGTGACAAGTGCTATATCAATGTTTGGATTATTATTGTTGTATTATTAGTGTTGATGCTCTTTTTGTAACTATCACTTTACTTTTACCCTCAATATCCTAGCTTCATGAAGACTGCATTTTGAACTGGGGTCTGTGTGACAACTATTACTCTATAACTTTGCCTCCATAGTCATTGTTTATGTGTGAGCCTTGCCTGAGGTTCAGTGAACTATTTTGTTGTGTCGTCATTGCAACCAAGGCCTGTTTCTGTTCACACATGTTGCAGCAGTGGTCACTGAACACCATAAAAGGAGTGGAAAGCTTGGTAGTTTTGTGTCATTTCTCCAACTGGAGCTGGTGGGAGCAATTAAGTGACCTTCTCCTCTCTTTCACCCTCTCCCCCTCCAATAAAAAGCCTGCCCTATCTAAGGCTGGGTAGCTCAATGCAGATAAGGGATCAAAATTGGGTCTTAAATGATCTGCACAATATACTATGAATTGAGTCTACACCAATATCAAAGAAAGAAACCAGACATGCATAAAAACGTGAATGATTCATGTAAATCAGGTGAACAGGAATAGGTAGAAATAAATTGTTTGAAGCTGGAAGAATTTAGTATCCCTCCTCACCCACATTCTTTTGAAAGTATATTGAATTGATAAAACGCACAGCAATTTGAGTGATAATTAAAGGAATTTCGATTGGAATTTCTAGTTCAATAAGAATTTCTTGTTGGGTTATCAGTTCATGACCATCTTTGTTGTTAAGTAATGTTTCATCTCCACCTGTGTGGTCCCTCTTTTTCTTCCTTCTCCTTTTGGGCAAATAGTCAGTCATGGTGATTCTGAACCTGCTCAGGAGCTTGTGGTGGAATGCTGAACACGTGGATTTTGAGGTGTGAAGCGATCTGAAGGCAGACAGCAATGCAGTATCTCAGCAAATCAAATAGGGAGAGGATCTGAAAAAATAAAAGACAGGTCTTGGATATCAAAGAAATAAGATTGAATTCACTGTGCATTCTTTTCATTGTTAAAAAATCATTTTGTTAGATGTATCCCTGTATAGAGTGGAGTCCTGTAGTGCAGTGGTTAGCGTGCTCGCCTCACAAGCGAGGACACGGGTTCGATTCCCCAGCGGGACGAAACCTTGGGCAAGTTTCCTTACTAAACACACCTCTGTTTAATTAGCTGTAAATAGGGACACGGTCAATGAGTGGATCGTTTTCTAGGGGTAATAATCCCTCCCCCCACCCAAAAAAATAATTTAGTCACTCAATCTTTCAGAGGAAACCAACATAGCAAAACACTCACCATAGCTGCCCATAGTACAATGTACTCATCAATGAAGCAATCAAAGTATTGGTTGAGGAACAGTAATCCTGGTCCTATAAATGCTGTATCTTGTAGTTTCATTTTACTTCTCGTCATATGTGCCACCTTCAAAAGAGATATGCAATACATTTTTAACAAAAGCAATTAGAAACTTATTGTAACGAACTAACCACCAGAGGCAAATTATATGTGATCTGAATAGTAAAATAGTATACTTGAAACAAATAAATACAGTACAATGGGCACTATATCACTTTTAAATAAACAGCTGCAATTTCAGGATAACAACTTGCATTAATGTAACTCCCTTCATGCAGGCTAGCATCTTAAAGCACTGATTTATTCAACTGAAAAGAAACGTCTCATGTGTTTTATTAAAAAAGCAACATAGAACAACTTATAGAAGCTTCACAAAGCATAGAGGTTTCACAAAGCATAGAGGCTGGAAGCGCTGCACAATGGCAGGATTAGACACTGAGCGAGGGATAAGAGAAACATCCATTTTGAATTAACATACCACTAATTTGATGGAAATCTTTGAAGCTACACATCCAAATGCTAATATGTAGAGGCAAGGGTGGTTCTCAAACAGATGAGATGTGGATTTTTTGTAGATCATTATGGCCATTATTATAATCAAACCTATGTGCACGGATGGTGATAATACACTTGTACCCTACAGAAACAATGGAAGACATAATCAATTAAACCTCTTGGCGACTGGAAATTCCAACAAATCATTTAAGTCATCATATGGTAATTACATAACTAAAACTTTGAATGTATTAACACTTGTAAATATTTCTTGTATCTACGTACGGCGATTGTGGACCCATTTTTGCCTGTCCCACCAGTGAAGATGACGTGGAAGTAATTTGTACAGGAATATATTGCTCCTCCTATTATTCCAAAGATTGGTAATATCTTCAATCTCAATCCTACTACTGGAATCTTTTTGGAAGAAATAAACAGGTTAGTGAACAACACATCAACAGTAACAATGTGCTGTGAGAACATCACATCTATAACTGCCACATATTGCTCATTAGCAGTTATTGTGAATGAACCCCAACAGATTGCATTATACGTCAATGTTTTCTACAACAGGTTTAGAAGAAAATTACCTTTCTTTAGTCATTCCACGTGCAGTTTTAAGGGAAATATCCACAGGCAGCAGAGAACAAAAAACCAACAAAAGAATCATGTTGTAAATACTGTATTATAGGACACAAGTTGAATTTCACTGATCATGAAATGTGCCCCAATTATGTACAATTTGAAACCTCTCAGGTTGTCATTCCATTATAACGGAGGAACTTATTTTCAAAGATTTGTTCAGAATGTACACATTGCTTCACAAAACAAATTCACTTTTATTTAAATTTAAAAAAAATCTACAAGTACTCTTGTGAAATGACAAATTCTTAGCGACTGAACAATTAAACATTTCCTAGAGATATATACAACAGCAGAATGCAAAAATACCAATAGATATGCTCAACTAACATTATAACAAATTTGGTCCAGTGAGCAATTTGGTAAGGAAAGCTGTTTTGAAACATTACTATCAGCAAATAATACCTCCCTTCAGTAGCCATTTCCTACTTACTGTTATCACCATTGATTCTTCCTGAACAGTACATTTTAGAAATGGGGAGGGGGAGGCTTCTACCGAGCATTAATGTAGTTAGTTGGTGTACATTAGCTACTCAATATCACCCATCTCTAAATGTGTGTGGATTACCCCATGCAGTTGTTACCTCAGCTCTCACAATGGAAACAATCCTAATTGCTCACGCTTTAATTCTGACACTTCTGCCTATTTAGTGGTAAGGAGCTCACCATTTCATTTGCCTTCCATACCAGATTGCTCACTTGCTGGTAGACCAATTTACTACAATGTTAATTGAGCACATATACAGGGGAATGGGACAAACACAGTCCTGCAATGTCTTCAGACAGACATTAATAATCCTATTAAGCAAGCATTTTGGATGAGAACTTAGAACTGAGCTGTATTCATGCCATATGAAAAGGGCCATTACTCACAAGAATATATGAGAACAGTCAAGACTATTCCATAGTTTATTAATCCCATTTCCCTGCTCTTTTTTTTACCCCTCAATTCTTTTACTTCCCACAAACTCCACTTATCTCACTTTTCAATGAGTTTAAAAGCGAGTGTATGACACGGTGGCTTAAGTGTTGTAATCGCCTCTTTCACTAGGCTTTGTGGTTTTCGGTCGGGCCACTAGATGGAACACTTTGATCCAGCAGGACACTGCCACATAGCTGAAGAACCATTTTTAGAACTAAGTGCTATAAAAACAACAACCAAAGAGAACGGACTGCAGTCCTTGTTATGCTTCTGCTACTGCTAACAATCCTTACATTTGATATAGCACCTTATCACATCATCGAGACATCTCAAAGCGCTTGACTGGATATATTGTAAAGTGGATTGACCGTATCTTGTGGGCGAAACGCTATAGGAAGCACTGTGACATGACCCAGGTTTAAGCTGGCATCCGCAAAGATATTTAGATTCATAATAATCCTCGCATTTAACATATTTATTATTTTCTCATAGTCTCAAAGAGCTTTGGAGTTTCCTGTAAAGTGGAGTGACTGAATTTGGTAGCCAAAAGGGGCAGCCAATTTGTGTACAACAAAGTCACACAAACAGCCATGGAGTAATTGATTATTAGTTTTATATCTGGGAGATTACTGGCCAAAACACCAGGTGATACACCCTTTCCTTTGTCAATGAGATCTTTAAAGCCCATCTGAACAGGCAGACAGAACCTCCCTTTGATGTCTCAACTGAAAGACGATACCGCCAACAACACAGAGTGTCAGCCCAGACTGTGAGCTGAAAAGTCCTGAACCCACAACATTCTGCCTCAGAGGCAACAGTGCAAGAAATGACATTGCAGGTATTTATAGGACCAATCAAACACAGGATACCGCAGTTGATTCTTTTGGTGTGTGTGTGTGGGCGGAAGTTGAATTCCACCTCAGGTACTATTTCAGTACTTCCTCTGAGTTGCTGACTGATGCCAACATCTGCAGTCTCTGCCTCATCCTCTCAGTTACTGTGGAACAGATATTTTGAAGAGAGCCAGGGCCCAGCTGCATGTGTGGGTGACATAACAACAACAAGATTGCATTTATAGAGCACCTTTCATGTCGGGAGGACATCCCAAATACGCTGGACAGTTGGGTCGGGACCCGAGCAGGGAGGAAATGGTCAGGGGGAGGGAAGGGAGGGAGCGAGGAGGGGGTAGAGAGTCGAGAGGGGAGCTGAAGGCATGGTTGAAGAGAAAACACAGTGTGCCACGACTGGAGAGCTAGGTATCACTGCCGAAAAACTAGCCAAAAGACACACCAACAAGACAGATCCCCTGCTCGGTGATAAAATAAGAATAATATTCCTTGCATTTGTTACAGAACCTTTCATGTCAGGAAGACTTGTCGAAGCACTTCATAGGATTTACAGTAAAATGTAAAATGTAGTGACTATAGATGTTACATGTAGGCAAAATCTTTGTGTTCTTTGTGAAGTGCTTAAAGACATTCATCCTACACGAAAGCAGCTAAAGAAGTGCCTTTAATGGTGGCAAAGTTGTAGATATAAACTTCAGCACTACTAGGCTACTGCCTCTATCTGTGTGAAGATATTCATTTTCTCCTGTAGGGATCAAAATATAATTGCTAATTAAGGCATGAAATAGCTGAATTCTGTCAAATCGAATGAGGCATTTGAAAAGCAATTATATTAAAAGAAAAGTTATTTAGTTTCCCAACGGCGCAAGTTCCCAGCTAGTGAGTTTAATCATGAAAGTCACAGTAGTATCTCGGGTGGGTAAGGAGGATCTCTGTACATTTCTAGGTTTTACACAGGGTTTTTTTGAGTTGATAAACAGTCTCTCGGGAGCTGGTCATATCCCCGTTTCTATTAAAATACTCAGTAGCAAGTATTTTAGTGCTGCTTGCTGCTTGACCCAGTTCAAATGCTTAAAACCATAGCTGCAAACATTGTCACTCTTTTGTAACTAATTGAGATACAACCTGCCATACTAAACCGGAGCCATCAACTGCAGTGGAGAGAACAAATCTAATTTTGTCAACACTGAGTTGGAGAAAGCTGAGGCTCATCCAAGACTTGATGTCTGGCAGGCGATCTGGCAGAACAGCAGCTGTCTGTCTAAGTTCTACTTCATATTGTATCCTATGAAAAATGACCAAAAGTATTAAAAAATGATGTAATTTTACAGATTACCTCAGAATCCCATAAGGAAGCTCCTCCAAAAGCAGATAAGAAGAAGATGATCACGATGCATGTCTGAACTTCGGTTACATCAACTCTATTCAGAGATAAAGAGAAATCAGTGATTTAAGGAGAGACATTAATAAATAATAATTTTTGATTTGATATAGTGCCTTATCATCTCATCGAGGCATCTCAAAGCGCTTTACGGGATATATCGTAAAGTGGATTGACTGTGAGTTTTGTTGGTGAAACACAGCAGCCAGTTTGTACACAGCAGTGTCCCACAAACAGCCATGGAGCGAGTGACCAGTTTTTTTTTATTTGAGGGATTAGTTGGCCAGGACACTGGGAGAAACGCCCTTCTCTTTTCGAACAGTGTCAGGGGATCTTTGACGTCCGCCTGAAGAGGTGGATGGGACCTCGGTTTAACGTCTCATCCCAAGGACGGCACCTCCAACAATTCAACACATCCTCAGCACTGCATTGGATTGTCAGTTTAGACTATGTTATTCCAAGTGCCAACGTGGGGCTTGAACCCACAACCTTCTGACTCGGTAATATAAAATATAAAAGTCATATAAAATCATATAAATTACAACCCTCTCCAAGATTTAACATTCTGTGAATGCTATAGCTGCATTTCAAGTACAATGGATTAACTTGATTTAAAGACTGGGTTGCCTCAGAAATAATCAGCTATATGATTATATTTCAGGTCATAAATCAAAGGACCACAGCATTAACGCACAAATGAACAAACATATTTAATTACAAGGTTGTCAGCACTGCATATTATGGCTTCTTCTATTTTAAAATCCAACATGTTCCCCAACACACAGCCTTCGACCAGCGCTGTGCTTCATTGCAAAACCAACATTCAGCTGTGAAGTGGAGTGACAAAACCTGACTGAAAATGCCACAGGTCCCATTGAATGGAAGAGAATTTGCTAAAGTCACAGACGAGTAGCACATCATAGTGAAGACTGTATAGAGCATCTGATCAGCGAGCCACGTTAGGGTAGTTTGATTAGTTTACGCTCAACATGTACTGACAGAGTTTCTGCATCCCACACCTGTAGCTAATATTCCAGGTGCCTAATCTCACCTTCACCTGATTGCCATGATCTAACAGTAACTTCCTGACAACAAAGCCTGCTGCTTAAATTACTCTTTTAAGCCCGCCGTCCAACCTCCAATTAATCTGCTTTGACTCAAATCAGAGGGTGTCCTTAGCAACCAGGTCAGGAGTACAGCTCCTGCCAAAAATGATTGAACTCTGAACATTAACCCTTCAAGTCCCAAACTTCATTCAACGCTGTTCAAATCTTACAAGAAGTTGAAAGGCACATTGCTTTACACCAGTGATGAGTCAAGTGTTTGGAAAGGTCACATTGCAACGACCTGATTTGTAGCTACTTGATCCTAAATTTAGTTTGCTGCTTTTGTGTTTTTCTTCATTTTAAAGTTTCAGATCTACAAGTTAGTTCTGCACACACGAGAACATGTTGCTAAGCTCCTGCTGTATATGGGGTTAAGGGAGGAACTCGATTGTACTTACTTGCCAAATCGCAGTGACCCAGAAACATAAGTTTGCCAATGAGCACAATAAAACATAAAAAGGCCAAGGAAGCAAGCGAAGAACATCAAGCCTGGATCGGTTCCAAGACGAATGGCTGTACACGATCCCACGGCAACAAAAACTACAAGAAGAAGAAGGGAAGCAATCACAATATTGCAAGAAAACAAACAAATGACAATGATAGGAAACTAAGTTATTGCTACAGGCGGCTCAACGTGCGGGGGAATTAATGCCGCCCATTACTGCAGTCTGTTAGGGGAGTCCTTCTTGAGCTGAGGGGATGGCCAGCGGGTCTCCTTACCACCAACCACGTATTCCGAGCGGCCTGTCCTGCCACTGCCATGATGACGGTTTGCCGGGGAGGGAGGAAGCGGGCGACCCGAAGTTGAAAATGTTTCGCGGGCCGGATCCAATCACCCCCTGGGCCGGATGTGGCCCGCGGGCCGCCATTTGCATCACCCTGTTCTAAATAATAGCTTTGTGAGCTTTTTCTACCAGCTCGGCAGGAACAGAATATCGTCAGTCGGCTAAAAAGTAGTTTGTGTATTAGTTTGGAATTGCGTCGTACTGAGGTACCTGTGGAGAAGGCATCACAGCCATGGTCAAAAAGCTCTCCAAGAGGAGAGCTGCTATTGGTTCTTCTGGCTTGTTTCCCATCAACGGCATCCAAAGATTGGTAAATAAATAGACCCACGCCACAAAGCAGGTATACCCACCAAGGTGCCTAAAAAGATTAATACATTATTGTAAGTTTTTTTTATAATGCAAAATCCACCCTCTAACAATCGAGCAGCAAATCAGCACCATTTACATTGCTTCAATATAGCTCTGAGCAGCAGCAGTCAAGGAAATATGAGATTTAATATAGTTGAAGACACAGGGATTTTTTCAGAAAAAAAATATGCCTTTAAAGGAAGAAAATAGGAGCAAATTCAGTTCTCACGGTTCTGTCCTGATCAGCAAAATAATAATAATAATAACTGCCAAGCGCTTTTTTAACTTTAGCAAATAAACACAAATTTCCTTTTTTTTGGTAAGTAATTTAAATCCATGTTTTAATGGTACAGTGCTATACACTGAGCAGTCGCAATTCCTAACATTGTACCAAATGCTGCTTTGGCCTAAGAATTAGGATATGAGGAGAGATTTGAGTAAAAATCACATAAGTCGGGCCCACGACATTTAATACGGCTTATGCAAAGTCCCAAGTTACAGGTAAACTATATAAGTCGTATAAAATCCAATGTAATCAATTATCTACGCTGCGCATATGTAATTCACTGCAACCGGTAAGTGCGCATGTGGCAACGGATCAAGATGACATTTCCTGCGATTCAATGCATCTCGACCCGTTGCCCTACGTGCACTTACCAGCGAGCGTTGGAATCGCAGGGAGTGAAGTTCTTCTGCGCGTAATAAATAATAATAATAATATTCCTTGCATTTGATATAGCGCTTGTCACGTCTTCTAAATGTCCCAAAGCGCTTCACAGAATATACTGTAAAGTGAATTGACTGTATATTTGTGGGCGAACACGGCAGCCAATTGCGCACAGCAATGTCCCACAAACAGTCATGGAGGGATTATTATTAGGCTCTGTGTGGAGTAAGGAAACTTGCCTAAGGTTTCGCCCTCTGCCTGGAATTGAACTCAGGTCTCTCACTTGCAAAGTGAGTGCTCTAACCACTGAGCTACAGGACTCCACGTAGGTCTACTACTTTATCCCACAATTCAGCGCAGCCGGCCTGCTGAGTGCAAATGGGTCGATGGGTCAAGCCATCATTTCCCCGCCAATCAAAGCAGCCAGTAAGTGCTTGCGTGATGGAGGGTTGGGCAGCGGAGTTACGAGTTAGGAGGTGATTAACTTGAGTAGCGCAAAGAAACCTAAGTGGTTTTAATAGGAAACTGAATAGGACTCGAGGAGTCAACCCACGCTGTTCTGCTGACATGTGCACCTTGTCCAAAGGCTATTTTCAATGTGTGCTCCTGGCGATTAATATTCTCTGGCTGAACCCAAACCTCTCCTCATCTGAAGTATATGCATACCCCTAACCTTTCCACTTGGCTATTTTGAAGCAAAAGTGCGAATATACATCTAGTCCCAAACATGGATTTGAGCCACTCCCAACTGCTCTGTAACTTAAGTCACCTGAGCACCCAGTACTAAGGCCTCAGAAGTCTCGAAAATTCACGAGAATGAACACTGAATATGATGCTATCTCTTACAAACCAATTAAGCAAGATGTTTTAAAGAGTTTCTTTGTTATGTCAAAGATAGAGCTCCTCTATCTGACAACGCTCCTCTATGTTGTGAAAACACTCGTTTTAAATCATTTATCACATCACATGCAAACTATAAAAGAGCAAAGTGCATAAGACCATATCACAAAGGCTGCACAATAAAGACTTGTGATTAATAATGACCCCCAATTAGCAGTACGGTGGACAAATAGGAGTCAGCACTCTGATATGCTATCCTGCAAAAAAGGGAGCAATATAAGTTGCTGTTTTAGTGAAGAGCCTTTGGCAGGCAATATACCTGTAGTGGAAATCATAGTTAGACAAAACGGAGAGAAATTAGTCACAATTTCAAATCTCACTGATCAGCAAAACTGCTAGGCTCCTTTAAAGTTGCAATAAATACACAAAAAATCTTAATGACTCATCTCACTTCCAAATAGCAACAAGCGAATGAGAAACTCGTGAGAAAGAGTAGACAACACTTCAATATAAGTTCATATTAAACCCAACTGATTTATCAACTTCTATGAATTTTTACCTCAATATCTAAACTGGACATCAGCATATCTGTAATATGGCCAATCTGGTTGGCTAGATCTAATGGGCAGAAAGTTTGTTTTTAATTTTAAAAAATTAATAAAGTAAGTGTTTAATGCTAGCGTATTCAAGCATTGTAACATCTGAACACAAGGTGAGCATTTGTGTAACCAAATGTCCAGACAATGTAGAGAAACAGGTAAACAGACTTCTTTCTGGTAGGTGTAGCCAGAGCAGTAGACATGTACATCTACAGATATTAGGTCACATTATTTCCTTATTTCTATACATTGTTCCTGCGAAAGTGAGGTAATACCAGGCAAGCATGTGTGCAATCCAAACAAGCTAGTGAGCGTAGAACTGGTTGGATGGGAGTTCTTAGTGATTGAATAGGTACTGAAATCACAGCTGTATTTAATGAATATCTAAATAAGCTCCCTTCCTGTGAGAATTACTATACCTCCAAATGTCTCACCTTTCACAATCTCCTGCTCTCCTACTCTCCACAGAGCTCACTCCTCCCTTCACTCCCCCCAACTCAATCCTGCGTCACATCTCCCGCAATCTCCCACCCCACAGCCCCCAACCATCAATGGTGAGCTTTCATTCACTTTGTTCGCCCTCTCTTGAACTCTCTCCCTGAACTCCTTTGCCTTGCTCCCTCCCATACTCTCTGCTTTCAAACTCAAAGAAGATTTTTTTTAATTGCTACTCAGCTTCAGTTATATTTGGAGATGAAATGAATAATTCAATTTCTTTTTATAATTCTTCTATCCTTTTGTTTCTCCCCCAACTGGCACTATTTGCCGACTGAGAGGTTAGCAGGCGTTCTGCAAAACAAGGGTCTGTCAAACCATCTGTAAGTGTGACATTTAAGAACTACTACTGTAGCACAGGCAACGAGAAGGAAGGCAGTCACTGGGGCACTCTGGAAACAATTGGTCCAAAAGTCCTTCTGCGTCTGAATCTCTTGTCAACAAATAACCAAAAATAGTGGCTAAATCTCCAACTTGCTCTCCCTTTTCGTCAGGAACATCAACTCAAATCACTGCTCCACACACCATTTCTCCTTGAAGGGGCTGAGACAGCTTTAGCAAAATGAGAGGGGAAAAAAAATGGGAGTTGAACTGAATCACAATTTAAAAGTCTATTCTTAATACCTATTATTACTTTTAAGAACACTCCCATGTACTGCCGACTCCACCCTATACTCATCAGTTTAGTTGTAGGTAAAGGAAGTACATAACAATATTTAAAGACAATGTAATGATCAGCTGATCCCTCAAAAAAAAATTGCAATGTGATCTCCCTCTGCACACAGATAAGAGCTGTGTGGCCTAAGATTTATCTCTGCCCAGCCAATGGTCACCAAAAGAAACAGTTCAAATTCCAACTCTCTGTGCCTTTCGGAGAAAAGTCCAACATAGAAGTTGAATCTGTGACTTTCAAAAACCGTGCTCCGTAGTCCAGCAACTTCAATGTCAGCGGCATTGCAATGCGTCCATTCATCTCAATGAAACTATTGCCATGATGGTCTAAATATGTGCTTTATTTGTGCTACTGATCGAAACCAAAATTTCCCACGTTAAAAACCTGTGCACGTTTGGTACCTGGTCGACTGCTTAATCCACGCAAACTGAAAAAAAACACTCAAGCTGAGAAGTTACCCCAGTATTTCTTACTGCCAAAAAATTCATTGGAACAAAAATCCACACAATGTCACTGTGTTTATAATTGTTGTTATTAAAGAGATAGCATTTTAACCCGGTCTTGCAGGAAACACACATAACCCAGTAAAAATGTACCGGCTCCCAACCCTAGTTCAGGTGCTCCGGACAGAAAGATCTTCTGCGTAATAAATAATAATAATCCTTGCATTTCACTTAGTGCCTTATCGCGTCTTCGAGACGTCTCAAAGCGCTTCACAGGAAATGCTGTAAAGTGAATTGACTGTACATTTTGTGGGCGAAACGCGGCAGCCAATTGCCCCCAGCAGCATCCCACCGGATCATACCCCATAATAATAGGCATCGAGTGTCATGCCTCACCTCGTCCTCTCCTGATGGTGTTTGGCTCTACTTATTCCTTCAATTGAGGGTACAGGTAGTCTGGTCAGGTGGACGTTAACAGATAGATTCGCTATTTCGAGAGAGAGGGGTATTTCTTGCGGTGTTCGCCTACAAGGATTATTATTACGGTCTTCGCACCCGGATCCCCGCCGCGCACCTCTGCCGAGTGCCCGTCCGTTATTCAGGGGTGAGCCCTGGCAGCGAGTGCTGGCAATCTGTCAGCGATGGGCGCCCAATCTGTTCTCTTCCCACCTGGTCAACGCGCACATTCCTACCCATCCGGACTGACGGAGAACGATGCAGAACTTAAAGAGCCGCGCACACAATCCAAAAAAAATCAGTGGGATGGGGGGGATGGAGAGAGGGGCAATGGAGAGAGAGAGGGGGGTGGCGATGGAGAGGGGGAGGGTGGAGAGAGGGGGGGGATGGAGAGAGGGAGGGGGGCGATGGAGAGAGGGAGGGGGGCGATGGAGAGGGGGGGGGGATGGAGAGAGGGAGGGAGTGGGGGGGATGGAGAGAGGGAGGGGGGGGCGATGGAGAGGGGGGGGGTGGAGAGAGGGGGGGATGGAGAGAGGGGGGGGATGGAGAGAGGGGAGGGGGGAGATGAGAGGGAGGGGGATGGAGAGAGGGAGGGGGGGGATGGAGAGAGGGAGGGGGGGATGGAGAGAGGGAGGGGGGGATGGAGAGAGGGAGTGGGGGGGATGGAGAGAGGGGGGGATGAGAGGGGGGGGGGGGATGGAGAGAGGGGGGGATGGAGAGAGGGGTGGGGGATGGAGAGAGGGGGGGGAGAGAGGGAGGGGGATGGAGAGAGGGAGGGGGGGCGATGAGAGGGGGATGGAGGAGGGGGATTGGGAGAGGGGAGGGGGAGAGAGGGAGGGGGAGGGAGATGGCGATGGACAGGGGGGGATGGAGAGAGAGAGAGAGAGAGAGAGGGGAAGAGGAGATGTGGGCGGGGAGATGGCGATGGCAATGGCGAGGTGCGGGGGGGGGGGCGGTTGGGTGGCCCCCCTCTCCCCTCCCCCCCCCTCCCTCCCCCCCTCCCCTGCTCGGTGGCAGTTGGTGCCCCCCCCCCCTCTCCCCTCCCCCCCTCACTGCTCCGGTGGCCCCCCCCCCTCTCCCCCTCCCCCCCCCCCCCCCTCTCCCCTCCCCCCCTCACCTGCTCGGTGGCCCCCCTCTCCCTCCCCCCCTCTCCCCCCCCCCCCTCACCTGCTCGGTGGCGGTGGGGCAGTAGGTGACCAGGAGGGCGGTGCTGGCGATGTTGTTGAGGAGGCCGAGGATGGTGATGGTGTTGGGGGCCACCCAGGGCGGCAGGAGCAGCACCAGCCAGTTCCAGAAGGGCTGCAGCAGCGGCTCCAGCAGTGAGCGGCCCGCGGCGCTGTAGCGGTGCTGCTCCAAGTGCCGCAACTGCTGCTCGTCCAGAGGCCGCAGGAGGCCCTCCATCTCCCCCCCCACTCCCCTCCCGCTCTCCCCCCACTCCCCTCCCGCTCTCCCCCCCACTCCCCTCCCGCTCTCCCCCCACTCCCTCCCGCTCTCCCCCCACTCCCCTCCCGCTCTCCCCCCCACTCCCCTCCCGCTCTCCCCCACTCCCCTCTCTCCTCTCCCTCTCCTCCTTCTCTCTCTCTCCCCCCCACTCCCTCTCTCCTTCTCTTCTCTCTCTCTCCCCCCCACTCCCTCTCTCCTTCTCTCTCTCTCCTTCTCTTCTCTCTCTCTCCCCCCACTCCCCTCTCTCCTCTCTCTCCTTTCCTCTTGTCTCTCTCCCCCCCACTCCCCTCCCGCTCTCCCCCCACTCCCTCCTTCCCTCTCTCCCCCACTCCCTCTCTTCTCTCTCTCCTTCTCTTCTCTCTCTCTCCCCCCCACTCCCTCTCCCTCTCTTCTCTCTCTCTCCCCCACTCCCTCCTTCCCTCTCTCCTTCTCTCTCTCTCTCTCCCCCCCACTCCCTCTCTCCTTCTCTCTCTCTCCTTCTCTTCTCTCTCTCTCCCCCCCACTCCCTCTCTCCTTCTCTTCTCTCTCCCTCCCCCCACTCCCTCTCTCCTTCTCTCTCTCTCCTTCTCTTCTCTCTCTCTCCCCCCACTCCCTCTCTCCTTCTCTCTCTCTCCTTCTCTTCTCTCTCTCTCCCCCCACTCCCTCCTTCCCTCTCTCCTTCTCTTCTCTCTCTCTCCCCCCCACTCCCTCTCTCCTTCACTCTCTCTCCTTCTCTTCTCTCTCTCTCCCCCCCACTCCCCTCTCTCCTCTCTCTCCTTCTCCTCTTCTCTCTCTCCCCACTCCCCCCCTCTCCCCTCTCTGTCTCTCTCTCTCTCCCCCCACTCCCTCCTTCCCTCTCTCCTTCTCCTCTTCTCTCCCTCCTTCCCTCTCTCCTTCTCTCTCTCTCTCTCCCCCACTCCCTCCTTCCCTCTCTCCTTCTCCTCTTCTCTCTCTCTCCCCCACTCCCTCTCTCCCCCTCTTTCTTTCTCTCTCTCCTTCTCCCCCCCCCACCGCCCTCTCCTCTCTCTCTCCCTCTTCCTTCTCTCTCTCCTCCCACCTCTCCGCCTTCCTCCCTCTCCCCCTCTCTCTCCTCCTTCTCTCCTCCCTCTCCCTCTCCCCCTCTTCCCACACTCACCGCCGCCGCTTCCGGCAGCAGGAAATTCCCGGAAGGAGCCACTGCCAGAATCAGCCCGAACCCCGGGGGGGGGAGAGGGGGTGAGGAGAGGGGCTGTGGGGGGAGAGAGGGTGAGGGGGTGGGGGGGGGAGAGGGTGAGGGGGGGGAGGAGGGTGAGGGGGGGAGAGGGTGTGGGGGGGGGAGGGGTGAGGGGGGGGAGAGGGTGAGGGGGGAGAGGGTGAGGGGGTGTGGGGGGGGAGAGGGTGTGGGGGGGGAGAGGGTGAGGGGGGGGAGGGTTAAGGGGTGTGGGGGGGGAGAGGGTGTGGGGGGAGAGGGTGAGGGGAGAGGGTGAGGGGGGGAGAGGGTGAGGGGGGGAGAGGGTGAGGGGGGTGGGGGGGAGAGGGTGAGGGGGGAGAGGGTGTGGGGGGGAGAGGGTGAGGGGGGAGAGGGTGAGGGGGGGAGAGGGTGAGGGGGGAGAGGGTGAGGGGGGTGTGGGGGGGAGAGGGTGTGGGGGGGGGAGAGGGGGGGGAGAGGGTGGGGGGGGGAGAGGGTGAGGGGGGGGGGAGAGGGTGAGGGGGGTGTGGGGGGGAGAGGGTGAGGGGTGTGGGGGGGGAGGGGTGGGGGGGAGAGGGTGAGGGGGGTGTGGGGGGGGAGAGGGTGAGGGGGGTGGGGGGGGAGAGGGTGAGGGGGGGGAGAGGGTGTGGGGTGTGGGGGGGAGAGGGTGTGGGGGAGTGTGGGGGTTCAGGTCAGGGAGTGACTGAGGAGGAGAATGATTGAGATGATTATTGGGCTGAGTAATGTCTGCACATCAGTAACACACACAGTAACACACACACAGTAACACACACACACACAGTAACACACAGTAACACACTCACACAGTAACACACACAGCAACACACACACACAGCGACACACACAGTAGCACACTCATACAGTAACACACAGTAACACACACACACAGTAACACACACACACACAGTAACACACAGTAACACACACACACAGTAACACACACAGCAACACACACACACAGCGACACACACAGTAGCACACTCATACAGTAACACACAGTAACACACACACACAGTAACACACACACACACAGTAGCACACTCATACAGTAACACACAGTAACACACACACACAGTAACACACACACACACAGTAACACACAGTAACACACACACACAGTAACACACACAGCAACACACACACACAGCGACACACACAGTAGCACACTCATACAGTAACACACAGTAACACACACACACAGTAACACACACACACACAGTAACACACAGTAACACACACACACACAGTAACACACACAGCAACACACACACACAGCGACACACACAGTAGCACACTCATACAGTAACACACAGTAACACACACACAGCAACACACACAGTGACACACACACATAACACACACCCAGTAACACATACACACATAACACACACATAATAACACACACAGTAACACACACACACAGCATACATACAATAACACACAGATACACAGTAACACACACACAGTAACACATACACAATAACTAACACACGCATTGTTATTGTGTGTGTGCGCCTTATCACATCTTCGAGACGTCTCAAAGCTCTTCGCAGAATATCTTGTAAAGCGAATCGACTATATTTTGTGGGCGGAACGCGGCAGCCATTGGCGCACAGCAGCGTCCCCACAGACAGCCGTGGATTGAGTGACTTCTTTAAAATTATTGGAAAGCGATCGCCAATCGACTAACAACCAGGTGCTGACTTACTGCTCGGTAAAAGATGTCCTGTCAAGTGCAAGGATCACTATTCTTGTTAGCGTAAAGGAGGTTGGAGAGCTTTTCCTTTATGTAAAAAAGGCCCCCCCGTTGTGAAAGGTGTGATATCAAATGCAAGTGTTATTATTTTTATTAAGCTGTAGATGTCTCGCTGTGCGAATTCTGCAGCTGGAAGTGGGATCTTCATTCCCTGATGTTGCCATCTGCCAGAAGTTATTGGAAATCAGACACAATATTTGGCTTTCAGATGACTGCGCTCAACTAAATTTCAGTTTCCAGCAGTGCCCGGGATAGCAGAAAGACGGATAATTAGAAATTGGCTCATTCAGTTTGGGAATAAAGAAACCCATTAAGAGTTGCTCTTTAATTTAATGGCTACTTTTGCAGCTTTTTTTTCGTAGAAGAACAAAAATTAATGGGACACATTTCAGCTGTTCCCAAGTCATTTCCGTATGATTTATTTTTCTCTAATAAATGGTTGACGCTGATGGGAAATTGAATAGGAGTGAGCAGTTTCATACAGACCAATCTATCCTCTACGCCCTGTGTTTATTGATCTAGGTTAAAGTAGATTACATCCTATTAACACCTTCTGACTGAATACCACGAAACCTATTGCATGAACATAGCGAAGACTCACACCACAATGTGACTGTGAGGATAGAATTGTGTTTTAATTTACTTTGCAGTGCTGCAAGCGATCTGCCAATTAACTAACAGCCGGGTTCCCACTCACTGCGAGGTAAACTGACGTTTGGAGTAAGGAAGCTTGCTTAAGGTTATGCCCCGCCTGGGAATCAAACCCGAGGCCTCTCACTTGCGAGACAAGTGCCCTAACCAATAAGCTACAGGCTTCATGTTCTATAGGTTTCTTAGTAATAAACTTAGCATGATTTAATAATAATAAAACACGAGTGATTATCTTAATATAACCTTAGATGGTTTATTTTTCATTTTGAAGTACAGGCAACACAGATGATACAGGCGTAATACAGCACTTAAAAGACTTCCTTGCCATTTTGTTGTAAGTTGCTTTCTTTAATTTAAAACTTACAGAATATTCCAAAGCACTTTCTTCCATCTCACACTAAGATGTAAGGTGTTTGTTGCAATTGCCCGAGGAGAATAATATAGAGAATGCAGGCAAATTCACCAAGGATCGACAATATCATTACTGGGTACAAGTGCAAACTTTACTGTGGGACCGTGCATAGCAAAAATCCTTTTGCCAAACTAGAATGGAGACATCAAACCTTAGACTAGAGTACACAAAGTTATTACATTTAACCCAAACCACCACATTTAGCAGTGTTAACCTACAATCTCAGTCATCACGCTTAACGTTTTGATTTAAAAACAGAATGGACCTTGATAATGTAAAGCATGCACAGTTTTAGAATGCCACTTCATAATGTTAAACACATACAGTTTATAATTATCAGTAATTACTGACAAAACTAGTAGAAATGAATAGCCTGAGGGAGGCTTGTGCTATACTGTCAATACAACAAAAGAAAAATACACATTCTCAATCATAATTCAGTAACACATAACACATCAACCTGGCACATTATATCATGTATTAGTGATTGCATTGCTCACTAAATGTACTTATTTGTAATTGGAAATGGCAGAAACACAAGCAAAATCATCAAAATTCAATCATCAAAATGCTCAGTATGTAATTATTGATATGTGGAGAACAACAATTGCGTTTTCATTAAATTAACAAAGATGCAAACACAGGTATAATTGGCACTTAATACCTGCATCCCATTAAATGTCAGTACACAGTCCTCATCCAAAGCCCAGTATATTCCACACTAACATTGTACACACATTGTATGCCTTCAAGTTCTATCAAGCCCTAATGGAGAACTGGAAGCACATTCTGGTATCAGAACACAGAGGCAGGGAACAGCTTGCAATGCAGTGAGTTCGAAGCACATCCTTGTGGCCGTCATTTTTTCTCAGCCAAAATTCTGTGAACCTATGTATGAGTCTATGATACTGAGAGGCACTCCCTGAATCAAGAGCTCCTGAAAGGTAAAGCCACCTAAACAATATGAAAACAAGCATTAATATTCGAAAGTGCATGGTTGATCGTGGAAAGTAATTCGGCAACGCTGTTGAACTAATACAAACATTAACAATTTTAATTAATCAACGTTTCAATTTAGTTAGCAATTTTCCGAAACAAAACCATTTACACTTTTACTAACTTGTGAACTTTGGATCATTTCACGATTTACATCTGTTTCTGCATATTGAGGTCTGATTTACTGGGATTCACACATTTTTGTGGGCGAGACACAACAGCCAATTGTGCATGGCAGTGTTTGACAAACAGTTGTGGATTGAGTGACCAAATTATTATAATTTTTTAAAAATTATTTTTGAAGGGATTGTCATCCTCGGGAAAGCGATCTGCCAATCGACTAACAACCGGGTTCCTACTTATTCTTAGGTTAAACAGAGCCATGTGGAGTAAGGAAACTTGCCTAACATTATACCCTGTCCAGGAATCTAACCCAGGTCCAGCTTACTGTAGCTGGACTGTAGTTGAAGGAAGGAGGAGATAGGCATCCAAGTCGCGTTCCAGTGGGTCAGTGTGACACACAACCAGTTATCTGAAGGATTTGATCAACTTACGAATCCCACAAAGTAATCTACTATGTTCCGTTACCAGTTGTCATCATTTTAAGTCCACCAAGTAGGAATCATTTTAGACTTCAACTTGCGTCCGTAAATTAAAGCAGACTTGAAGCAAAAATCCTTGTTCTTGTAAACGTATGAATAATGTGCCGAATAGAATAACATGAATAGAAGACAATGGAGCATTGCTTATCTGAACAGTTAGGGGGGGAAAAAAATTCCAAATTAATGACAGTGCTATACCTCATTATATAATACCTTAAAATGAAAATGAGAAAAATTGCAGATGTGGGAATTCTGAAACAAAACTAGAAACAAATGCTCGAAATCCACTGCCAGTCAATCAGAATCTCTAACAGAAGAGGAGGTAACCTGTTCAGAATGGTTTGCTGGAAACAGTAATCTACCTTTCCCTTTCTGATGCTGATTGACCTGCTATAGATTTCTAGAATTTGTCCAGACCAGAAACTAATATCCAGCACGATTAACCAAATTATACATTCAGGACTTGTTGGCAACTGCAACTGGCTTTGTATAACTGGTCAGTTCAGATAAATACTGTTCAGATAAATCATTTCCCACTGTATTCCTAAATGTATTGCAATTTTTAAGTGTAATGGATTGAAGTAAGATGGAAAATAGAATCGATAGAATTTTTCTATTTCACTTGGTGGGTTACATATCTATAATATTACATGTGACTAAAGTATGCAAAATCCTTGTGATCTTCATATCCCTTCGTGGTTTCTGCCTTGATGTATCTGATATCAAGATAAACATGTTGAAGCATTTCAGAATTATTTTGTTGTACTGTACAATAGAGTGACTGAAGGGGACAGAGTTGACTGATCTTAGCATTAGGATCTCCTCTACTGGTGGTAACTTCTACAGGTTATTAATGCTAGACTAGATCCTAGGAAAGTATCTAGTGCAATGCTTTAAAGCCGACATATTAAAGGTACCCCTATATCAGAACTGAAATGAAATTTGAACAGAGCATGCGAGTTGAAAGGGTTCACCACCTTACTGAGAGCAACTGCTAAATATTTCAGATTCCAACTACGTTTCATTGTGATATGGATATTCCTCAAAATTTCCATTAGTTTTCTGTAGACAATCCGATTACAAGTGATACACATCAGCATTAGTTTCAGTTAAACATTATGAAAGCTTTAAATGATGATATTATCATGAAGTTCTATTATCAAATACGTCATTATAGCTAACAATGAAGGCCTTGCCATACTCAATGACATAATATATTTAAACCAATTTTCCTCTTAGTGCAAATGCTATTGTGGCAGCTCAAAGTCCTTGCTTTGTCACCAGTTATGGTACAAACAGAAATCTACATGATGGTGCTTTGTACACTCTCTGGGATTTCTAGCACATGGCTTAACAGGCTAAAATGGGGGCAGGTTATTATTTTGTATGTCCTCTACAGGGAAGTTGCAGAAATCAAGTAATAGGGGGATTACAAAGAAAAGTCTATAAAAAGGCACAAACTTTAAGAAAAAGATTTTGGCAAACATTTTATGGTTTAGAGATACTCTTTGAAATACCACGACGTCAATCGTATCAAAATACATCAAATAGTGTATGATGACATTGCATTGAAGAGAATAACATGGCATTGCTTATTTCTTCAAATAAAACCCGTCTGCCAAGCACTTTTCATGAAGGAAATGGCAAGAAAATAAATCATGTCTTTACATACGAAAATAATGATCAAAATTTTTAAAAACTTTTTTTTAATATTAACAAAGAGGTAACGTTGAGAGTTTAAGCATGTTTGGCTACTTGCTATTCAAGGGACACTTCTTTCCAGCACTCTCTTGTCTCATTGGGATATGCTATGATTCACGTGTGCTTTTAGTACCCTTCAGTACCACACCCACCACCAAACCAAAGCACAAAGGGAGGCTCTGAGATAATTACACATCTCGCACTTACACTTCAAGAGGAAAATCAGGCCCATTGTGTTCAGTATGGCTTATGATGCAAAACATAAGCTTCATATGCTTGGTCATATGAAAGCTTACCTGGATGAACATATACAATCACAAATCCTTATTGCGCGACTGAAGAAAAGAAAAAAAAGACAAACTGTGATTCAGGAAGGTAGAAATGTGAGCACTCACCACTGTGGAGATAAGAATGGTGCAATCATTAAGTTAAACCGGGGGTAAATGCTTATAATGTGGGACACACCAGCAACCATTAAGTAAAAATAGAAGCAGCAAAGAGAAGAGATGCAAAGTTAAGATTTAAGAATAGATGCTCTTGATGCTAGGTGAAAGACGTGCTACTATACACAGACAGCTGTGCTACAAGTTAAAATAGATTTAAAATAACAGCACAAAAATGTCACCGTTAATAGTTGATGCGTCAGAAGGATGCAGTTAATGAGAATAAACTTTTTATATAATTTAGGAATAACACATAGCTTTGGTCTATACAGAGGTTAAACCATAACGTAATAACTTAAGAAACATGACACACGAAAAGATCATTTGGACCATCAAAACCACTCTTTTCAGATACCATGCTTGAAAGACTGCACTCCACAACTCCGTCTCATGAGCAAACATTCTGTGTAAATACTCCCTGCTTTCTCTAACTTGTCAAGCAAAATATCCATCCTTATATCTCCACTAAAAAAACCTTCCTGATTATTGAGCTTTGACTCTTCCTCTTAAGGGTTACAAAGGGATCACAAGTGTTATGATCGCCATAAATCTCCATCTGTATTTTCTCTACTTACCTTTTTATTGCATATTTCAATTTAAAGATCATAGGGATGGAGGAGAGGTGATGGAGACATCTACCTTAGAGTCATTTGCGAGCCCGCTGGTGTGAGAAGTGCAGACAGCAAGCATTCTACAATCTAAAGGAAATCAACTCAAAATAATTCTAAATGTTGCTGATAGAAAATGCTAATTATGTTTGGTACCATTCTTGTGCTATTTATATTTAGTGTATTTGTGTTCATAATGGTCGGGTTTCTCACTTTTTGTCATCCAGTATCAATACCCTATGATCAGACATACCACAGAAAGATGCGGAATAAACTACCACACTAGAAACTCACTCGCCACACTAGCTGTTCTTGTGGGCTACACTCAGAGTGAGTTTATTAATTTGGATTGGAAAGTAGTTTTGTGTGTTTCACTTGGAAGTGGGATGAATGTAGTCGTATGTATTTCACCTGGGTCTCCAATAGTAGAGAGGGAGTTGAGAGGAAACTTTTAGCTCACAAGACGATTTGATTTGTACCCAGGTTTCAGAGGCAAAACGACAGCATACTAATCGACTCAAACCCAGGTCCTCTTGCTTGTGAGGCAAGCACATTAACCATTGCACTACAGGACTCCATCTTTCTTTCTCTGGCTGTTCATCCCAGTGCTAAGCCTTTATCTTAAAAAAAGGCAGAGTAAACTTTTTTTTAATATAGGTCTGATGATAAGTTTATCCTGAAAATGTGTGAGCGTGTATGTACTTTGGGTCTAAGATTGAGAGGAGTTTGATTAAATCCTCTGACTCTGAATAATAATCACAATTTATATGCAGATGGAATTGATAGCTATATTATCTAATTGAAACTGGATTTATTTCCTAAAGCTGTAGCGACTTACATCAGTATAGATGGTAGTGCTCTATTAGTACTAAAGTAATAACCAGTACTATGCTGTTCAGATAGTGCTAGAAATCAATGTGCCACAACATGTAAATCTTTTTGACTGTATTTATGACAAACTATAGATATAATGGTAGCTATAAAACTGTATATACTGTAATTCATCCTTCAAAGGATGACTGAGCACAGACACAGTCACATTAGAATTTATTAGGACGAAATTGCTCAAAAGCATCACACATACAACACAGGCACATTGGTCTTAAACCTGAAGTTTCAGGTATGTAAAGGAAGAACCCTGATGTAGTATCACTACGTCACTCTCAGTGTACACAACTTTCTTTATCTCAGTAAGTAACTGGTTCTGCCAATATCATAAGATCAGAACCCCTAGAAATCAAATATCCCGCATGCTTCCTGATGCATGCATGAACAGCGAAGTAATGCAGTCATCCAACTTGCATGACGATCGTGCAATTAACAAACAAGAGACAATCATTTTCAGAATAGCCAACTATTTCATCTTACAATAAAACACCGAGAAATGCAAATCTATAAGACAGTTCTACAAAAGAGCCAGTAAACACACACACAAACACACACTCACACACGCGCACACACACCATCATACATTTTAATGAAAAATTGCTATAATATCTATAAAGCTTGTTCTCAGAAAGGTATTGTTCCTTTCCTGAACCTTATCAAGAACAACAGTGATGAATAGCAAAGTATACATTGCTAGAGGGGTGACTCCCAAGTCAACTAGAGAACGGTCAAAATCACTTATTGATCAAGTGAGAGACAGCCCCAGTATTCAAGTTTATAGTATATAGTTGTGTTAAATGCTCAATCACATGGGTTATATCCAGGGTTCAATTATTTTCTTTATAAGATGTCTATTTGTTAGCCAATGAAATACCATTTTTAATAAAAAATGTCCAGCTTATGCTTTTGATTTTTCAAATAAAGGGAGCGCCACTGAATGTGTTTATTGTATTTATGTTTCACAAATTCTTAACTAAGAAATAATTTGGGATACAGAAAATTTGTGTTGCATTCTTCTAAAGCAAGATTTGGAGGGGGCGGAGGGGGGACATCCACCTTATGTTCAGTCTGTTTCAAGTCGTTTTTCTGAGTTTTTAAACAAACCTGCAGAGGACTGTCTTAAAAATTAAGGTTAAATTCAAGAATTCACAAAATATGCATGGCTTAAATGCTTAAACAAAAAATTCTGCTTCTAGACTTAGGAGATTTTTCTCCCGCTGCTGTTTTTGGACTTGATTAAAAACTGCATTAAAAACTTTTAGTGTTAGGGAATGCCAGAGGAAATAAAATAGATAATTGAAAGAAATAAAACTGTAAAACAATTATTTACAGATTGTTGAGGCAGTATCAAAATATCAAATTACTGATATTTCAGGGATATTTAATTGTGTCATGTATTTCTCCTTTAAATTGTTGGATGGGTTTCGCACTAAATAAAAATTGATAAATACTGATAACTTGCTTAAACTTTTCTCTTATCTGAATTCATTACCATTTACAGAAAATAATGACAATGTTACGCACTCTATGGTTTAGCTCATTCTGAATAGTAATATTGAATAGAGAGAAATATATGTCACGGTGAGAGAAAAGTTATAATCACTTTTAAAATGTTTACAAAGTTGTTTAAATGTACATTGCTGCTCTTTGCTGGCTTTCTTACCTTTGACTTCCATCTTGCAGTCCACCTCAGCCTGACCAAGGGTATTAATAGCTTTACAGGTGTATAACCCGCCGTCATATGGGCAGGGTTTGCGAATCTCCAATGTGCAGACTCCTTGGTTACAGAACATCCTGTATCGAGGGTCACCCTCGATTTGTATCCTGTTCTTTGCCCAAAATATTTTAGGCTAAATAAAACAAAATTAACAGAAATACATTTCTTCAAATGTTTGCAATTGATATCTGCAAACGTATTAAATGAAATCAACGAGCACTGCATATCATGATGCTATACTACATGATGTTAGAGTAACAGCGTTAACAATTCAGTGCTTTTTACTCCAGGCCTATGTAGATCATCTTGTTAACATGTATTCTGTTAATGGTCATAATCCTAATGGACGTAGCTTTCAATTTTCCACTGTAGGCAGTGGCAAATTGCAATTAGGCACAGGAAGAGGGAAGTGGGGGGGGGGGGGGGGTGGATGATAGAACTGCAAGCTCTATTAAAACTATGAACTTAATTGTCTCCGTGGATGTTGTCTCTTAATATCAATCTCTTGCATTTGCTCACAGCGGTTATGGAGTGAGAACATTACTAAATCGCAACTCTGGCAATGTTCCTTAGCATAAGCAGAGACGCCCGGAATCACATCAGGGCACAAGTGATGGAGAGGTATGAATGAGTAACAGAGGCATAGATTCTCTGCTGAGAAGTCCACAGCAGTTGCAAATATTTGTATTATTATTCCATGAAGGATTCAATATTTAAGACATCAGCAATGTTCTATAATGTTTCTGCAATTCTATTCTACAGTGTATTGCAACATAATGCTATTCTCCAAGGCTTTCTCTTCAAATGAGTTGCAGGGTTTATAGGATTGAAAGCAAATGGATCAAACCAATGCAAAACATTTATAATTAGTGAGATAAAGGTCATCTGTCAGTATTTAATATCAAACAAACATGTATCACAGCGGAAACTTAAAAATATTAGGTTCATACATTCTAAAGGCATTATGTGCAAGTTATAGAGATTTTGTCCTAAGCTTCCAAACTATACAAGTACCTTAGGATTTCCCCGTACACTGCAGTTCAGTGTAGCATTGTATCCAGCCACAGCTATAGTGTCGATCAAAGGATGGGTAAATTTAGGTGCCTCTGTGAAGTCATATTCATTGTACTTGGGGGTCTTTAAGGCCAAACCTATAACAGATGACCAGAATTAGAATGACACGTACAGTGGATAAGGCAGCGGCACAAGTTCGAAGGGAATAGAACACATCAATCCATGGAAAAAGCATCTCAAGGTTTGGGCCAATTCTCCAGTTTGATTGGTTATATCCATTTCATGGTTTTACTGTGGGGCCATGCTGGAGCAAAAAAGCTTCTGCAGTTCCCTGTAAATACAATCGCTGCACATAACAGTGATTAATTCAGTGTTTTCAGTGTGTCCTGATAAAATAATATAAAAATTGTGGATTCAAAGAATATTACAGCACAGAAGGAGGCCACTCTGCCCATGGTGCCTGTGCCAGCTCTTTGGAAGAGCTACCCAATCAGTCCCACTACCCGCTCTTTCCCCAAATCCCTGTAAGTCATTTCCACTAAAATCAATATCCTTCATATTTTTCTACAAAGCAGTTTTCATATCACTTTTGTGGCGACCTGTATAGAAATTCCTACCCAGAATGTTAAGCGAAGGTGGTAGAATTTTGCAAATATAAAATTATCAATTCTTAAAACACAGATTTGTGATTTATCCAGCAATAAACACGTTAATGTAATTGTCAGCTCTGACGTATGATACAGAGCAAAGGATTTATTGTAATATAAGTATTTAAAAACAAACCCTCTTTCCGGATCAAAGCAGCGTCCTTCGTCCTGGTGGCATCATCGCTCAGACCACACATGTTTTCAGAAAAGACTCGAAAGAAATATTCGTTTCCTACAATTAGATCAGTTATGACACAGTTGGTTCTGTGGTAGTGCTCCACTATTGTGTACCATTCCTACAGTGGGAAACAATCAAATCAACATCATAGGTATTAAAAAATGCCATCAAACAGTTTTTTTTCCCTAAATTTGTGTCACAGCAGAAATGTAGGAGCCTTTATAACAATGCAAACAATTATTTGAAGAAGGAGTTAATGCAATTATTTCTCCTCAAACCTATCACAGTGCAAGACTGGAGCAATACAATACACGTTTCTATAAAGTCTTTCACATTGGGAGGACGTCTCAAAGTACTAATGTGAAAGAAATTCTATCAAATAACTCTCGTCTGTTAGAAAACCATGTATGTCCCATTGTCTGCTCCCAAATAGAAAAGGGCTTAATATTGTCTTGTTTGGGTTGTATATTTTCTTGCTCTAGTGAAGATTAGATGGGAAAAAAACAGACAGCTCCTGTGACCTCTTGCAGATCTCCTATGCCACTGATTGAAATATCCCACTATAATTAGTGAAGAATAATAATCCTTGCATTTGATATAGCGCCTTATCATGTCGTTGAGATGTCTCAAAATAAAGTTTTTCTTGGCATTAGAATTGGAAATATTGGATCAAAAGCATTGTGGATGGTGTAGCTTCCTTCAAATCATATTGATTTAGGCAAGTATTTCAAACATTTTACTTTTCACCTCTTTTCCAATTGTGAATTCATAACTACAGTTATGATCGTGCTTTTGGTCCCCTCTGCCCTCCCTCCTCCCCTGGCTCGGGGTCAGACTCCACCACTGAAAGCGCCCCAGAACACTACCCTGCGTGAAGGGTACTATATAAATACAAGTTGTTGTTGCCGTTGTTGTACAGTTGACCTTTTCCCAATTACAAAATGTAACTCTCCAGCAAAGAGCATGAAAAAAGTTGCAGGTTTGCACCATTACTACCTCATTTGAGACTTACCATAGTCTTTTTATCAGCTTTCTGAATTGTGTAGCCAACGATCTCAGCGTTTCCATTGTCCTTTGGTGGATTCCAAGCCAATTCAACATTACCATCCCACACATCCATGATCTTCACAACCAGTGGTGGCTGAGGTTTTTCTGTAAACATATGCATAGAGAATGACCATTACTTTTTTTTCCCCCAATGATTGAACATGGTTGCTCCACAAGATCTTGCACCTCCACCTATCTGGTAGAACAGCCTTCTCCACTGTCACCAACACAGAATTGTATCTAAGATTACAGGAAGACCTCACATAAGTCATGTAAGTTGGGACCATACATTTAATATGACTTGTGCAAAGTATGAGTTATGTGAAACTTATAAATAATAGGAAACTGAACAGGACTTGGGCAGATGTACGACAGACGATTATATGATTTCTACAGAGTTTTACTGTATAACAAATGGAAGCATCAAAGGAGAATTCAACAAATAATACTCAGTCTGCCAAATTCCCCATTGGAGATTTCATCCACACATTTTGACTTACCCTGTATCAGTCTTAATTCTGAAACTAGTTTCCCACAGTCATTAAATGTAACTAAGGTTAAGATCATAAGAAATTTGGGGGCTTCTGCAAGAATCACTCTAATTCTCCAAAATGGGTCAAAGTTCACTCTACCTCTTAATACAACAGATCTAAGATTCAACCCAGCCCCAGACCCACTCCAAGGTTCTCTTAGATTCACCCAATTCTCTAATAATAGAAGTCAGAGACTCATCCTCCCTCCTTCCCTTGCTCCTTCCATCCATCCCTGATTGACTTCCAGCACGGTATACATGCAGTTATTTTTCATGTGTGAACCGAGACAGAGTAGGTAACCTATTCATTGGTGAAGGAAGTCAAAACCAAGTCTAATGCCGACTTTACCAGACATCTGTATACCTGCACTTCCCTCTGCTGGTGGTAATTAAGAACAGAAACATGATTGAAGTTTTCTTCCCTCGCTCAGGATCCTGAGACAAATTGCAGGACTCCTATTCCTGCCTTGCCTAAGATCAGCAGACTCAGGCCTCGTGGGAGATGTGGAAGGTTAAATGTAGGAATCTCTGGTCTGGATGACAGTACTACTCCAAGTGACGTTGTATCAGCTGAGTCATTAAAGCAGCGATAATACAGCTTGTGTTAAAATAATTGCATTGGCTCAATTCCATATTCCAGGCTCAATTCCACTTGATAGAATAATGTCATTTTCAGTGTAGATTTGGCTTATCATGTTGTGAGGGTTACTTGTAATAGGTCTCAGGACATTGCAATGTACTAAAAAAAGTAATAATGGTTTACTTACCCACTATCTGAATGTCCAATCTGGCCTTGTCCTCAAGGTTCTCCACTTGAACTATTAGTTCATATCTGCCAGAGTGACTCCGCTCTGCTTTACGGATGAATATCACAGTATCTGATTCAGTGTTACGGATACTGACTTTGGTTAAATCCAAGGGCTCTCCATCCTTTTTCCAGATAACTTTTGGTCTTGGTTTACCCTATTAATTAAATTATTATGTAATTAGTTGTAAAGTACTGTATGTCCATATACTTTCATACTGGAGGTGGAAGAGTTTTCTTCTTTCCTGGTTTACAACCTTAACAGCAAACATTATTTTATACTTGTTGGTAAATTTACTAACTTTTGTATGCACTTAGAATGAGATTTTTTTTAGTAGAATAGTAAAAACATGAAATTGACCCTGATCAAAGTATTCACCATTGTGTCAAGCAATTTATTTCACCTAGAGCTCAATGAATATTTGGTTATGATTGGAACTGAATTTAGACTAATGAAATACTCAGTTTTAGCACAGTAGTTCTTGGTTTGTTGGGATAATGAAAATTTGCAGCTGTGTGTCAAGTATTTCCAGTTGTAATGTTCGCCCGAGAGAGTCACTACACTCTATAATGTACCCTGTAAAGTGTTTTGAGGCATTTCGATGACATGATAAGGTGCTATATCAATCTTTTAATTATTATTTAATATGATATGAACATCCCAGAGCTTCTTTTGAGTACCTTCAGGCATTATTGAGAAATGTTGCTCAGCTTTAAACTGAAAGCTATTCTTGGTAGTTCCTTACTACCTTCACAACACAAATGAGTGAACATGATCTATTGTAAAGATGAGATAAATGGACAAAACAGATGTTTCTCACCTATACTTTTTTATATAGATTTGTAAATGGCCTGAACAGCAGGTGCTCAAGAAAAACCTAACTTTGAATACTCCCTGTATAAAAATACGTTTTAAAATGTACACATTGGGAAAATAAAACTACTTTGCTGTAACTTTCAGTGTCATGTTTAAATCTACATTTATGCAGCATGTTAAGCCTGTTGAACCACATAGACACCCTACCTGGAAAGGTATCAGCAGATTCACAACTTCTCCAACTTTTCGGATGAAGGTTTGCTTCAGCTGACGAGGGAGACGGATTTTAGGAGGTTCTGGAAAGCAAAAGGGAAGAGTATTTCAGTGGAATTGCACAGCAATTCACTGTGTTATAACAGCATGGCTTTTTAATAACATAGTCTATAGATAACTGCTTGCAGCTACGGGAATTTCAAAAACTGTCATTAGGGAATGAAAAGCATCCTCAAGATAGTAAAAAGGATTGGCCGAGAGCATTGGACACGAGCCTTGTTTGTAATTGAAATCTTCAGGGAGATCCTATCCGTGTCAGTAAATTTAGGACCATGTGGTATTCTCCACTTGTTAAATTTACAATGCTTAGTGGTGTGCATATGTAATGGAATTTTCCACATTGCAAATGTACAATCCAAGGTCACCTTAGCCCATAAGTGACATGACAAATGGAGATTGGCCCCTTAGAGAGTGTGGATGCATATTTCTTAGTATTACTGTGAAGAGACATCATTGTATACACGTATCCAGTTCACTTCTCTGACTAAAGTCTATAGGATTTGTGTGTCTCCTGGGGGAGGGGAATATTTAATTTTTCAAAATAAAAAGCAACTCTGATTTCAGCAAGAACTAAATTGGTTTACTGAGTGATATAAATATTCGCTGTTTTATTTCATTTCAAATTGTGCATAAAACCAGAAGTTCATAGAAATAAAAAAATAAATAATATAAATTAGTAAGGAACTAACACTATTGATACTTAGACAACTGCTTATACACCCAAACTAGAAAATAACCAGAACTTAGGTGTATCATCAATTAGTTAGCTCATACACTGCGTGCAAGTTACTATATTACAAGTTGACCATAGATTTCTGTAGATTGATTTTGCCGATATTCACCTAGAAAAGCAGTCGTTACACTTTACAGGATATCTTGTGAAGCGCTTTGGGATATCCACCCATCACTATATCAAATGTCAGAATAATTATTGATATTATTATTTTAGAAAAATTATTTCTGTACAAAGAGAAAAAAAACTTCTTACCCACAACTTCTCTAACTAAAATAGACTGGGATATTGTATTAGGCAAACTTTCACCAGCGGCATTTACGGCCTTGACTCTCACTTGGATTTTCTTCCCAGTTGGCAGGCCAGTTATTGTGTACTTCGTCGGTTCTATCAGCTCATCATTTGATCTTATCCACTCATCCGCTGTAAAGAAGAAACACAATGCATTTTTAATTGTAACTCATAGAAACAGGAGTAGACTATTCGGTCCCTCAAGCCTGCTCCGCCATTTTATAAGATCATGGCTGATCTGTACCTCAAGTCCAGTTATCTGCCCCTACCCCATACCCCTTAATACGCTGACCTAACAAATATCTATCTATCTAACTCAGAAAGTAAGCTGTACTATTATTCAGAATGCTCTCGGAATGCTTTTGTTCCATAATATTAATACCCTTATAATATTGATGTATTTGGATATTTTTTTCCTTTCTTTCCCATACTCTGTTTAGTATTTTGATGTATTTCGTCAAAGGGAGCGAATCTGTGCAAAGTTGTGACGTAGGTACCATTTGAATGGTTTCAGCCTCTGTGATCCATAATGTTGTTGACCCTGCTGCTTAAACTGTGCTTAGTGTCGCTTTATTCTAGTAGTGGCCAACCTTTTTGATCAATCAACCAAATACAATATTTCCTGATTTAACATTTCTTCATTTTGGCCATACCTTGGGCATCATCACTCTCTTAGCGATTGAAAACAAGGTATTGATTTGGAACAGACTCGCCTGGACTGGTCTGATGTTCAGAGGGCCACTTCTGGCCATCATTGTTCAACATAATTCACCATTTTTACACACTATCCCCTTAATTGCATTTGTCAAAGAAAAATCAGCGACGTACTTCCTTCAAAGCAGTATTCAATAGCATAGCCATCTAAGCCTGCAGCTCCAATACGTTCAGGAGGCCGCCACTTGAGTGATACGGTGCTGTCTGTGACCCCATCACATACGAGCAGTGTGGGCTCACTGGTCGGAGCTAGAGAAAACACAGAAGTATTTACATTTCTTTTTAAATTGTACCAATGAGGTTTACAGCTTGTACCTGAAGAAAGGCCACTTGGTTGAAGGCTGGAGTACCCACAGAACCAAAACCCAACATTTTCATGAAAGGGCTAGAGAAAGTTGCGAGGACAGAGAACAAGGAATACAGCATCTGGATTTAAACTTACCAAGTGGGACAAAAGACTTTGAAGGCTCACTGGGCTTAGACATTCCTATAGCGTTGACAGCAAACACACGTACTTCATATGAAATGCCTTCAATCATGTTCTTGGGTTCAAACACCAGGTCTTTGGTTAGATCAAAGTTCAGTCTCATCCAACGAGAGCTTTGTTTCTTCTTTCTTTCAATGATGTAACCTAAATGGAATAGAGGATGGCACTTTAACATACTATAATACTCATACCACCAATTTATCGTTGAACTCCTGTTGCACCAGACTGATATACTATATGCCTGATTACACCTCACTTATTGAACTACTTATGCAGTGTTCGAAAAGAAGGGAATTTTCCCAGTGTCCTGAACAATAAATCTCCAGATTAATTGAATCATTCATTCCCTGGCTTCCTGTGAGATCTTGTTGGTGCACACTTGCAAACAAAAAACAGTCTTGAAACCTTTGAGTAAAGGTTCAAGTTGCTTTGCTACAGTTCCTTGAAAGAACTTGCAGAAAACTGTTTTCAAAGTTAAGGTTGTACTGTATTTAAGAATTTGCCGAATTCTGGATGATGTAAAAATGCTGCATAAATCGAGTAAATCTCCTCCCCCCCCCCCGATCAAATATCTGCCCCACGATGATGCAATGCCTGCGAGTAGAGAAATCAGACAATACCTAAAATGGGTGAGCTCCCATCGTAATCTGGAGGGTTCCATGTCATTGTGCAATAGTCACCTCCCACATCACTGACTACTGGTGGTGCAGGTGGATCTGGTGCATCTGTCGGAAACAACATCACAATCCTGCATTAGTGCTAAAAGGAACTCTTCGTTTTCTATAAGCTTTGATAATGCAATCTGTCTGATAATATAATAATATGATGACATTTACCGCTCCCCCTCACTCACCTCCTTCAAGGCATGTCTCAAGACCCTCCTGTTGGACCGTACCTTCGGTCACCCTCCTATCCTTATCCTTCCTGCCATCCACCACTCCTGAACTTAATTTGTGTGTGAACCCAACTGCATGTAATACATTCACGGCTTCTCCTCTTGTTTGGTTAGATTTACTGTGGTTTAAATGAATCAAACTAGAGTCAATGTTGTATCCTCTGTATTACAGTTATAGCTTTGCTCTACAGAGGATGCAACCAGTTAAGAGAAAATCTGGTCTCACAAGTGAGCAGAGTTTTAATATAGTCAACGGAGAGTGAACTCCTAAGATGAGAAAAGACTTTCATAGCCATGATTGAGCAGCATCTGCTGTTTGTCCAGGTTACTTACCAACTACCTTTATTTTCAATTGAGCGGTATCTTCGCCAGCTTCGTTCTGTACTACAATGTTGTATGTTCCTGAATCGTCTTTCTCAGCTGATTCAATCGTCAATGAGGTGTGATCAGGGAAAGATTCAGCTTTCACTCTACTGCCTGTGTCCAAAATCACCTTCACATAATATAGAAAATATATAAAAGAAAAAATTAATCAGAAAGAAAACCTCTTTGTATCCAAGTTTGAATGTGGCACAAGATTAACGGCAAGTGGTACTGAATTGGGCTTCCACATTCATTGTTGTTAAAATGCCATTTTCAATGGCGTCATTCACTTGTGACATCTAATTGGAATTAATTGGGATATCTTAGCTCATGTTACTTTTCAGTATGAATGAATGGTTTGATGCTGACATCACACAAATTAAAACATGTCAAATTGCTTACATGTCTTACTAGAGTTGTAGATATTTGCTTATGACACATACAAGAGTCACTATTATTTACTAATCCTTTTGCAAATACTGCAAATTAGGAATATCATACAGACCGTAATATTTTAAATTGTATTTCTAATTCATTTCTTCTGACTTTTACGTGTTGCAACTAAAACCCACTTATTAAAGGTGAAAACTTTTTAAAGGAGCTACACTATTTCCCTTAATATGTCTGAATGCCGTTATTTACAAGGATTTATGGCTTGTAGTGCTATTATTTATAGAGTTGAGCTCACTGTGTTGTTTTGTAACCTGTTGCTGTGTTGCAATACCCTCTGTCTTCTTACTCAGTCATGTAATGTACAATGCTTGATAATAGTTTCCTTTCTTTACTTGTTCAATAAGTGTAGCCAGGGTAGATGACACTGAATTCTGGAGTGCATTTGAGTACATTATGCTTGTTCTAGACAAATTAATAAAATACGCAGTTATATTTAGTTAGCAATTATTCAATAAAATAATCCTTGCATTTGAAGTCGAATGCCTCTAGCATCAATCAGAGGTGGAAAATTTACCTTTTCACCTTTCATCCAGACAATTCTTGGTGCTGGTTCTCCTGTGACAGGTATCTCCACTCTGAGCTTGTTGCCAGCCACGACTGTTATAAAGTTTTCCGGTGGCTTGGGAATATTGTCAAGGTGGAGCTTTGGAGCATCTAGGAGAAGAAATATAAATATCTAACCTTACAAATTCTTAGAGGTGAATCAGAGCATCCCTTGACTTTAAAGAATGTAATTTGTGTGATAGTTTCTAATCCATTTGCACACCTTATATCACATCAAACATAAACTATGAGAAATAAAAAAACAGAAGTCACTGGCAATACTCAGCAGGTTTTTCCTTTATCTTTCTTTCCCGGCCCCCTTCTCTGCTTGTCCTTATAATCTGTTCACTTCCAACATCCCCCAGTTTTGACGAAAGGTCATTGAGCTGAAACGTTAACTTATTTTCCTCTCTCCATAGATGCTACATGACCTGCTGAATGTTCCCGGCAACTTCTGTTTCTATTTCAGATTTGCAGCATCTGCAGTATTTTTGTCTTTTCTAAACTATGAGAATCTATTTAGCAGAAAAGAATACAGCATGTAATATCATGAAAAGAACTTTACAGTGCACAAGACTTAATTTTACATAAGGAAGTGTTTGATGTGGAATGCACTCCTGGGAACAGGGAATACTAGCTTTCAAGAGAGAGCTACGTAAATTTCCAAAAAAGGAGTAATTTGCTGGGGGTCTGGGGAAAGGCAGGGAAATGGGACTGAATAGATTAGTTTTTTTGAACGAGCCGGCACTGATACAGTGGACCAATGACCTACTGTGCTCTAAGTTCTTGAATTCTATAATTGTGCATGTGGGAAAGTGAAAAGCATGAAGGAAGCATCAGTGTGTGGGATAATTCTCATTACAAGGAGTAATAATCCTTGCATCTGATATAGCGCCTTCCAAGTCATTTTAAAGCGTTTCACAGGATGTACTGCAATGTGTAGTGAATGACCAAGAAACATGGTAACAGAGTGGTAACTGTTCTCCAAAGTAATACAGAATTACATTCAACACTTGGTTCGTAACAATTGATAATTTTTGCAAGCAAATATCTGATATTACTGTCCTGCTGTTCAGTTGTACAGTAAACTTCACACAAGTCATATCGGTTGGGACCACACATGTAATATGATTTGTGTAAAGTATGAGTTGTGTGAAATTTATAAATAATAGGAAATTCAACGGGACTTTCAAACACAGATTAGATTAGTTTTCTTTTAGGAAATAACGTTACGGGATAGGTAGTTCGGGACATATGTGCAAGCAAACTAGATGGACCTTGATCTTTTTTCGTCCAGCATTTCTTATGTTTTTGTGACTTGAGCAGATGTATGACTTAGGCAATTATATGATATATACAGATCAGATTTTTTGCTGCGAGTTTTACTGTATTGGCTCTCACGAGTAACTCACCAATCATACGAAGATTAGCTGACAATTGCGTTGAGTAACCTTCAGGGATGAAAGTGTAGTCACCGTCATCATCCATTGCCACCTTGTCTATTATCAGCTTGTGAACTCTTTGGTCAGAAAACACCACGAGTTAGTATTTTGCCGCTTTTCCATACTACTGCCATACAACGTGAGAAATTCAGGAATTTCAAAACTGCAGTGGTTGCAAACAATAATCATTTTATTTTGTTTGTGAACTACTTTCACATAATGATATGTGAATAATCAGTGTGGCCTGATGTTAGAAAGTTGCAATTGTGACAGCAGATGCTAATTAACCAACTACATTTGTAATGTCTGGCAACTACTGTTCTTCATTATCAGGAACTCTTTATCTGTGAGTTCAGCTCACTAGAATGCAATGATTCATTGAAATAGGAGGAACAAAAGATCTATCCAAAAACAGGCACTCTTTGGATAAATCAATATGTATATATGGGATTTCTACCTATATAAACTAGGGCTGCTTACACATTATTATTCACTCAAACATCTACTATTCAATAGTTTATATTACCATAGTAAGTTATGAACTTGATGTGTTTTTTGAAAGAAACACTACCTAAGATGCAAAACAGAGCGATCGATTCACATTAAAATCAAGGTTTCTCTGTTTTTTTTACATTTTGGTATCCTCTACTCAAAGGGAGAATTTTACATAATTAAAACTCTTTTTTTAGAAAAAGGGACAGTGAATAAAGAGAATATCCTATAACATGTAAAGATGTGGGTTTTCCATGCAGTTGCTTACAGAGTGAGCTCCATTGGAGGGTGTATGTCTTGAGAGAGCTTGGCCATCTTTTTGTGGAGCTATTCTAATAATGTGGCGTCCAAGTTTTTGGATGTAAAACACCGCAAATCTAATGACATTGGCCAACACTAATTGCTCAATATGGACACACAAACTCTTGCTTGCGCAATGATCCAAACAGCAGTAATAATCGAACTTAACCTAACATCAGAAATTAATAATTAACTCAGATTAGTGGAACATGGTTTACTTTTCAAAGGTAAAAAATGCAAGATTTTATGCAGGAAGATTTTCATTCAAAGGAAAAAAAATACTTAATTGCTTCTTTTATCCTGCTGATCATTTTAGTTGGATTATGAAATTCACACTTTCCCAGTTTTATTTGTAAAACATCACTTTCCAGGGTCAGTGTGGAAACTACATGCTTAGTTTTACAGACTATTTCTGAACTGCCTTTGTTATTTCAGTAACAAGTTCATTCATAAATAACTATTAATGGTCCCTGCATATTCTGACATACCTTCAAGTTAGTGCATGACCCTGAACATAGCCTTACATGCTCCACACTATTTATGAATGACAAATGTAGTGTCTGCATGACACTGCAGGAAATGTGTCACACAAGCATATGTGTCAGCCTTTACTAAAAGCAGCATCTGAATTGTGGAGACACCTTTTGAATGTTGATACTACAGTATATGTCATTTATGCTTACTTTCCTCTGTGAGATATCTTCACGTGCTCACTGGGAGTGACCAGTTGACCATTTTTATACCACTTTCCAGTGATGCTGGCCTCTGATAATTCACATTGAAAAACTCCTTCTTTACCGGATCTGACTATTTGGTCAGATAGATTTTGTAATATCTTCAAGGGTTTCACTGGGAAGAAAATAGATTAAGTCACAACTTCCACCTCATGCGGAGTACATACACATTATTTGGCTACTTCACTGTTAGCTTAATGTGAAAGAAATATCATAGCAATCGATTAACTTCAGTTAACAATTTACTTATGAACCTTATATTAATCAATGTTACAGCTGAGAAGGGATTTGTTTGTTTCCCAAATAAAGGGGTCAATTTAATAATATATTCAAAATTTCTCACATCATATATGCCCAACTAGATGTGATAAAGCAAAATTTCCTAACACTATTCTCTGTAGCATGGTTTCACAGACGTTTCCACTGATAATGGAATTCTGGATCTCAGATGTGAAGACCAGATTGAAACCAGTAGTAGGTCCTTTCTAGGTTGAGTTGCTCTTTCACAGAGATATAAACTCACACTGCAAAGCTTTTGTAGGCACAGTATTGAGAAGGAGGTTATACATACAATCAACTTTAAGGACTCCTGTAGATTGGCCACCGGTAGTCTTCACGGAATATGATCCCGAATCTGCCTTTGTTGCTTCAGGGATGATGAGATAGTGTTTTGTCCCTTCAGCTTTGATGCGGTATTTGTTTGAATTAGAAATTTCAATTCCATTTTTATACCTATTGTGATATAAATATGACAAACTGTAATGTTAAAAATGGGTATTGAAGTCAACTAGACCAAATATAACATATTTCCCAAATCCTACCTACTCACCAACAATTATTCTCTTCTCTTATGATCTCTTTCTTTCTCTTCCAGATCACTTGTCTCCTATTTACTTATATCTCTTTCATTCTTGCCGCTTTGTCTATCCTGATCATTGTCTGCTTCTCCCCACTTTCTCTTTAATGAAGCTTTCCAATGTCAACAGTGGACTTACTGCATCTCAACAACTTGCATTTATATAGCGGCCTTCACACAGGGTAGTGTCCCGGAGTGCTTGACAGTGGAAGAGTCTGACCCAGAGTCTGGACAGTCAGAGATCCACACCCGAGCTAGTGGTTGAGATCAGGAGGGTGGAGGGCGGGGAGGGGAGGGATAGGAAAGTGACCAAAGACAGGGTCAAAGAGTAGGGTTTTACTTGTGAACCATCTCCACATCAATGTATTATTAATTCAACACTTATTCCATCTCTACACAGAATAGGTCGTTAATGAATAGCCTTATTCTTAAACTTGTAGTGTTTTTATGTTAAATAAACCATCACAGTCAAATTTGTGTAAGACATGAAAAATCCATGGAAGACAATGGTGTATTAAAGAAAGTTAACTACTTGCAACTGCTCGTCACTCATACCTGCAGTCCTAGTTTGTTGTGGGGACTCCCAACACTCCATTATTTTCCTACCATAGCCTAATGTGTATGATCTCTAATAATATTTCTGCATAGTCTTTATAATACTGATAACATTCACTTGAGACAGATTATTCCAATCCCTTTTCAAGCATTTGCAACATTCCTAGCTGATCTGAACCTGAACAGCAATCAGCTCCTACAATTGGTTGCAGCCTTGGTTAGGGAATAACCACTGTTTATGTGTTAACTCTTGATAGTGATTGTTGAATCACTCTATTTATTAAGAATGAAAGCCAAGACTTTGAAGGGAAGTTTTCATACCATTTCACGTTGGCATTTTCTTCTGAAACTTCACATTCTAATTGCACCCTCTCACCAACCAGCTCATTTAGATCTTCCAGCTCACGACTGATTAAAACTGGAGGCTCTGTAGCAACAGACACATTGAAAGGCATTCAAGCTGCAGAATGTGTTGAATTAGGTAAAAGCTATAATTCACTGTTAGTTTGTCATGACTGTATCTTTAATAAAAAAAAGTTTGGTCAGCCGTGTGTCTGACACATCCAGAAACCCATCACCATGCTTAAGAGTATCCAAACCAAGGTGAGATTTCCATGCATCCATCTACACATGGAAATTCCAGAGATAGATTGTTGGAATGCGCACTCTCTCCCTGGAGGGATGCCTCCTGTTTACCTAATTCCGGAAAGTATTAGGCGCAAGTTGGCAAGAGCCAAGGCTTGGGGACCCCAGAGTGTGGGTTGGGGTAACTGCTGGAGTCTAACCAGCTGAAACTGCACAGCTTGCCATTGATAGCGCTGTAAGGCATGCTCTCCTGTTGCTTGTCCATCTTGGACCACCCTATCTGTTAAGGCTTTTGATTGTAGGGTTAACAGGAGGCTAGTGGGATCGTGATAAAATGATGGCCCCCAAAAAAGTTTTTTGATGTAAGAACGTTTAAAGAAACATTGGAGAATGGAGCTGGACTCCATTCATACTCTCTGTAGTTATACTATAAGATGCTGTGTCTATATTGCAGTGGTGTGTTTGTACTATGGTGTTACTTTTTTTTACTGTAGTGCTGCGAACTGAAGTGCTGCTGAAATCCCATCTACAGATTACAGTGAGAAACATTCAAAGGAAGGTGAGGAAAGAGTGCAAGAAAGGCGTTCTGAATTACCTTTAACAAACAATTCTGTGGAACACTTCTCATCTCCGGCCACTACCTGATAAGCTGCATCATCCGCCATTGAGCAGTTTTTTATAGTCAACATACGTTGAGTTCCCTTGTGTTCAAAGATAAATCTGTTAAATTAAAGTGGAAAAAAAAGTGCAGGCAAAATTAAATATGGTTTAAATGAAAACAAGCTCATCAACTCAAACAAGCAGCTCAATATAATTGTAACAGTCCATTCAATAGCAGTTTTTATTGAACAGTACACTTCAAGTGCAATCGTGGAATTCAAGGCCTGAGGACTTTATCCACTTGTGCTATTAAACAGATTAAAAATGACCTGAGCACATGCTGCTGTTTAAGATTGTTAATTTCCACACCTGTTTGGTCAGTGCTTCTCTGACCTGCAACATTTTCCATGTAGTATTAATGACAGCCTTCTTCAAAATCAGCAGCCACTTAACGATGGAAAACTGACTTTGTGTAGAACTGACACTGCTGTGCTCAATTGACTGCCATGTGTGAACCACAAATGCAGTCACTCCACTTTACAGTATATTCTGTGAAGCACTTTGAGACATCTGAATGACATAAGGCACTATATCAAATGCAAGGATTATTATTATTATAACTCCCTCACCATTGAATTTGAATAAGTTCAAATACATTGTGTTACACAGAGTGACAGGCCATTCGACCCAACTAGTCCACACAAGCTCCCATCCTTCTATTCCACTTATCTGTACCTCTATTTTCACGTTTCCCTTATGTATGCCTCTTGATTATAATCAACATAAAGATTTATCTTGGAAATAGAATATATAACACAGGTAACCATGGAGTCTGTACTGACCTTCCACCTGGACGGATTTCTTGTCCATTACGATACCATTTTAGTTCAACTGTTGGATCTGCCAAATCCACAACAAATTTGATCTTTTCACCCTTATCCACCTGGTAGGCTGGGTCCAGGACCTTTGCAAACGCTTAAGTGAAGAATTAAAGGAAAACCAACACAAGAAAAGAACAGTAAAAGGTGAAATTTAATTGTAATTTTGTTCCTGCAGAGCAATGATACAGCAAGATGCTTTGACACAATTTTGCAAAATTCTAAAATGTTTGAAAGCAAAATGAAATCAATACCATCATTATAAAAGAGCAACTTAAGTGTGACGTGAGTTTAATTTATTGAGCTTAATTTAATCTCCACCAAGAAACAAAGATAAAGATAAATCTGGGAAATACTTGAGACGTCTCGAAGACTTGATAAGGCGCTATATCAAATGCAAAGATTAATTATAAAGGGGTTGAATGTCAGTGGAGATGCCATCATTGCCAATAGATTCTGAAGCACTGATGTTGTCTTTATTTGCTTCCGCAGGTACATACCAGCACTTTTCTTTTCCACTTTCTTCATTCGCTTTAAGCGTTTCAACAAGCCTCTGAGGTCAGTGATGCCATATTCAAATGCTATCTTTTCATACTCATGAGGCTGGGCTTTCTTCAGAAGCTCCCATACGTCAACATCAGGTTCTGTTTCTTCTTGTTTAACTTCTCTGAATAAGGAACATGGAGAAGTTGATTGGCGTGTGTCTGCCCATATTTTCTCAGCAGAGTTACATCAACAAGATACTTCCTTGTGTTTTAACTGGGGGCAATAACTAGATTGTATCTTTTAAAATAAGCACAAGTTCCTCCCACAAGCTCTGACTTAATCAGAAACTAACCAGGATGTATTTTAATAAATGGAGACTTACATTGTACATAACGTTTGTTTGAAGTAAAAACACTGATCTGATAAATGAAGACATGCAATGAAAGATTTAAATACTCTGATTCAAAGTGTGATTACCCAGAGGTGGCAGATAATTAATAAATAAAAAGAACTATAAGGTACATCAAACTATGATTTTTTGTAAATCGATGTGTTATATCACTTGCTAGCTCCAGCTAAAAGCCTAGCATTTTGCAGTGTATACTGTAACTTGTGAAAGGCTATCACCCAAGGGGTCAAGTCAGACATAATAAAGTGACAATGAAACCCGATCGGAGTTCCCAGATTAGATTACAGGCTCACACGCAGTCCCTGGTAGCTGTTATATACTGTAATATGCTATTTTTAAAATTACATGTGACATTGCTGTTGTTAAGCATTGCAGAGAGCGGTGTCATTTAGTCCTTTAGAGACATGTGTACCATTTGTGAGTAAGACCCTCTGATCATTTTAGTACACACACACATAAATGGGTGTCTAATTTCCATGCATTTTCATCCTTATGAGGTTGTCTCCTCTGATAAGTACTTATTTTGGTAACAATATTTATGATCATTTCAGGAAGTCAATTAAAAAATATTTTTGACTTCCAATCCCATCTTTGTAAAGTGCTCCAAGACATTATCCAGTCTAAAGGACAATATATAAATGCAAATTGTTGTTGATTATAGTTATATTCAGTATATTATTGTTAGATTTATTGTATCCTTCACCAAGAGTCCTTGTACTTTTGCAGTATATGTAAAAATTATCATTACACTTGGCATTTCATATATGTCTTATTTTGATTTCACTTAGTGCTACCTTGAAATGAAAAGAAACTCATGATCTGACACTATTAGATACCAATTGTTTTGATTGCAAAGAATAACAGCTTAACAATTTATTGACATATATTGTCAAGTGTGTCAGATGGTTGGCTATAAAGATTAGTGACACCAACAGCGAGTTACATTTTGCTTTGATATTTATTATCAGTTATATAAGATTACTCACCTTTTTTTTAATAAACCGCTGAAGTCCAATTCTCCTGCATCATCCTGACCTTCTGTACTACTTTAGGTACACAAAATAAAGAGATTTTTAGAAAAGAAAAGCAGAATTATTTTTTTTCCAACAAAAAAATATTCTTTAAAAATGCCAGCGGCTGAACAAAATACAAAATGCTCCAGAATTAACTGGACATTTGTGATCATAAAATATTTGTAATCAAAAACACATATAATGTCACTCAAATGTCCAGCAATGTGACAGGTCAAATCCCAACTCAAATGCAGGGGCAGGTAAGACACTCATTGGAAACTAAGCAAAATGCAAAATACTGCTGATGCTGGAAATCTGAAACAAAATCATTGGAAACTAAGTATGCGCTCATGAGACAAGGAGAAGGCAGAATGTTTGCTCTGCATGGGTAGCAGTACTATAGGTTTGATTTGAAGTCAGCTACACATGTATGGCTTTTTATGGTTATCTCAGAGTGTCCCTGTTCATCCACCGCCAGAAGAAAAAGAAGGTGGTACAAAATATTTATATATGTGTGTACATAGAAAAAAAAATGAGTCTAGCACAGGGCTTTTAGAGAGAAGCATTCAAATTATTATATGATAATAATTCCTGAACAGGTGATGTTATTACAGAGAACTAAGTGCTTCTTCATTCACAAATATACTATGCACCAACCACTATGAAGGTGTATTTCTATATGTAATGTAAAGTTTTATTGATTAAAACACCTCGCTGGTCTCCCCAGCTCCAACATTCACAAGATCCAGCTCATTCAAAACTCTGCTGCACGCATACTGACCCGGACTAAACTCCGTACCCACATCTCACCAGTTCTGGCCCAGGCTCCACTGGCTCCTCATCAACAAATGGTTTGACTTCAAGATCCTCACACTCGTGTTCAAATCCCTTCACTCCCTGGCACCTCCCTACCTCTCCAACCTCTTCACTCCCCAATCCACCACCCAGCGCCTCCACTTGACTGGCACCGGTCTCCTGCTCGTCCCTCGCACCCTCCGCCCCACCATTGGCGGTCGTGCTTTCAGGCACTTCACCCCAAAACTTTGGAACACTCTCCCTGAATCCCTCCACCTTGTCCCTTTTTTTTGCCTATCATTTTATGCAAAATGATGGCAAAAAAACAGAAATGTGATTTGATCTTTGTTATTCAAAAAATACAAAGATTTAATAATAGCTATAATGTTTGAACAATATTGTATGTGCATTTATTGTATTTCCACCCCAAAGTCCCTCATCCTTGCACACTCCTTTGCCTCCTTCAAGACCCATCTCAAGACCCTCCTCTTCATAATGTCTTAATTGCTGAACTCGACATCCCAATTATTTTACTGACTGCCCATGAACTGAAGTACTTAACTGCGCAATAGCTGGAACAACCAAAACTAACAGGTGGATTATTATATGGGTCCATGCACGTCACCCTAGAAATTCATGAACTTGCTATTGATATTCATGAATTATCCATAACCAAACACCAACACCAATGATGGCATTTCAACAGGCAATACCTCAATCAACAAGAGTTTACCAAATTAGCCACAGTAATGTCATTGTGTTGTACACATTAGTAAGTAGAGAATCAAGATTGTCCAATATAATAATGAAAGTAAAACTGGACAATGGATGATATAATTAACCCCAACATTTACCATGAAATCTGGTGTACAAGTTAATGCCTTCCAAATATCAGGAACTGTTTTGTTTTTACATTTCTTTAAACCAAAGTAGCAATATTAAAATCAGTCCAGTGATTTATAATCCAGATGTTATGGTAACAAAATTAATCAGATTAGTATAATATTTATCCTAATATCAAACACGGATTTGTGTTCAGAATATTGTAGTTGAAATCCATTGAACAATTAATTATACACTCAGTGTATCCTTTCAAATTTAACATTAAATAATGATAATCCTTGTGTTTGATTAGTTAAATGGAAAGAAGGTAATGAAGTCTGCTCATACGTATCTCACTTCAAGATATTTAGTTCCTGAGAGGAGATAAGTTTGATTTACAGTCCATGCAACAATTATCCATTACTCTCCAGGTTAATGCAGTGAAATCAAGAATCCATTCAGGTCACAGTGGCGGGGTCACCATGTTCCACAAACCCCTTTAACCACTGTTCAAAGAAAGATTAAAGTGCAGACAGGAAATGCAACATGTGCAGGTCTCTCATGTGATGCATAATAAAGATAGTTGCAAAGATGTCGAAAGGTATTTCTCCCATTCTACCACTAGAGGAACCTTACCTTACTGCTGCAGACCTATATGTTTGAGAAAAGAAGAAAGAAAATAAACACTTTAAAGATTACTTGCAGGTCTTGTAAGTGAGCAAAGAAAGATGATTATTTGAGGTCCTTAAATTGGCATGGGAGCACATGGGCAAGTTACAGTAACTCCAGACTAATTAAGGCCCACCCTCAAACCTTCACTTTCTCTCTTGGCTTCCTATTTGGGCCAGTGAGCACAGGTCCTCTTAATCACCGTTTAGGAGGTGTCATCAATAGGGACGCCATGCATACATCTGGTTGCCTCTGTTGGTTCAGTGAGAGAAATAAACAGTTCACTTGAAGAGTCAAACTGGACGGTCTCATTGGCAAGGGATAATTTGTTTAACTTTCTCTGATGTTGTTACATTTCCTACATTGTCTGTTGAGAAATCAGGCTGCATCAAGATCCTCTGTGAGGTCCAGCTTTCTGGCTTATCCCAATGTTTCCTCATGTTCTTTAGATCACAGAAGTTTAGCCATGGTAGGAGGGGAAGACTTGAAGAGGGTAATCAACAGCTGGAGCGGGTTACATTAGTCACATTTTAAACAGTTTTTAGCCTTTCTTGCTATTCCTGTGGAAAACTTTCATCCAGTGAAGTCTGGCATTAGCTCCTCTTCCCCCATCTGCTTCAAGGTTGATGTGCTGCTTCCAGCACAATGTTGCTTTCAATTCTTTTTCAACACGTATCTTCTGTGACGCGTTTCCGGTCTCCTGCTTGTCCCTCGTGCTCTCCATTCCACCATCAGTGGCCGCCCTGAAACTCTGGAACACTTTTCCTCTATCCTCCCACCTTGCCCCCTTCTTCTCCATCTTCAGGTCGTGCCTGAAGACCTTCCTCTTCAACCGTGCCTACGGTCACCTTTCCCCTCCCCCCAGCACAGCATCGTGCTCTGCCACTATCAAGAGCTCTGAGATGCTACCCCATGTGAGGGTGCTACATTATGGCAAGTCGTTGTTGTAAATTTTCATAGCTGGTTCTGCAGAACTGGTTTTACTTTCCTTCTCTTTTACTAAGAACAAACCATGAAGCGAGGCCTCAACAGGCCAAGACAGACAATCTAACAGGTTCTCTAGAAACTTTGGAGTTATCGCATCAGAAAACATCTCCTTACTGATTAGCTTATTTCAAAATATGCCAACTTAATGAATCACATGCTAACACTAATCGCCCCAAACACTAATGTTGTTTCTTAAAATGTTCTCTTATCCAGTAGCAAATATGAACTTTGGGGACTGAAAAGGATTGCTCTTAAAAGAGATACAATGGCTGAATGGACTGCTTCTGTGCTATTAAAGTTTTATGTTGACTCAAACTAGTTCAAGTCTATGGTGGAGCCCTGAATAAGATTGGGCTAAATAAGAAATTGCCTATAATAAGCTGTTTACCAGAGGGCTGAATATACATTAATGGAAAGTAATGAAGACATGAGAAAAACGTGATCACAGCAGGGTGGGATTTACATTCGATTTGGTTCAGAAATATTACCTGCGCTTGAAAGCAGCTCGGATGTCAATCTGAGCAACTTCCGGTGCCTCTGCAAACAAATTCAAATCAGATTTTAAGTTTTGTGAAACATGAAGATCATTTGCTGTGTGTAACTAAATATTTTTTCCCTTACCCTCTGTCACTCACAGTAACGTAAGTGAAAAGACAGACATCTGATCTGTTCCCAGGCCAGTGTCAGTGCCCTTACTGTCTGCTCAAGTGGGTGGGGGAGTGACTCAAATTGATTGTGATCAGGGCGGGTGGAGGGCAGGGAGGGAAGGAGGGTGATCGAAGGCACCATTGAAGAGGACGGTCTTGAGGCGGGTCTTGAAGGAAGCAAGAGAGGAGGCGAGGCAGAGGGACTGCGGGATAAACATAAAACAAAATGTATTGTACTTAAAGAAATAAAAACTCTTACCTATGACCTCAAGATCAAAAGTACAACTGTCAAATTTATCTTTCCAAGTCACTTCGCAGCGATAGTTCCCTGTGTAATTTTCCTTTGCTTTTATAATATTCATCTCAAACGTATAAGTCTGTAATTGAAAATAAATGATTTATGAACACTGAAAAGTCATGAGAGTAAACTATCTAAAGGATTGCGAAAAGAGATAACAAAACTGCAAAACACAGTTCCATTGTTCTTTTTATGTGTTGCAGGAAATTCAACTAATGATATAAGGTTTAAATGAGGGAACACATTTATTAAAAAGACTAAGTATTTCTTACCCTGGAGAGTCGATCAAAGGTTTCTTTCAGCTGAAGGTGTTTTCCTGCCTTACTAGCAAGATCCATCCATTTACCCTTGAACCACTTGATATTTGGCTTCCGAAGAAGATCCTTGGCTTCCACCTTGGCAACAAATGTGATATCGTCACCTTGAGAAAGAATATCAACACTTCAGATCCACTGCACCGTCAAGAACACATCCGATTCAACAAACCAGCAGGAACACAACAGACGACCAAATCACTAAGAGCATTAGACAATCAAATACATTGACACATCAGATACCCTCAAAATAACCAATGAAATTAACACATAACATAGACTAGATCACAAGGGACATGGACATAACGGGTGCATAAGACCATCAGTAGTTATGAAACATTCAGATGTTTCAGCACCACAGAGAGAGCATGAAGATCCCTTATACAACCAGAAAATGAACACATCAAACTCACTCAATCAGACATGGGCTGTCTCTGGCTGACGTAACCCAACGTTAAATAAAATAATAGGTAGAAACATACCAACGGTGACAGTGCCACTTTGAGGCTTTTCAGTGAACAGAGTTGATTGTTTTGAATCATTGTGCTTCTCAGCTTCCTCTGCAGATCCTTCTCCACTTGACCACACTGTTCAGTCGCAAAGCAAACAAAGCACACATCAAAATATAATTCAAACACAGTAAAATTGTATGATGTAGCATATTTCTTTTTTCTTCCTAATGGTTTAAGTCTCGGAGTTAAACATGTATTAATCTTGTGAGCAAACAGAATTTCCATTTCCCATCTCCTGGTGTGCAAAAAAAAATCCATGATAATGATGGTTATTGCCTTAGTAGCCATTTTAGTACAGTTCAAAGCATGAGTTTGATATTGATATCAGTTAAGCAAAGGGAACATTTTATATATTATGTTAGCCGAGGTACCCAAACACCAAAAATGTTCTCAAAATTTCCAACACACAATGTACATGACATCACTACAACTTATGCTTACTTGAGCAAAGAAACTATTGATGTACCCTTTGAACTTAGCTGTCAAAAAAAATATCAATGTATACAGATTCTGAGTTAGGTTGGATCATTTTCTTACACATTGAAATATTTCTACAATAATGCAGCACACTCCAGTAATTCTTGATAATAAATAAATATTTCAACAGAAGAAAAGAGCCACCCGAGTTTACATGATGTCAAAGTCTGTCAAAATATTCTAAAGAAAGTATTGGTCCAGGTTATCTACATAAGGTTAAAAAGATTCATTAACACCACTGTGACATTTGTTACATGGACATATGTGCTATGTGCTCCTTTGTGTAACATCTAAACTTTAATGAAACATTCGGCAGGAGGAAAGACTGACTAATCATGAAATAATGACCTTTTAAATACATTGACATTTACAATAGCATCTAGTGATGTCATGTGCTGGATGCTTTAATCAATGTCAAAGCAGACATACCCGAATTTTTCCTGGCCGATCGAGAATCAGGAAGCTTTTCATCTGTTTGAAAACACATACTGATCAAAAAGCTAAAGTACCGGGATACACATGAAGCTTGCACACTATAACGAGTTGGAGGGAAAAATAAGTGGGTCTGATTTCCAAATAAGTTAGACTTGAGTGTGCATGTCAGCACAGGGATAGCCCTACAACTTGCAAAAGTGCTATAATTTTATTTTATTCCTCCAGTTTGATTCCTGCTTCTGCCTCTTTCCCTTCCTCTCCTGACAATGGTAACTTGGTATCTCACTCAAGTGGCTGTTCTTCATATGTGAATCTAGACAGCAAGTGTCGACAGCCTGTTTGACCATTCGGGCTTCCCAGCCAATTCCAGTCCTGTCTACGCCTAGCATATTCAAGGCACAATGAGTAAAATTCCACATGAGCCTTGATTTTCTCTAACATATCATTTGAGAGCATAAAGAGGTTAGCAAAGCTTCCACAAGATTAACCCCTTCTGAACCTGTCTGAAATGCTGTACACTGTCCCGTGCCTTGGGACGTCCTTCCGACGTGAAAGGCACTATACAAATGTAATCTTGTGTTGTTGTATGAAAATGAAAGTGTTACATTTAGATCAAAGGTTTGGCTTGCCCATGCATATTGTTTGCCACTCATAATGTAACTGGGATCCCAGCGAATGAAAAGCGTGTTCCAAGTGCACATGATCTTCTGCAACAAAAAGAACTGTGGAAAACCAGTTTCCGAAATCAAGATTGAAGTTAAAAACATTCAATGATTTTAAATTGTAGTACAATGGTCTGAAGGCTAAAATATGGATCTCTAGAGAACAAAATAAGAAACACAATCTAAGTATACCATTCGATGCAAAATCACCTGGTGCCTTGGATGAGCACAATATGATATCATGTGTTGCAATATAGCAGCATAGAAAACTCAGCAGAGAAAGGAGACAATTTGGCCCATAAAGCCTATCCTAGTGTTAGCTCCTTCACTGGAGCTCACTATTCAATTTCCTGTTCCTTCCCCCTAATTAATCTATGTAGCAAAAAGGTTGGGAAATAAAGTAAACCTCACACAATTCACATCAATTGAGACCATGCGTTTAATATGATTGATGACAAATTTGCATAGAATATAAACTGTTGAACTGGACTTGGATAGATGTAGGACTTAGGTGATTATACAATTTATACAGATCAGATGTATGTAGTTTTACTGTAACACCGTGATACAGGAAACTTCTGCTCACAATTGCTAATATATGCTGCCTTTGTGAATTATTAGGAAATGTCATGCTACCATCTAGAGCATATTGTGCGAGAATGAATTCACTGACCTGGCTGTGGTTTAGTTGCAGAAGCTTCTTCTGGTTTGTCTGCAAACGTACAGTGCACAAGATACAGTGATAATTGAATAAAAGCTCAAACATACTGAACATACATAGACACGAGACCTCAGAAAACACAGCAGCACAGGAAAGACAACATAACGATACAGGGATTACAATGCATTTTCTCTGATATGATACTTCTGCACAGCACTGTCTATCTGTTCCATTATTTTTCTTAATTTAGCCATTCCATCTCTCCCCAGCCTTGTCGTCTGGATTCATATCTTAATTCTAATTGATTCTAGAGCTTGTTAGCATTGCTTTCTGGGTTATCTTTGAGGATCTCGATTATCACTCTGATACTGAGTCTATACCTTACTCCCTTTAGAGCTAAACTTCAGCTAATATAATATGTTTTAGCAGGACAATATTTTTTTCTGCTTCTTTGTCTTTTTTGGTGACCCTCAAATGATTTCAGCTCAAATTATAAGGTAGGGAACCAAAATGCATGTAGCAAGCGGGCAAGGACAATGGCATTGCAGTTGATAATATGATACAGACCATTTAAAACTCTTTGCTGGCAATGATGAACAAGTAAATCTATTATTCCCCTGCAAGATTTATCAAGGGTGATACTATTAGTTGCAAGTGGACTACTCTCCTTTGGATACAGAAAACTGTACTTTGGAAAAAACAGATGGAAGCCAAAAGAGGTAATAACAAGCAACTACTATAATAAATACAATTATATCCGTAACAATAAATAGTATACTGTATAATAAAGTATATAATGCGCAATTTAATGCTGTATACAGAATGTGTAGCAGTTAATTAATGACGTGATAGGAATTGGTCAGTCTGTGACAGAATCCAGCATTGTAATAGACAGTCATGCTACAAACAGAAATCAAGTAAGCATCTAACCTTCTTTTGGGGCAGGTGCTGGTGCTGGTGCTGATGTTGGCGTTTCATTCGTTGATTGATCTTTTTCTGCAACTGGAGCTTGTTCTGAAGACATTGAGTATTCCTTGGAAAATTAACATTGCACAACAAACACAGAGACCTGCATGCACACATAGACACGAACAAGCAACAACAGGCAAGCTTGACAACATTTGGAAATTGAAACGGAATGTATACAGTACCTTTATCATCACTCTCCATAAAGATTGAGCACTCACTGACACATGGGGATGAAAAGCACGACGTTTCATATGCTTAGTTAAGAATCATAATTAGTAAATCTACACTTGAACACTTCTAATCTAGAAGAGTTGTAATAATAAATGAGCAACATCACTAAATGATACGTCTCACTAACGTACTACTATGCCCAAAACATGTAAAACTAACATTTTAACACGTTGCAGAGTCAATGCCCAGAGTAGCTGGGGAAACGATATTTGATGGTAAAATGCTTTTTTGGCAAATGGGGGAGCTGGAATTCATTTGTTTGGAATATCCAATAAATTATGTACATTTCCAGTACAAATAGCACATGTTATATGCATGTGGCATATCGACGTCTGCTTCTATGGGGTTGTAGTTTACTGAGAATCAAAATAGACTTCCCAATGCTTTTATCATTGGTTCTTAGAACATGAACTAAATCTACGTTGAAATAAAACCATTCGGCTAAAAATAAGATCCATGTACAGTAATAAGATAATAGTGGGGTCAAGCAAGCACTTATTAAAGAAACCTACATCCTTAACAATTTTTCTCCAAAGTTTGTCTTTCCTATACATTTCAAGCACGTCTCAACCTCCCACATTATTGCCTATTAGCTCAGAACACCAAAAAATGATCTCCTTAACGTTTGCAAACTGTTTCGGAACAAATGTTAGCCTTGCCTGGTAAAAAATTAATTGTAGTTAGAAACAATAAAGTGATCTGTGGGAGTAGAATCAAAGTGCCGTTAATGTGATTTCAGATGTGAGCAAAATTTTAAGGCATCTAATTAGTACAATGAATTGAAAATACATGTAAGAGAAGCAAAAAGATTGGAATGCGGTATATTAATTTTACTGTAGTTGACGAGGAGCCCAATTCCTGTTCATGGAAAGGAATAAGAGGACTGACACACATCAAGTCATATTATTGTGATCAACTACTCCCTACTCTAGGTTAATTGGTTACATAAGTAAAACCACCAAACGTTGACATTGCACTAACCTGTTGGTGTGCTCAAAGGCACATCCTCCTGTTGTTCTGAAAACAAATGTTCATTAATTTTTCTTGCACAACTGTTCCAATCTGTAGTACAAGCAATTTGCAACCAAAATTGTAGGATTCGCCAACAAAATCTCGTAATCCTAAAGACAAAGGCTATTTTGAAGCTAGTGTTTTTCTCTGCAACCTTTAATGGGAGAGGTTGGAGAGCAAAACGTCGCCATAAAACTGCTTTTGTCAGTGTTACAGATCATGATATATTACAGTACAGTAATGGTATTTTTGTAATATTGCACGTGGAATTAAATTCACTCACAGCACTCTAGAATCAGACAGAGAACCTGTCTGAAGTTAAAGACAGCCGCCAAAGTCAGTGCCATCTTAAAGGTTAGAAAAGAGCTGGGAATACCATCAAACTAAAAATGTAGAAGTTTAATATTAAAGGCACTTCGATAAACCACCGGAAAAAAATTCAAACAGTGGCTGCAAAGATACTGCAACGTTTAGAACCCAAGCAGTGTGAGATCACCTACTCCACGCGTCTCCAAACATTGCTGGGAAGTGACTTTGACATAGTTAAGATGTAGTTACACTGCTTGACCTGTCCTGGTTCAATCAACTGAAGAGATTCCAAGCGTGCAACACAACGTCTCTTGTTGCAACGTTTCAGACAACGTTGAATCATGTTACTCCGAGGAATAATCGTGAAACGTTTGAGAGTATCTTTCCGGCATTTTCCAGTTCTGAAACATACCTCATTGGGAATGATGCTTGGTAAAGTTATTTATCATTATTTATTAATGATAATTGAAAGCCTCACTGTTAATTAAGTCAATGATCAAACTGTGAAAGGAAATTGGATTAGAGGTAAGCAGTTAAGAGCATTTTGAGCTCAGTATCAGGGTTTTTGTTTTCTTTTGCAGGTCTGGCTGCACACATTTAGCTGTTTTCACTGACCTCGTGGTGGGGGTGCAGTTTTCTGTGGGCTTTCCTGACTTGCTGGAGTCTGTTCTTTCCCTCCTGTAAGAAAATAGTAAAAAAAAATTACCTTTTCTGGAAGATGTCAAGTATGTGAGTAAAGATTTCACTGTTTGTTTGATTCTGCTCCTATCCATCACGTTACCACATGTTGCATTTCAAGCATGGTTAAAGGTCTTATCTAATCCCAAGCAAACCATTTTCACTCACACCCTTCCCAATGTAGACAAACAAGCACGTTTCTCACACTGTGATATCCAGGTCCTAGTTAAGCACACTGGGAGATGTTTCCTGAAGGAGGATAGCCAAAGTTAAAGGCTGATTTATGTTCTCGCAGCTTGTTCAGAATAATCCAGTTAAAGTTCTGAGAACATGTCCCCAAGCTGGAATGTATGCAACATGAGGGTAAAGGTCTTTAGAGGATAAAGAATGAGAAAAGGAAATCACCAGAAGTATGAAAGGAATAGAAATGATACAGATGGAATGTTAAGCAACATAAGTCATTGAATCAATACTTGATATATTAGATAAGCATTTACTATTATTATTTTCCTCTTTTTCACAAGCAATATATTAAATAAAAATGTATTCACATTCTGAAGGAGAGAGAATGAGAGAAAAGGTACGAGGGAAACCTCAGTTTTCAGGACACTGCATTAGCTCGTGTTTAATAAAACTTAATATCATCAGGTCCCAAGAAATGGTTGGAATTACTCCTAATCTATTTCACATTTCTTAAATAAATGTTCGATATATTTTTAGTGCCACGTTGTGCAACCATAACACAATCGCTCTTTACACTTTGAGTTTTACTTCACATTAGTAAACCAGAAACTAGAAAGATAATTGGAATGGCCAAATTTCTTCCCTCTATGACACCACTGTAATCTCTCAACCCAATGTATTTACTCTCCTGAGCCAGTGTGAGTTTCAAGGAAGATAACAACAACTTGCATTTATATAAGTCCCTTCATGCCGGGTAGCGTCCCAGAGCACTTATCAGTGGTGGCGTCTGACAACGAGCCAGAGTGAGAGGGAGGGGGAAGGTGACCATAAGCACGATCAAAACATCTCTCCCTAATACCCAAATATAACTAATTGGAACTCCAGTATATTTTAATCCCATCGTTAGCCAGATATTTTGTATCTTTCTCAAAGGAAGTAGCCAACAAAGTATTCATTGTTTATGAATTATATTTGTCTCTGTTGAGATTTAATAACTGTGCTAAACTCACCAAAATGTAAATTCCTGAACAACTAAATAAGAGTGAGAACATATTTACTTTGGCATGACAAGTAGATAGTGACATGATTAACGACTGAGGTCAATGTAAATCAAGTACTTGATGACATGATGTCTGCTGCCTGCTTCATCTATGAGCAGTGAAACCACATATGTTGATTCCAATCCAATAATAGAAAAAGAAAATGGAACATAGCCAGAACTTGAAATCTGACTTTGAATGATTATAGATTGAATTTCAGATTGGGTGGTACAGTAGCAGGAAACTGAGGAAGATAACTAATGAGAGTCTGATCACGAATCTACTGAAGCTTTTTGAAATTTCAACTTGTCTGGGTATCGGATCCCAATGTTAAAAATATGATTCTGTGGAATTATCATTTCTTGTATTTTTATCCTCCCTCCACTTGCAGGGAATGAAATGTGAATATTGGGACACTGGCTGGATTCCTGAATATCCATTCACTTCCAATGCAGAGAGGTAATCAACTGTTGCTTAAGGCCTGCACCTCCAACTGGTGGAACCATCGCTCAATGGAAAGGGATGTGTGTCCAAGCTGTGGGCAGCAAGATGTTGGCAAAGCTCTCACACAGTTCATGCTGAGCTGTGTTGCTCACCTGGAAGCTCACAGAGAGTTCCCAGTACCTGCCATCCACCTAATAAGGTCAAACCCTCACTTGTCAGATGTGAAATGACCAACTAGTGACTATCTGTCTTGGGATAGAGATAAGCTAGCTCCCTTTAACCCACAAACCAAAGCCCTATGTGTAGTGGTCCCAGCTGGACAAGCAGTGCGAAAGCTTGCTAGACAGTACTCTCAATGGCAAGCCATACGGTTTTAGCTGGTTAGACTCCAGCAGTACCCCAAAACCCACTCTGGGGTCCCCAAGACTTGTCCTAATACTTTCCAGAATTAGGAAAGCAGGAGAGAGTACACTTTCCATTCCAATAAACATCTCTGGAGTTCCCATGTGTAGGTGGGATGCATGGAACTCTCAATTTGGAAAGAATGGTGATGGTCTTCTGCACGTGTCAGACCCAGCTCCTATTTTATTCCTTGAAGTGACAGCTGGCTATTTATACAGATAAGACCTGCTTACCCACGACCTTATTTGGACTAAAATGGTGTGAATGCAAGAACGTTTTAGAAGTGGAGTACAAAAGGGACAAGGGTCAGTTTAGAACATTGGGGAGGCACAGTATTTTTAGCGTTCCAGTTGTCCCACTACTCCCAAATTGAAATCAACAAAATAGCTATTTAACCTGGCTTTTTCCAGGTATGAAGGACTCAGTGCCACCTATAAAATCCCTGAGATATCAGGATAGCTCATTCCCTTTTCACCTTCATCCTAACAATGTGCATAATGCTGTGCTGAATCAATTGCTTAAACGACAGAAGACAACCAGAAGTAATCGGGGCAATAATTGAGTTCTTTAATCACTTTATGTTTCTTTTCCGATATAAATTCCAGGCAAAAACATTCAAGGCACTTTTTTTTAAACCAAATACCATGCTCTTTGTACAAATAGCCCTCGAGGATGTCACTGAACTATAATAACATTACAACACTGATGACATAATTAAACACCAGCAAATAAATTTAACAATTGTTCAGTCAGGAACCAACCAACCAACCGGTATTTAGTTTTCACATGAGCACAGGAACTGCTCAAACTAAATTTATCACAGTAATATCATTTGCTTTTCATCCTTAACATACCTTCCTCTTTGACCTTGAGCTCAAACTTCACCTTGGATGTGCCACTAATGACTGCATACACCACATCATCCTCCTTTATTGCACTGTTTACTATGAGCATGTGCTGTGTTCCTTCTGCTTTAATGATGTATTTTTCATTTGTTTGAATGTCTTTACCATCCCGTTGCCATTTAACTTTCGCATCTGCCTTGGCTGTCTCTGCTAGAAATTCTGCTGTGCTCCCTGCGACCACCTCAAGTGTCTTGGGTTTCTTTGTAAATGCAGAGCCTATGAAACATACACAATTATTGTACTGTAGAAATCAATAGCATTTCTATGATATTGCATAGTAACACAGGAATGCACATGATTGGAAAAGGTCCTTGTAGTCCATCTGTCTGGTCTCAATGTTATTCTTTTTACACAAAATAATAATAAGTAAATAATCCTACCTTATTATTCAGGATTACCCCTCAATTGAATACTTCACCAAATAACTAATTCCCTATTGAATTTGTTGACACAATTTGCGTCCTTATGTCATCTACTCCACAGTCACCACTTGCTGCATCAAATAATTAAAGCTGAACTGTCTGTTCACTTCCTCCTTTTCAGATAGAATCTGTGACCCTTTGTTCAATAATTAAAATCGAACTTCTATTCACTATAAAAAATGCATGAATACAATAATCTGTAGTTAACCTGCTGTTTAGTCTGTAACTTAATTTTTCTGAACAATTGCACAAATCTAAACATTTGCATTGTAATGGTACATCCAGGATTATGCCTTCAATTAGATAATAGTCTCCAGAATAATAGTAATCCTTGCATTTGATATTGCACCCAAAATGCATCTTCAAGACATCTCAAAGCGCTTCACAGAGTATACTGTAAAGTGAATTGACTGTATATTTTGTGGGCTGGAATAGAAGCAATGTCACATGAAATCTAGATTAGTTACTATAAAATAAATGTTCTTCTGCACATGAATAACCAATGGAAGATTTTTTGAGCAGTGCATTGCACCATGATTAGTCATTATGTATTTCAATTGAACATTGTTATATTATAAGAGATAAGATCATTTGCTAGTTGAATCTATTACTTCCACAGTTTACATTATCTATCCAATATATTTGATCTCCCGAGGGAGATACATAACCATGGAAAAACCTTTCAGTCAGATAAGGCTCTCTAAAGTCTCTTCACAACTCCTAAAATAATTTATCCAAACTCCAGGATGTCAATCTAATGTTACAACTTAAACTACTTAACCTTGGCTAGTACCATTCCACAGATAACATTCCAATGGTCCTAACATCACCGCATGGGTTACTTTGGAAAAGTTGACCATTGGCATCTATATTTATAGATTTCCATCCCATTTACAATCAGATATTCATCCAGCTATTTAAAAGAGATAATCAACATAGCATAAACAAAGTCTATTTCACTCATTTACTACCCTGTGTGAAAAAGTCTTCTAATGTCTAGATTCATATGAGGCCTTCTTATTTAATTATCATGTCAACAAGTGCTGCAGTCACAGTTAAACACTCTCTATGTTAGTCGTTCTGCATTTTAAAGACCTGAAATGATATTGCAACCCTCATTTCTTCAAGTTCTATTCTGTGAATCTCTCTTTGTAAAGCACGTGTGGGTGCCAAAGGCTTTTCGCCAATCATTGATATGGTCCTTTCAGAATTGGAGGCAGTCATGCTGTGGATTAAGGGTAGCCCGCAACTGTAAGATGGTAAGAACGGTAAGATGTGGCATTGTATTTATATGGCAATTAGTCTCTTGGTGAGTTATCGGTCCCTTTTATACTGTTCAAGAGAGGTGCCCGCATGAGATCAGGTACTTCCCACAGGAATGGAAATCAAGAAACAAACCACACAGGCTTTTTACAAGAGTCCAATAGACCTGATGCATACAATTTTGCTGGAAGGCTGAGTGCAGGCTATTTGCCTATTTTCTTGGCTGAAAAATAATGGTGCCTCAAGGGAATCTAAAGATGCCAAGGAATATATGCTGTAAAAAATATTTTGGCAAAGAACTGTAAATGGAATTGATTAATAGATACTGCATGTTGCTTGATTAGAAATGATAGTGTAAGTGATATTAATATTTTTGTATAAACACTTTGAGTCAATGTTTACTAGTAATGTAAACTGACTGTGAAATAATAAAAAAAATCCTTGCATTCGATATAGCGCTTTTCACATCTTCTAGACTTCTCAAAGAGCTTCACAGAATGGACTGTAAAGTGAATTGACTATATTTGTGGGCGAAATGCGCAGCCAATTGTACACAGCAGTGTCCCACAAACAGTCGTGGATTGAAATGACTAATTTATTATTGTGTTTTTTTGAGGGATTATTATCAGGCATGTGGAGTAAGGAAACTTGCCCAAGGTTTCACTCTGCCAGGAATCGAACCCAGGTCTCTTGCTTGCAAAGCGAGTGCTCTAACCACTGAGCTACAGGACTCCACATAAGATCAATACCTTTCTTAGGAATCTTCCTAACACTCCCCATCTATTTCTAGATTATGATTGTCACATGAAAGGCAACTCCTTTTTCTCTGCGAACCTGTAATTCCTTCATTTTGCATTATTTTCCATTCAATTCAAATTGTAATTATACTCTGAGGAAATTGTTTTGGATTTTTGTGGTTAGCTTTAAGTTTAGGTTTTAGGTTTGCAGCCTACATCTGATATCAGCAGGGACAAAGGTTATAAACTTCAGATCTCTTAACTCGTCAGAACATGAAACTCATGCATATCATACCCAGATGTGGCAGACTATGTGAATCATAACTGGCAATCCTTATGAATCCTACCCAAGAATTGAGAACGAAGGTCACCTTTGACTAATACACTAGCTGTTAATAGCCACAAGTCAAACGAGTCCTACCAGTTGCTGTCTACCCTTAATCCACAATATGACTGCTTCCAATTCTGAAAGGACCATGTCAACAATTGGAGAAGAGCCAAATATCGTTGGCTCCAGAGAAAATTGTGCTTCTGAATTTGGAGGGAGGCAACATTTTACAATAAGACCTAATAATTAAGAAATATTGCAGCACGTTTGACTCTTTTATTTCTCTCAACGAATGAAAAGAGGAACAAAAAATCTTCCACACTATCCTTTGCGTACCAGTGAAATTCAGGGAGATATACGTAAGCATTGGCCCATAGCCTTAAGCAGCTGACTGCCTACCACAAGGCTGTGGGTTCAAGCCCAGAATGCTCGCTACTCAAATGTATCTGTTTCAGTTGGTGGAATTTAATTGGTTCGCATCCAAGCTAAGATAAATGTCATGCAGTAGGGAAGAAAATGAGAAGATTGTCAATGTACTTGAAACTACCACAGAAATAGTAGCTAAAGGTGAAAGAGAGCACATTAGTCAGGTTAAAGATATTTTGATAGGTTGCCAGATTGATAACCCAATTGATTACTAATAAAATTAATTGAATAGCCAAGCTTTATTCTCTATGAGTTACATTAGAAGTGAATCACATAGATTAATACAACATGGAAACAGGCCCAACCAATCTAACGAGTTTACCATTCCAACTTAACGCAGCATGCCAAAGATTTAAGATGATCTAGCTAAATTGAAAAACATAGGTAGATAACGTCAGTAGTTATGTTGTCCAAAGTCACATATGTTGTCTAACTTAATTTAGTTTGCCTACAAAATATATAGTCATTACACTTTACATATCATGTGAACCGCTTTGAGATGTCCTCCCAACATGAAAGGCTATCAAACGTGAGGATTATTAATATTAATAAAGTGCCTTTTTATAGGATAAACATGTGAAAGCACCAATATAAGAATACCACCAAGCTCATCCTCCAAATCTCTTAGTGTTCTAATGAGATTGAAACTGAAAACAACTGAAGGCATTTCATCAAACACATATTTGATAAACTCAACAGCCTCAGATTCAAATACATAATCTTCTTGTCGAAAACCACATCCTGTACCACTTGCACTACTGGTTTGCTCACATATAGTAATGTTTATACCTGTATTACTAATCTCATCGTATAAAGCAGACATCGCTATACTGTAAAAACACTGGACAGAAATACTAAGGAAATCCGCAAATTTATCGCACAAGTGGCACGGAAAAATATTCCACCATTCTGTGTTTTCTGAAATTATTCTTGGCTTTGTTTCTTTCCAACGGGAGCTTCAGACCCCATTTAGCTCCCATGGTTCTGGCTATAGTCACATAGTCTAAGCTGAACTCCAATGCAGTGCTGGGGGTTGGAAAGAGAGGTGTATTGGTGGAGGTACTGTCCTTCAGGTGAGACGTTAAACCAAGGTCCTGTCTGCCTGTTCAGGGTGACTTTACCCCAGTGTCCTGGCCAACAACCCACCACAATAAGATTGGTTATTAACTTTGTGGCTATTCGTAGGGCAGCGCTGTGCAAGATTGTACTGCCGCATTTGCCTACAAATACATAGTCACTCTATTTCACAGTAAGTCTTGTGATGCACTTTGAGGCGTCGGTCAGTCGTGATAAGGCGCTATATTAAACGCAAGGATTATTATAGTAAATGTTCTATCTAAAGGCTTCAGTGAGAACTGCAAGCATTTGTAGTAGCAAAATTGCAACAAAGGTAATCCTGAGCCTTAAAACATGCCCTGTAATCATGGAGCCCAGGTTAGGAACAACAGGATTTTATTAACCCTCATCAAAATCATTAGCAGAGCAACAATTCGGTTGGTGAAAAATTAATAATTTGGTCACTCAATCAATGTCTATTTGTGGGACACTACTATGTATAATTGCCTGCTGCATTTTGCCCACAAAATATACAATCAATTCACTTTTCAAATATATTCTGTGAAGCGCTTTGAGGCATCTCAACGATGTGATAAGGCGCTATACAAAATGCAAGGATTATTACTATTCATATAATAACAATTCTCACCAGTGCAAATGAAATCATCCTCGAATCCAACTCTCATCCAGAACACAATGTGTCTTAAAATATCTAACGATCGCCTGTTTCCAGTGGCATACTGACACCACTTGTACCTACGTGAGCAGTCAAGGTTACCCACTGGGATATCCTAGCTGAAGGTGCCAAGTTTTTATGATGCTTGCCAAAAATATAGTTTATTAATGTCGAGTTCTCAAAACCTTCATGAGTTTATTTGAGAGCACGTAATGACGCGTGTAGTTCATGTGCCAGATACTGTGCCTCTCTCTCATCGGTCAAAGCAGGATGAGGGAACACGCCAAGGTAAGAACATATATATGTCAACTGAATTCTCTAATTTTGAACGAAATACACCGCTAAATTCCTAAATATGTTGCATTCTTGTACTTAATTAAACCACATAAAAAACATGGACTAGCCCCAACGATTATATGTTTTGCACATCGAACCCTCTGGCCTACCTCTTAAACGTGTCCAAAGAATTCCTGGCAGTCAATGTTATTTATTCCTCTAGTAAGGAAGCTCTGACATGCTAACAGACCCGAGCTATGCTCCCTTTGGGTTCGTGGCGAGATAAAAGCAGGCAATGAAAGAGGTAAAAGTAGGAGAAAAGGCAACAGCAACAACAACAACAAAAATCTCCAGCACAACAGAAATAGTTAAAATCTTACTGGTGTGTCTCAAAGGTTTAACTAGTTTTAATCAGCCTGTCTGCGTTAGTATGTGAATTTATGTGGGAAAGCCCAAAGGAAATGTCAAAACACATTCCTAGCGAAGTTCAGAACAAGATCTATATGATGTTAATTTGTGCACTAATAACATCACTGGTTGGAATAAGTGCAGATTTCTTTGGTCCCTGTTTGTTTGCCACTTGTTCCAGCATCTATCAGGTCACCTGATTTATACTGCTGTAGAAATTCAGAGAAAATGGTACATTTTGGTATCTAACATATTTATCTACTTTGCAATGTGAAATCCTATTTTCTGATTCAAATTCCTGGTTACCTGTCACCATCTCTGGGTTTTTTTTTGGAAATAATGAAATCAGTTGCAACATGAAGAATAAAAAAATCGATAATCAATATGTGTTCAATATTCAAGTCAAATATTGGAGTGGAGTCCTGTAGCTCAGTGGTTCGAGCACTCACTTTGCAAGCGAGAGACCCGAGTTCAATTCCAGGCAGGGCGAAACCTTGGGCAAGTTTCCTTACTCCACACGCCTAATAATAATCCCTCCAAAACCAAAAACAATAATAAAAATCAGTCATTTTCAATCTACGACTGTTTGTGGGACATTGCTGTGCTGCCGCGTTCGCTCACAAATATACAGTCAATTCACTTTACAGTGTGTTCTGTGAAGCGCTTTGGGACGTCCTCCCGATGTGAAAAGCGCTATATCAAATGCAAGGATTATTATTATAATTATTATTATTATTAAATACAGTATATTGAAATCATGCTTGGTTTCCTACTATGATTTCTGTGGTTGTCCTTAGGGAAGGTATCACTTAATATGGATCGATTAATAGATCTCTTGTTTGAAAGGTGGTTAGTTCAACTCCATACTGGTAAAAAAAATATTTCTGATTTATTTTCACATAAACCTGTGGCTGTTTGTTCCAATTAACAAAATTACTCTTTGGTTCCATCTCCTCATTTATTCACCATTTGGAAATGAATCCATTATATCAAATGCAAGGATTATTATTATTATTATTATTATTATCCATTCTTCAGAACGGACATTTTTCTTCTGCACTTCAAGTTTCTCACCAGTTGCGTCCTACATTTTGCAGAGAAATGCACAATCTGTCACCTGGTCCCATACAAGGGGATTGCCTGAACTGGATGCATTTTATTCCCAGAAAAAAATCAGTAAAGTGGGGGGGGGGGGAACAAACAGACAGCTACTGTACAGGTTGAGCTATCTAATAAACTAATCATTCACTGAAGGTAATAACTTACCAGCTTTCTTAGTGGGCTCCGGCATTGCAACAGCTGATGTATATTCCCTGCAGTTGGGTTTCAGGGTTATTCAAGTTGCATGAACTACCAAAACGAAGAGAAACTCTGGGTAGAGAGAGAGAGAGAGAGAGGGAGAGGGTGGTGCAGTGTGAAATCAGAGACCAAGCACCTTGCTTTTTATACACAGAGCTGACATAAAAGTCGACACCTCCTCTGGGTTATATAGTCGAGGGCACAACTCGAGCTAGCACCTCCTCTGCTTCACATACACTCCCTAGAGATGGACAACTCTTCCAATTAATGCATTCCAGCACCAGTTGTCTAGTCTGAGTTTAACATGGGACTCAATCAAAATTCTGAGCTGAGCGATGGACTGCCAAAGTCTTACACCCAAGACGGAGAAACGCAAGATTGCATCAAATTATTGCAATGGAATAATCCGATTTAAAAAAAAAGACAACCTTTGAATTTGCTGGCTTATCCTTTTTATAAAAAACTGACTTTTCCTCATTGCTTCATTCAGTTTAGTCTTATGAAAATCAAAGTCAATTCATAAGATTTCTGCACTTAAGGCATTCGTTCACTTGTAAAGAGTATTTGCTCAACAAAGCGACACCACTGGAAACAGGGGATCCTTAGATATTTTAAGATACGATTTAATTGATCATGTTACCCCTTAAATAAATGCAGATACATTTAGTTCTGTGTGTGTGTGTGTGTGCGTGTATTTCTCCCCTTGCAGCAATATCTCTCTATCCTCTTTGATCTATCTGTGTGAAATGAGACTGAATTCCAGAACAGTTTGCGCAAAAGGGAGTGAAGTCAGTTCACTGGCTTGAACTCAGAGCTGGGAGTGGAGTGGAATGCATTATAATCGCTCCTTTATCATTTTTTTCTAAACAAAAACCCCAAACCACTTTTGTTTCATTCACTGATTTATTTATTTTAGTTTTCAGGCTTGAAAAGTTCAACATCGGTTGCTCAGAGGTTTGCCTGCATGGGATTTGTTGGTGTTGATGAGTACAGACTTCACCCCCCCAAATGGTGAAAAATCATACAGTAAATGAACTTTGCTCACTGACATGAACAGTATCACTTACAACACTGGAATGAGATATGCATCTGGTGCCTTTTTATAGGTTACTGCAGGGATGAACACCCAGGTCCCTCGGTCTCCTTTGTTTAAATAGTTGCAATGGATATTCTCCCCCCCCCCCATTGTAATTAGGCAAGAACCATGTCAGTTAGGGATTAGCTCAAACATTGCGCCAAAAGTCCTTTAATTGAACTGATCTGTTGGATGTGAATTGATGCAATCCGACTATTCTCCCTCAGTGAGCTGTTTTTTAGCGGAACAATAGCACTCAGAGATGGATATTAACGTGCTGATGGGATCCAACCCAATATCTTATAAATCCATCGTCCATTCGGGTTCCTAGAAGCAGTCACCTAATACTTTGTTTTGTTTCCAACAAACCTTGCCTTTATAGGAAATCGATGCGGATACTTAGCGTTGTCCAAATATAAACACACCAGGGTGGAGCTTAGTGGAAGATTAAGTGTATTAGGATCAGCTTTAACAATACAGTCTCCTTCTGACCCATTGAAAGGGGAGTTAATTTATGGAGCGCTTTGTCATTGCCTTGTTTTAGACACCCAACGTAACCACATTGGATTCCTCTCCAGCTCCATTATTTTTAGGAGTCGAGACCTATATTTACAAGGAATGGGGCGTATATTATTTGACGCTGACCTTTCCAGGATCGAGGGTGCAAACAGTAGGCTGACCTGACCGAGTAGGTGAATAGCTCTCCATATCAGGGAGAGCAAGAGATAAACTCTTGCTATTTGAATAATCGAGAACATCCGAATTTATTCTGCCCAGACCTAGCTCTAAAATCGTCAATGGATATCTATAATAATAATCCTTGCATTTAATATGGTGCCTTATCACGTCTTCGAGACGTCTCAAAGCGCTTCACAGAATACACTGTAAAGTGAATTGACTGTATATTTTGTGGACGAAACCAGCAGTCAATTGCGCACAAATAGTCGTGGATTGAGTGACCAAATAATTATTATTATTATCGTTATCATCTGTCCCATTGATATGAAATCAATACACCAATACCAACAGAATGGGACGAATGGTTTCCTACTGTGATTTGTATATTTATGTGGATGGAAGATACTATTGTATACGGATCAAATAATAGATCTCTCTTTTCAAAAGCATTTCAAACATAGCTTATTTTACTAGGACAAGTATAGATCTTTTACATTGATACTCCTCAGGCTTGTCATCCACGTTTTTCTTCTGAAGTATGTGAAATATGAAATATATGGAAACAATGCCATTCTCACTGTTCAGTACCTTGGGACGTCCTCCAGATGTGAAAGGCGCTATACAAATGTAATTTTGTATTGTAATTTTGTATTGTATTATCCAAAAAGTATAAGTGTGGGGAATAAATTCAATCACAGCCTTATTGGTAGGGAATTGCAAAGTCTCACTCAATAGGTATAGCTTCATTTGGCTTAAAATATAACAGATTATAAAATGCCGCAAATGACAAAGGTTCGCTCCTACATTAGCCTCTCCTGCTCTTTATCTGGTGCCGTGTTGTGCATTTCCAACATTTATGAGCTTTATCATAGTTTCCAAATATTAACTCCTGCATGCACATTTGCTACATGTCTCATTCATTGTGATCATAAATCTATTTCTATCAATTCCTGGATGTTGACAGATCTATTATTACCATCAGAGAATAACAAGATTAAAATGAGATTAACTGATGTACAGTATTTGGGTAGGCTTGTTGTGGAATTTGCTGGCTTTCATAGTTTGATTTGATTGACCCCAGAAGAATTACGACGACGACAACTTGCACTTATATAGTGCCCTTCATGCAGAATAGTGTCTCAGAGTGCTTAACAGTAGTTGCTGTTATAATCTCAGAAATCAGACTCTGCTACAGAGCAGCAGAACTGTGGATTTCAACAGTAAAACAAGTTTTGCTTTATTCTCATCTCTGTGGAGAGAACTAACTGTGATTCTAAAAGAAGCTCTATAATGCCACTTACAGGCTGCAGAGAAACATCACAAGGAACAGGACCATTCACTCATATACAGTGGGTTTAATTGTACTTCTCTGCTTCCTCACCATAGATGTCCTTTGAGATTAGGATGTTTATTTGAAACAAGTACATATCTTTCGTTATCTAGTTATCTAACATCCATCCTGGGTTTTATATAATTGTTAGTAAATTTGTTGTGTATTTAATTTTAACCTGTGAAATAAGCCATATTCAGGACAAGAATAATAATATTGGAAGGGGAACAACAAAGGGAAGGTAACTTTGATGCGGGCTTCAAGTAGCCAAACGTAAATTGGGATTTACTTCTGTGGAAGACAGAGATGTTGCTGTTGTTCCAAAAGATTGAACCTGACACCCAAATCTACTTCTCCTCTGCAATCCCAGGTTCACCGATGTTCTGCTTGTCAGATATCAAGGCCTGTATGAGCACCAATTTCTGCAGCAGACAAGATGGAAGTCATCCTTGGCTCCCGTCAGCATCTCCTCACCTGTGGCTCCGACCTTCTGAACCTCAGACTCACTGAACCCGGTCCCTAACCAGGATCACATTCCTCCACCTCTGCTACGTTGCCTGCCCCCATTCATACCTCACATCCATCGAGGCCAAAATCCTTATCCATGCATTCATCACTTCTCGCCTTGATTACTTCAATGCCCTCCTCACCAGTCAACCCTCTGCAGTCATTCATAATATCCAATTAACTCAAAACTTCACCACCTGTATCCTCTCCTTCATCAAACTCCGCACCCCCATCAGTCCAGTACAAGCCCAGTTGAACTGGCTCTCTATTGCAGAACAGATCAATTTCAAGATCCTCGCACTCAATCACACACCCTCAAACAATGAAACTCTCTGTCTCAATCCCTCTGTGTTGCCTCCTCCATACCTGTCTTCAGATCACACCTGAAACCCTTCCTCTTCAACTGTGCCTATGGCCACCTACCCTCTTTCCCCAGCTCGGCATCAGATTTTGTCACTTTTGTTTTAAGTGCTCCAAGGTGCTACCCTGTGGGAAGGGCCCTAGATAAATGCATGTTGTTGTTGAAGCAATTAAGTACTTACTTTGAATTAAATCATTGAGTTGCTGGTTGATGGTCCCTAGGTGACGCTCTCGTACACGGTCAAAAAGACAAGAGGACGAAGCGAAAAAACAATATAGTTATTGAGTCCAATTGAAGGCAAAGCCAGATACACAAATGATTTTATGCATCTCAAAATGAAAATATAAACCTTATTCTTTAAACTGGGGCAAATATCGTTCCTTCCTCTTATCTTTATTCAGCATGAGCAAGAGGATAACTAGCAGCAATCGACTGGTTAGGGCACCCTGCTCTAGACTGAAACTCCAATACAGTGCTGGGGGAACCCTGCACAAACGGCCAAATGGCCTCCTCTGTACTGTAAATTTCTATGGTTCTTGCTTTGCACAAATCGGCCGCTGCATTTGCTTACAAAATATAGAGTCACTACATATTTTGGTAAATCCTGTGAAGCACTTTCAGCCATCATCCTGATGTGAATATTGCTCTCTCAAATGTAAGAATCAATGGTATATTTATTCTCAATGTTGTTTTCATCAATTTACAAGAAGGCTGTGCTGACATCTTTTGGCGTTCAGTGGTATTGTAATTAATATTTCTGAGTTTATAATGACATTCTGTAACTCTTGTGCTGTGACTGATTGAAGTTTCAGTATCTGGAAGAGTATTGAGAGAACTTCAGCAATGAAGGTCCCTTTTTGCTGGAGGTATTACTATAGTCTCTGTGGTTCAGTTTACCTGAATGCTGCAGATTTCAATGAAGTAGGCAAGCGAGCAGAACATGTATCATCAAAAAAATTTTTTTTTAATCATCAAAAGAAGCAACATCACAGTTTAAAACTTTTATTTATTTGTGCTTCAGAAAGTCAGCAATTCTCAGGCTGCATTCATAAAATCAATGCCTAATCTCAATCTATAGTAAGAATGGCAACACCTTTGAAGAAATGTATGTCCATTGTACTATTATAGGTGCCCGATGCCAAATCTTACAATAGTGAACAAAGTACAATGTGGTATGAGTGTATTGTCAGAGTGGGGTTCTTTGTTAAGTTCAGTTTAATCATGCGTCCATTTGTAATAATTTATCTGTAATGTGCGTCATTATTTGCATTAACTAGGTTTCAATGTTCCGCAACCATTTGTCTATAATTCTGTCCCAATTAATATTTATTTTAAATCTTCACACTTCAGAACATAAGAGACGAACCTTGCGTACAGGTTTCAAAAAGTTTATTTTTATCAAATTGTGTAAAAATGACAAAGTTATATATACAGCAAAGCCTTGCCAATCTGAGCTCAACAAAAAAAGTAGCCTACAAAAATATACAGTCAATTCACTTTACAGTATATTCTGTCAAACGCTTTGAGATGTCTTGAAGATGTGATAAGGGCACCATATCTAATGTAAGGATTATTATTATAGCCTCAAAGTAAATTGTGTCTCACAGAGCTGGTCTGCAAAGCTCCGTATCTCACTAAAGTTTGAAATTGATATTAGCATTCCACTGAAATAGTACACATTAGTCAAAACTGTGACTTTTTATTCAAAATGGGGATTGCGCTATCTATATCTGGTTGAAATATAACAGAGGGAGAGGATTGTAAAAATATTACCTATTACCATTAATCATTTTCAATTCATGTTAAAACATGTTGCACAATATAAAAGGTGTTCCTATTCAAAACCTCATCAAATGATTACGCTTTACAATTGTCTTCAGACATCATGTTCCAGAAAATGCAGTTACTGAAACTGATAAGATTGGTGAGTAGAATGTGATCTACTGGATATGAGGGACATTTGATATTTTTTAAATGAGTTCTTACAGAAATAAAATGTGCATTATTACAGAAATTAAATGCACAGCATATACAGTGCTCATTCTGTGAGATTTGTTTAACTGTTTAGCTGTCACTTGTCCTAGCCTTTAGCTTTGAGCAGAGGTAGTATTTTACACTCGATAGATTTGGTCACCGTATTATGTTCATAATTTCCTGGGATAATATGATTTAAGTTTCAGAGTATAAGAAAGCATAGAACAAGGAAAACCATTCTTCCCATCAAATTCACCCTTTCCACAAGCACACAAAACCTTCAACCCAGCGCTTTAACTACTGAGGCATTCACTTTGCAGTATATCCTGTGAAGCGCTTTGAGACGTCTCGAACATATGATAAGGAGCTATATCAAATGCAAGGATTATTATTATTATATTTATTGCTTCTCCTCGCTAAACCCCAAGCACAAATTCCATAATATTCATCTATCCTCACAACTCCAACACAAACTGCCGAATTTCTTCTACATACACCAACAACAGTGCTCTTCACAGAGGAAAACGGCACAGGTTGAGGTTGAACACCAAGCAAGGGAGAAGGGGGAGCAGGAGGCGTGATTTATAATAATAATGTGTTAAGGTGAGATGTAAAGACAGAGGCAGGAAGTTTCAAACATGAGGGGCATAGTGACTGAAAGCTCAGCCACTGAGATGGTGGTATGGAAGGGGAAGGGCATACACTACGGGCCTGTGTTAACTGAAGGGAGAGGATGAGCAGTGGAGTGGGGTACAATACATTACATTTGTAAAGCACCTTTCACGTCGGTAGGACGTCCCAAGGCGCTGAACAGTCAGGGATTAGGACCCAAGCGGGGGAAGGATGGGGGTTGGGTAAGGATCAGGGAAGGTGGAGGGCAGGGAGGGTGGGGGTAAGAGGGTGGCCGAAGCAAACAGACAACAAACAACATTGTAAGTCACCCCCACTCCACCTGCGTGCCAGCTATACAGAAGTTATTTGCTCCAGTGAACAAGTTACAATTTGTATATTTTTATCTACATTTAACACTGCATCATCCAATACTGTCCACAAATAGATTTGTGAACAGGCTCATTTTTTGAAGTTGCTTAATTAAAGCAGCAGCATCCACTTTTATTAGATGTTTGATTTACGTATTCTCTGTGGGGGGGGAAAAAATCTTTCAATCTCCAGTCCTGCTGTTTATTTTTAAACGTGTGACCTCAAAAGCATGGATAATTAACCTTTAACAATAATATTTAGAGAAATATGCCTCTTGTTAAATGGTAGGCGTGGACTAAACAGCATCCGTCTGATATGAAAAATTTATATTAATATTCCGAGAATCTCTAATAATGTTAATAACAAGGTGGAAACATGTAGAAGATGCATAGCAAATTTACAATACGGTGGAGTTGACCTCCTATTTGCCTTGCGGCTCAGGAACGCCGTGAATGCAACCTATACGCCTACCTTTCAGTGCAAACATATCCAGTTTTATCTGAAGTTCAGTCTCTAAGGGTTTAAAAGGTACAGCAATTGAAAGTTCTCCAGGAGCTTCCTATCAACCTGTTCAGGATTTGCTGGTTGAACTGATAGGTGAGCTTCCGTTTGACTTTGGTGATTTCACCGGTTCGAGAGTAATTCCTCAAAGCCCGGGCCATTTTTTGGTAGGTCATAGGTTTTCTATTGGCTTTTCTTTTCCCCCAGATCTCAGCAAGTTTTTCCTTATTTTGGGAAGAGAACTGGAAGACTCCACTGGTAGGCTGTATCCACCAGATGCAGTGTTTCATTCCTGGGTCTTCTAACATTTCGAAGAGGAACTGGAAGAGGCGAACTTTTTTCTTTTCTGCAAGTACAAACCGGGAAGTTGAATTGATTTCACAGAAATTACTCACTCACTAGAGGTAGAAGTATGCTTGTGTTTAATAAGAAAATACTTACTCTTCTCAATGTTAAAGTCTCTGAACATGTAGTCAGGAATTGGAGGGGAACTGAAGTCAGAGTAACCGGAGCTATATATATAATCAGAACTGGGATAGACAGGAAGCCCACACTGGAATAACAATAAAAACATTAACAATGACGTTAACAGAAAATAATATTAATACAAAATGACATTCATATAGCCTTTAACTTAGAATAAACGTATTTAAAAATTTAAACACATGTGTGCCAATTGAATTGATGCAAAATGTATAACTATGGTCTGAAATATCAAAAGTCTGACATTAATTTGGAAATCTCTGAAATTTTGAAAATTTTGGGCATGAGGGACAAGTAGAAGGCCAGAGCCAGTCGAGCGGAGGTGGTGGGTAGTGTATTTGGGAGTAAGCAGGTCGGAGAGGTAAGTAGTTGTCAGGGTATGAAGGGATTTGAAGACAAGTGTGAGGATGTTGGGAAAAAAAAGTGACTGCTTTCAGTTTCTTTCTGTGATTAAAGACATATTTTCAACAGCCATGATACTATTTAATTGAAACAGCACTCCCAACAAAGAACAAGAACTTCCTAATGAACTCACCGAGTCAAGGGTGTAGTACTGTGATGGGAGATACATGTCTTGAAAGGCTGTATTCCTGCTTGTGGTGCAGCTAGGATGCCAGCCGTCCAGGGGGACTCCAAACATGCAGTTCCCTGGACAATACAAGAAACATAAGCAAAACAAATCTTTTATTTGTAGAGATGGAGAATGGGAAGAAAATGATTCCACAAAAAATAATTGTTGTCTCACAATATTGTGGAGGACGAGAGCACTACTGCATTTGAAGGTGGTGTCCCACCTCAGAATCCCTTTTACAAATGAACCACATAAGGCTTATGCTTTGTTACCTCTTGTGGAGATGCCCTATGGTAATACAACCCCACATAACTAGTCACTCACTCAATATCCCAGCTATTGTAGAGTCCTGTAGCTCAGTGGTTAGAGCACTCGCTTTGCAAGCGAGAGACCTGAGTTCAATTCCAGGCAGAGGGCCAAACCTTGGGCAAGTTTCCTTACTCCACACAGAGCCTAATAATAATCCCTCCAAAAAACCAAAAACAATAATAAATTGGTTATTTTCAATATACGACTGTTTGTGGGACATTGCTGTGCGCAATTGGCTGCCGCGTTCGCCCACAAATATGCAGTCAATTCACTTTACAGTATATTCTGTGAAGCGCTTTGGGACGTCCTCCCGACGTGAAAAGCGCTATGTCAAATGCAAGGATTATTATTATTAATTATTATTATTATTATTATTATTATTATTCAAGGACTTTGTATTTTCGAGATACTATACTTCAGATACCTTGTCAACGCCAATAAGCAATCGTTTGAGCTATTTCCCTTAAGGGGAATTTTGTGGGACACTGCTGTGCACAATTGGCTGCTGTGTTTCGCACACAAAATATACAGTCAATTCACTTTGCAATATATTCTGTGAAGCCTTTGAGACATCTCAGCAGTCTGATAAGCGCTATATCAAATGCAAGGATTATTATTATTATTAGGGGGGACGAGTTATCAGAATTTCACTGTAAAAGTTTCCTCACTGAACACTCACTGAACACCAGTATTAAAACTCCACCATTCATTTATAAAAAAAACCAAATCCAATTGTTTTGGCTGTCTTTAGTATGGTGCACTAGAGGGAATATTGCATTACTGAAGTCAAAAGTATATTAAATCAAACAGCACTAACGTTTAAATACAAAGTTAGGAGATTCTACTTAACATGTGCTGTTTATCTCTGAATTAAACCTGTTGTTAAACAGCACACTGTCTGGCCTGGGATTATCATTATTGTTTCATTTACTACAGCAATTTGCTGCTAATAAAAGAGTCATTTTATGTGACTCTGTGTTGTGTCCACTATCAATTTATTTAACGCTTTGCCAAAATCAAGTTTTAAAAAATCCGAGTGAAATGGACAAGAGTTATTGCAAGGCAGACAGGCAGGTGGGTATATGTGAGAGTGAGAGTGTGGGCTTTCTCCCACACAATAACACACCTGCGATTGAATCCTTCTCAGGGTCAAACTTGAATCGCTGTTCCTCCTCAAGAAACTCCATAGCCGTTTCCAAATCTTCTGAAATTTGGTTCTAGGGAGAAGCGAAATAAATCCATAAACTCTCTCCTGTTGCCCTGGAGGGTGTTGTCAGACTGAATGTTAAGAGAAGACTAAATAAAGACTCTTACCATTATCTGGTGGTGCAGATTCACACACTGAATTAATTCAGAGAGGTAGAAACTGCCTGTTAAGAAGCAAACACAAATGTTTCGGTTACAACAAGGGAAGCTTTCTCTGTGGCTTGCCTTCAATAATTACTATTATGGCAGAAACCCTCAATAATTATCATTGCAGAAACCCTCAATAATTATCATTGCAGAAACCCTCAATAATGACCATGTTCCATCCAACGCACCTACAAATTTATTTGCTATGAACCTTGTAAAAGAAACACAGTGTTTCTTTATGAACTCAGTAAAACTCTGCAGTGGTGGCGATTCGATAACAAGAATCAGACAAGTCAAACTAGTGTGAACCTTAGATAATAATTTCACTAAGAGGACAATTCTGCACAGCTATACCCAAACAGACAAAAGATCATTTAATTCGCAACACAAGTACTAAACGCCACCAAACCTTTCTAAAACAGAAATCCAATTATTTTGCCTGGAAGTCCCACTGGAGGGAATATTGGATCAATGAAGTGAAACTTGTACATTGATTGAATCGAATAGCACTGACATTTCCTCCCTTCCTCAGTTAAGTGCAAAGTTAGGAGACTACTTAAGACGTATCATTTACCCCTGAATTGAACCTGTTGTTAAACTAGACGCTGTCTGTTTCAGGATTATTATTATTATAATAATTATTATTATTGATAGTCTAAAGTCAAATGTAAAATGGTAAAATCCTCCTAAATCATGTCTGGAATCTCTCTCTCTCTCTCCTATGCACATGAAGCAGTAGATTACTTACTGTGTGGTGTGCAGCAGGTGATGCCTTGTTGCTGCTGTTGCCTTAATATGAATCTCCTTCCACTTCCCTGAAAGCTATTATACCAAGATTTTATGTCACTCCAGAACTTCCTGGGGGAGGAAAGCTCCTCCTCGTCCCTATTACAAGAAGGTACAACAAATGCAAAGTCCTGTGCACTTTCAGCAAATGATTGCCTATCATCCCAAGAGTGTGCACACCCACACCAACATCTCTCTGTGCAAACTCAGACATGATTCATCAGAGATTCATCGCTTCATTCCTGCAACCATTACATTATGAGCTGCAATTATTATATGTATTATTATTATTATGAGCTGTGGAACGTCTATCATGCTTCATTTAGCCTCGTGGCAAACGTGGAGACTCTTTATAACACATTAAACGATAATAATAATAATAACAATAATAATAATAATGATACTTTCTCGTTGTTTGCTCATACAAATACTGTCCAGCATAAATGCGAAAGACGCTCTGATGCTTTAACAGTACAAGTGTAAGTGCAGTTCTCGCTCTTGTTCAATGTTTTATGTGATGTTAAAAAGAAATATTCTACACGTTTCCACTGGAGTTCTTCCACTGTCGATATTCTTAACCTGGACTGACAACTAAGGCATCGAGTTATGTTGAGGAATCCACGCTGGAGCTCGCTGTTCTGATGGATGAACAGGAGGCATCAACTGTATCGATTGCTGTAACAGCATTGGAATTATAGAGAGTCACAGGCGAATCGTCTTTAAAGCTAATCTTTAATACATGGTGTGTGTGTGGGGGGGGGATGTCTCTCCTGTTTAAAAAATACTTCTTTTGCTGGTTGTTTGGAGGAATGCGAATCGTCTTCAAGGAAGTGACAGAAAACTGATAGAAATGGTGAAACTTGACCATTGCTGCACTGGAGTGAGTTGTGCTTCACAGACTGTTTGTGCAGCGACTCCCTTCATTGACATAGCAACTGAACTCCATCCTCTGTGGATCTTTCTGGAGTCCTGTAGCTCAGTGGTTAGAGCACTCGCTTTGCAAGCGAGACACTTGGGTTCAATTCCAGGCAGCGCGAAACCTTGGGCAAGTTTCCTTACTCCACACAGAGCCTAATAATAATCCCTCCAAAACCAAAAACAATAATAAGTTGGTCATTTTCAATCTACGACTGTTTGTGGGACATTGCTGTGCGCAATTGGCTGCCGCGTTCGCCCACAAATATACAGTCAATTCACTTTACAGTGTGTTCTGTGAAGCGCTTTGGGACGTCCTCCCGACGTGAAAAGCGCTATATCAAATGCAAGGATTATTATTATTATTATTATTATCTGTGAATCACTCGTTATAACCATCACTGAATTTCCCCCCAGACTGTCAGAAATCACTTTCTTGGCGCATTCTTAGAATAACTTGAACTTTGGTGGGAAATTTTACACTGGACATTTATTTTAGGGTTACCCGCATAAAATACTATTTGTATGTTCAGGGGATAACTAGTGTTGGGGCCTGAGTTCTGTTCATGTAATTAATGCACTTTTTCATAGAAATACCAACCTATTTATCAATATTTAAGAGGAAACTTGATAAGACAGAAGGGAATCGAGGGTAGGAGAGAAGGGGTAAGGAGGAACAAAAGCTCATTTGGGGAATAAATCTGTATATAAATCATTCTATAACTGTCTGTGTAATACCATGAAATTCCTGTTGCAATAAACACTCCAAAGCTATCGGCTCTAGACAGTTTTCATCAGAAAGTATAGGAAATGTTTATTTTATGGGTTAGTCCAATCTGACACACGAGGAAACCCATCACCAGGCTTAACAGTATCCCAACTAGACTGGGAGTCCAACATATAAATGGAAATTTCCATTTGTTTAGAATGGAGTGCTCCCACCCCTCTCTTTATATACACACATATAATACATGCATTTACGGAGGTCTAGATTTGCTGTATGTAGCATTTCAGAACATGAAGGGTTTGCAAATTCTTAAATCCAGCCTTAATTTTGAAGCTGTTATTCTGTACATTCTTTTAAGAATTATTTCAAAGTTGGGAATGAATTTAACAACTTAAATGGAGGATATTTGGACAGAGTTGTGGACTCCCCACAAGTGTCTTATAATGTATGCAATAATTTATCATTTAGCTTTTCTTTACCTATGTAATGGCAATAGTAAAACAATGTCTACCCTTGTAATTCCGTTATTCAAACTCAGTAAATAGCTTTCTCTAAACTGTAGTCTTCTTTTGTGCAACTCATGTTATTATTGTTCCTGCAATTGGCACTGAAACGCATTTAGAGCTGGGCGAAAGGATGCATTGTCTGTTTGTAAGCTTATTTATTGCAGGATATTACTTGGTACATGAAACTTTCTGGGGGAATTTCCCCTATCAACACTAATGTTGAATGAGAGCGAAAAAAAATTCCCCCCTTGAATGTTTTGACGCTTCAGATGTGCAGTATGTCTTCATGTCACACAATAATAAAGAACAGAGGAACGTTTATTCGAGTTAGCACAACAGGATATGTACATTCACCTCAATAAAACGTCCAACTCTCTGACAATTGATCATCACGAATAAATGCAAGTGAAGTAACTCTTTAGACCGTGTGTGTGTTCTTGGCTGTTTTAAGTGAAGGCGTGTGTTTACTTGGTATTCATGTGTCACGATAGGTTCTGGGAATGATTACAGCATTTTTGCAAACATTGGACCACGAATCCTGATCAACACGTGAATGCATTCTCAGGTGAAAATGTCATTGCAAGGGTAGCTCAAGTGCCAGTTGTCGCAGCCAAAGTGTTCTCTCTCGCGGTGGAAATGCTGATAGAAACCAGTTTCACCGTTACGATTGCAGACCAGTCGCTGAAGCACTTTGGCATCGAATTGGTACGTGAGCTTTCTTCTGATCTTCACGATTTCACCCGTCCCGCTGTAGTTCCTCAAGGCTCGGGCCATTTTCTGGTATGTCATGGTTTTCCGATTGCCTTTCCTCCTGCCCCACAGCTCAGCCAACTTCTCCTTGTTTTTGGAGATGAACTGGAAAACACCGTTGTTTCTGTCCACCCACTGGATGCAGTCTGCCATCTCCGAGTTGTGCAGAGATTCATTGAGAAACTCGTACAGGCGTAGTCTCTTCCTCCCTGCAAACAAGGATCAATAGCACATTATCAATCGGCAAACACAGCCATTGATCTCTAACTAGTGAGGCGAGTGTTAGTTATCTACAGATGGCAAGGGAGAGAGAGAGAGAGAGAGAGAACACAACAGTTGTGTGTATGTGAGTGTATGAGTGAGAAAGAGAGAGAGAGAGAGAACACAACAGTTGTGTGTATGTGAGTGTATGAGTGAGAAAGAAAGAGAGAGAGAACACACACACACACACACCTTTTCCTTGTCTTGGCGTAAAGAAATCTGGAAAGTGATTTTCTGGAAAACGATTTGAATTCTGCATTAAGTTCTCGCAAACCATCGCATTGGGACCGCCGTTCAACACTATCTGAAAAATATATTGTAAAAAAAAATCATTGAACAGGTGCAAAGTCACAGTGTGAGAGTGTTGGAGTACAGTACAGGATTTTTAAAAAAAAACATTTCAAGACCGACCAAATAGACTTTTCCAGTTCTGTACATTCCTATGTTCCAGATACAATCATGAGTTTTAATGTTTTTTAAAAAAATCCCCTTTACAGTTATGTTTTTACCATATCAGAAACAGCGAAAGGAGAAGTTTAAAGTTTTGCCTGCAATGAATTTTAAGTAGAAACCACACACACAGATCCCACTGAAAGTTATCATTACCATCTCCCTGACCCTGGGGGTGGGAATCCCATTTAATTCTTTCAAATAATAAGTGTTCCTTCTTTTGCAAAGGTGTCAGCATCACCTTCCCTCCTCAACACTATTTTTTCAGCCACTACATCGTTACATTACACTTGCAAATGTCGTTATTAGACTGAATTGCATATGAAAAAACCTCTTGCAATGGATTGAAAAACAAGCAAAACCCATGGTATAAAATGTGCACTGCTGGCATTTGGAACATAAATGCCTCTAAACATAAATGCATCACCACCTTATTCGTTCACTCGATTTTTCCCATTTCATTTAACTCGTAGTTTTACGAGGAGTGAATGAAGTGAATCCGTTGTTTCAGTGTAAACCAGGGATTAATTCATGATTTAATCAACTCAGACCAAGCAAATCTGCTGCTGCAAACCATCCACTGACTCCTGGACTAGTTTCTTATTTAAGTGGTTGGAACTTACAGGTTCAAGGAAGCGTTGTGAAGGCAAATCCACGGGGTAATAGGATTCAGGCATTGCCTCGAGGTGATGTTGGAAATTGCTGTAAACTGAGAGGGAAAGAACCTTGATAAATAAAACAACCAGGGATTATCCAAACAGTCTGCACCAGTGTCAGTTGAACAAAAAAAGTAGAAATAATTTGAAGGCACGTTATAAAGTTATGGCAACGTTGATGAGAAGCAATAATAATAATAATAATAATAATAATAATAATAATAATAATAATAATCCTTGCAAAGTACCTGGTAGGTATTGGTGACCAGTGTCAGTTTGTGGTATTTGCTGGATCTCCTGTGGATAGTGATGATGGTGATGATGTATTACCTCAAAGGCATCATCAAACAGGGGAGCATAAGTGTCTTGGACATAGCAGTTCTTTAAAGGACAAAACATATCAGAAAAATAAATGACCAAAAAGTAAACTTCATCAATTCCACGAATATTACTGTGCAGTCAAAACACTCAAGAAAAGCCCAACAAAAGTTATCTGACTTACTTACCATGGCAAGTATCAAAAAATGGGAATACCTGGGGGAAAAAAATGCAATCATGTGGTTACCTCCTGAACTATTCAAAGGGGTGTATAATACTTTCTACAAGTGGCCAACGTTAGAAGGTTACAGCTCCAATAACAACACACATCTGATATCAATTTAACAGGCAAAGGTGTTAATAGTGTCAAGAAAGAAAGCTTATTAAAATGGATTATTGATTTACAGTAACAGGGGGAAATGGGGGAAAATGATGTGTCAGCTGTTGAACTGGAGGTGAGATGCAGAAAAGACTTACCTACTCTTATCTACAGCTGCCAAACAGGGAAGGTGTGGACTGAAAGCATGTTAAATAGTCTGCAGGGTTTGTATAAATATGCCATACGTCACCTTGTCATTCGATCCCGGAAAATGTTATCTATCCCATTGCACATATTCCTTCAGATTCACAACAATAAGGAATATTGCACCAGAAGAATTCACTGGAGTCTGCCCTTAAGCACTTTGTCCCAAGTAGGGATTTTCTCTCTCTCTCTCTCTCTCTCTCCCTCTCTCTGTTCAGTTCCACTTCTTTGTGAAGATGTTAAAGGTTTTTTTTTTCTTCATTCATCACCAAGTCATCGTTGGATGAAGTACTTTCCTGACTGAGTTAAGAACAATTACTTTCCCACATCCACATCCAGGTATCATTCTTGTAGCTGTTAACATTGCAGTCTTGTTAGTGTTAAAAGGGTGAGAATCAAACATTGACATTGAGATTCTCCATCCAGATTTACATGGAATTCAAACNTTTTTTTTAGTGGGGGAGGGATAAAATGATAACTGATTTTTGCTAATAGTTTTGCGATTTAACAAGATACAAAAATCAAAGGAGCAGCGACTGTCTCCCAGTAAAAGGCGTATTGTTATTCGAATTCATCGAATAACTTTTCTTTGGCTTTTCTACTCTACACTACACCACACCTCACCGTCCACTAACTGAATCGTTGACGAGAAATGTGCTCAGAATTTTTTTCCTTTCATTATTTTTTATAGAAAAAGGAGAAACAGAAAAGTGAAGGCTTCCCCTTTGCAGTCAAGTTTCTGGAAGTCGACAAGAATTTCCATCTATTACTTCCATTCTCATGAGTACCCATTAATCCTCACCCTCCCTCGCCCTAGCCGGTCTGAGTTGGGGTGGGAGGGGGTTCTAGTCAAGTGTTTTTTAAGACAATATAAGGTATTCCTAATAGTGTTTGAAAAGCCAACTTTTTTCTATATTTTGTAGCGGTCCAGTCAGTCTAGTCTCTTCAGGATAACCCTAATTGTTACGGTCCATTGAAAAAAAGTAGGATGAACAGTCTCCAGCCCAGCTTGGTGAATAAATCCTGATTTTAAAAAAAGGGTCAACACTAGAATAATAATAATTATTATTATTATTTCCTTTGATATAACGCCTTTTCGCGTTGTTGAGATGTCTCAAAGCACTTCACAGGCTATACTGTATAGTTGAGTGACTGTGTACGTTGTGGGTGAAATGTGGCAGCCAATTGGGCACTGGCCCGCAAACAGTCGCGGATTGAGTGACCATTTTTGGGGGGGATTATTACTCCCAGAAAGCAGTCCAGACGTCAAGAGGTCAAGGCGGAGGGACTGAAGGAGAGAGTTCCAGAGTTTCAGGACTTAGCGGCTTAAGGCATGGTGACCGAGTGTGGAGCGGAGGGCATGAGGGACAAACAGAAGTTCGGAGCCAGCCGAGCGGAGGCAGCGGGTGGTGGAGTGGGGGGGTAAGCAGGTTGGATAGGCAGGGAGGTGCCGGGGCATAGAGGGATTTGAAAATGAATGAGAGGTTAAAATTGAGGCTTTGAACAAAGAATTAACATTCCAAGGGAACCAGAATATTTATTTTTTGAAAAAGAAAAAGAAATAGCATGACACACGAACATTGTGGTATACTATAAAATAGCATGACACACGAACATTGTGGTATACTATAAAATAGCATGACAGTTGAACATTGCAGTGAACTATAAAATATACCCTCTCATGCCATGTGACAAGGTATAATTTTAAGAAGTGGTTGAAACTACTTTTGAGTAACCACTGAAAGGCGCCTGAAATTCCCTCTAAAACTTGCACAGTTCATAAGAAAAATTGGAAATTTATACACACAAGGGTGTATAAAGAATGAGTGAGTGAGGATATAAATTCTAAAAGGTCCTATTTAATCACTGTACTCTCTTCCACATTAATGCGGAAATTCAGTGGTGAAAACCTATTGGGGTCATTTTGCATTGTTTTTTTTCTCTGTGGTCTCTTAACCTCAGCCACAATCAAGAAAGATTTACAATGAGGCAGCAAAATGGTACGAGAAATTAAAATACTGCTCTCGAGTACATTTTGTACAAGGAAGGAAAAAAACTTATGGAGTAAATAGCACCATTATACAGTTTTGAAATTAAAACACTTATTCTTTAATTGTATGGTTAGAAGACTTCAGGTGGACAAGTAAGCACAATGGGTAGCTAGGTGTAAATAGAATTCAATATAGAAAAATATTAAGTCATCTAGAACATTTTGTATTTGCAGCAGATCTGATATACAGATGCGTAAGTCTTCAAAGGTAGGAGTGCAAGTAGATAAGATCTTGAAAAAGGCAAGTCTATGTTTTATACTTAGGAGCAAGGATGTAAACGTTTTACAATCTCTGGTTAGGGCATTAGTCGAAGTATTACAACCCTATTTTAAAAAGGACATCAAAGCCATGAAAAGATTAAGGCAGACATTCATTAGAATTATATCATGGATGCAAAGGTATATGTGTATAGCCTTGAATAGCTGTACTGGAGCAGTGAAAGTTAAAAAGGGATCCAATAGGAGGGTTCAATATGACTTATCGGAAACAAAAGTTCTATTGATTGATCATTCTTGCAAAATAATTATCACAATTAATCAGTTATAAATCCCATATCTCTCATTTATGTGGAATGGATAAATGCCTTTAAATAACCTTTTTCAGAATCAATGGCCTTCTAAGCTGAATACACAGAGTGTATATAAATGAAGTTCCAAGAATATCAAGACTATTTCTATAATATTTGTGATTTTTCCAGACTGCCAGCCATGGTACTCCATGTTTATTTATCCTATAAGGATGTGGGTTGGCAGTTAGGACTGATGCAATATTTGCAATATCTGCTTGCTTTAACCAATACGTTACAGGACTCCAGTATAATGCTGAATGTCTATCTGAAAGTTTTGCCATCGAACTAAATTACACTTTGATTATCAATCAATTTCCTGAGCTTGACAGTCAAATCCAATTATTTAATCTCCCACCACCAAGGTCAGAGAATAAAATGTGCTCAATCGACAAAGATGGTAAATTTACCAATGGTCAGAACACCAACAGAGAACATGATCTTTATCAACTGACCAGTGAAAGAATTAATTTTTGCAGTGCAACCCCCTGTAATTTAATGCTTTATATAATATGTTTTTTGTATGTTAGGAAGCTTATTAACACTGATTTTGAAGATTTCAATTAACTGTCGAGTTACTAATTTAGATGCACCCAATAGGATTGAAAAGGAAATTCTGAAATCTTATACAGTCAACAAAATGAAAAGTAACATTCTAAGAATAAACGTGAAATTTCTAATTGTCAACAGAAAGAAGCAGAACAGAAAAGTAACATCCAAAAACAAACTCAAAATTATGAACTTGTCAACAACAAAAAGCAGAAGAAAAGTATTTACCTAAAATAAATACATGGACCCTCCCAGTCTTTCTATCAATTATATAGTGTATGGTTGAGTGCTTAAGGGGGCGATTGAGCTGATTCGAGCATTTAATTACTGGTTTAATACAATAATAATAATAATCCTTGCATTTGATATAGCGCTTTTCACATCTAGACGTCTCAAAGCGCTTCACAGAATAATAATAATAATAATAATAATCCTTGCATTTGATATAGCGCTTTTCACGTCGGGAAGACGTCCCAAAGCGCTTCACAGAACACACTGTAAAGTGAATTGACTGTACATTTGTGGGCGAACGCGGCAGCCAATTGCGCACAGCAATGTCCCACAAATAGTCCTGGATTGATTGACCAAATTTTTTTTGTTTTGAGGGATTATTATCCCCGGAAAAGTGATCCGCCAATGGACTAACAACTGGGTTCCTACTTACTGCTTGGTAAACAGACATGTGGAGTAAGGAAACTTGCTCAACATTTCATCCTCCCGGGAATAGAACCCAGGATTCTCGCTTTCGAAGCGAGTATATGAATACATGGTTTAATCTGCTCTGGCCATAATATACTGTAATCTATTTGTTCAATTATTATAATAATAACAATCCTTGCATTTGACATAGCACCTTATCACATCTTTGAGATATCTCAAAGCGTTTCACAGGATATACCATAAAGTATATATATATACTATATATTGACTGTGTATTTTGTGGGCGAAATAATCTTAACATTGTACAATTTTCAGTCAATTCACTTTACAGTACATATTTGAAGCGCTTTGAGAAGCATCGAAGACGTGAAAAGAGCTATATCAAATGCAAGGATTATTATTATTATTATATTTGAAGAAATTTACATAAATCACCTTTTAGGCAATATGGAATGTTTGAAACCCACATAATGGTAAGATTAATTTGGATAAAGAAGGCTTGACCCATCTGATCTCATCACTTCCAGAACATCCACTCAAGGTCAAAGGCCGAATGTGGGTCTTAAATCCACATTGTAGTTATACCAGACAGAATTACTGTGAAGTATAGTGACTGTGTACAGTGTAGACGAACATCCACAACAACTGTTTTAGGAAAATAAACATCTGTGCCAATGAGAATCTGGCCGAGTGATACCTCTGGTTGCCCCAATTAGTGGTTCATCTTTCATAGCCTACTGTGTTCACATTATATGTTCGCTGGCTAATGCTCCATTGAAGGGGTCTAACAAGGATATTAAGTCTATTTAAAAGGTATTAAAGTTTCATTCGACATGATGTTACATTTATGATGTGTCAGTGGAACACAATAACTTGAGTATGATCTTGGTCAAGAAGAAGAGGTCACATAAAATTCAAGTAATCTCAGCCCTGCTGTTCTAGGAATGCCTTATTATGTAATGCTCACATGGTCATTATTTGGAATATGCTGAGCTATTGAATTCTATTTTGTTTTCTGCCGGTTTCTCAAGTCACATAACAACAACAACTTGGATTTATATAGCGCCCTCCACGCGTCTCAGAGCGCTTTACAGTAACGGATCCCGGGACTAGCCCGTGGAGGGGGAGGAAGGTGATAAAGATGCGGTCGAAAAGTAAGGTCTTCAGCAGAGACCTGAAAATGGGAAGGGAGGGAGCGAGATGAAGGGAGTGAGGAAGGCAGTTCCAGAGACTCGGGGCATAGTGGCTGAAAGCACGGCTGCCGAGGGTGGAGCGGAGGACTCGGGGGACAAGGAGGAGGCCAGACCTGAAGGAACAAAGGCAACGGGTACTGTGCTGAGGAGAGAGGAGGTCAGAGAGGTCAGGGGGTGCAGAGGAGTGCAGGGACTTGAACACGAGGGTGAGGATTTTGAAATCAATCTTCTCTGGGATAGGCAGCAGTGCAGTCTGGCAAGGATGAGGGTAATCGGGGAGCAGAGTTTCGTGCGGGATAGTTTTCCACATACAGTGCAGTTGTGGTTTAAACACTTCCAGTTGCATTATTAAATAGTTCAAAAAAGGGTGACTTGTTTGTCATCCTTGTTACTTTCATCAGTTACAAACACACCCAATTCAGTAATATTAAATTATTGTATACAAAAACAGTCATTACATTTGACAGTAATTATTGTGACGGTTTTATTTTGAAGTTATGGGTGCTCGGAACCCTGCCCTCCACTCCTTCTGATCCCAACCTCCAGCTCAGGTCCAAATCCCTAACTGTCCAGCGCCTTGGGACGTCCTCCCAACGTGAAAGGCGCTTTACAAATGTATTATTCTTTACTGGTCTATTGCAAACAAAATAGAGATATCTTCTCTGAACTATCAATAGATCCATCAGGAGAAACCAACTGAACACTGATGTTGATCAAAACTCGGAAATGACTGGAATTTAAAAATCAATAAATGCATTACCAAGTGAATCAAAGTCCAGAAGTGAAACAGTGCCCAAAAGAAAAAGAGTGAAACCCAGCGAAAGAAATTGACCCCATGAACGGGAGCAACAACAGCAAAAGTCACAGCTGGTGCCAAAACAGGAGGAGCAAGGAGATAAGTAGGAGCAATGGTCAGTCTGTGAAACCTGAGGGTCAGTTACGGGTGTAATGCAAGAATTTCTTCAAATTGTAATCCAACGTAATCATTTTGTCATGTTAAATGTGAATGCAAAGTAGGTCTGCTGCTTGCTTTCTAAACACTGAACATCGATCGTCTTCCTTCTCCCAACCTTCTCAGTTTGACACGTTGTGTCACGCTTGTTTTATCTCGCTTTGTGTCTTGCATCACACGTATGCTGTGCAATAAATTGGAAGGCACAAGTTTTCACCGCACATCTGCAGTGTATTGGTGTTATTTGATATATTCTATGGGGTTCTTTCCCCACTTGCACGCTTTGTCAGTCCCAGATTGACATGCTGCTATGTAATTGTTAACCTCTCCAGTGAACCCAATTAATGGGAAATCTATGTTGTGACAAAACAGTTCAGACGATACAACATGACATGGAATTGACAAGACGCACGGTTAGTGGGCCTGTTTTTCCTGCAGCTGTACAATTCATTAATCAGCCATTCACCAGCATTGCTCCTTCTGCAGGGAAAGCATATAGGTGCCTAGTTTGTGATAATTCTGTGGTAAAACAGAATTCCAGTAATAATAATAATAACCCTTGCATTTGATATAGCGCTTTTCACATCTTCTCGACGTCTCAAAGCGCTTCACAGAATAGACTGTAAAGTGAATTGACCGTATATTTAGATTCCATTGGAGACGAGTCCTTGTTGGTTGGTATGACATACTGTAATAATAATAATAATAATAATCCTTGCATTTGATATAATGCTTTTCATGTCTTCTAGATGTCTCAAAGCGCTTCACAGAATATGCTGTATAGTGAATTGACTGTATATTTGTGGGCGAAACGTGGCAGCCAATTGCGAACAGCAGTGTCCCACAAATAGTCGTGGATTGAAAATGACCAATTTATTATTGTTTTTGGTTTGGGAGGGATTATTATTAGGTGTGTGGAGTAAGGAAACTTGCCCAAGGTTTCGCCCTCTGCCTGGAATTGAACTCAGGTCTCTCACTTGCAAAGCGAGTGCTCTAACCACTGAGCTACAGGACTACTGTACTTCCAGTTACTGGAAGGATTACCTATTTGTGTGTGACCTGGATTCCCTTCTAAGGAATTCCATTACTAAATACTGCAAATTACACCATATTGGGACACTTACATAAAACCTCAGGAAACATAACATAATAGACACAAAGCAAGAATGGTATCAAAACATATTTGCCTTGTTTACATTTTGCCTTCAAAATATATATATATAGTCAAAATATATGGTCAATTCACTTTATAGAATATTCTGTGAAGCACTTTGAAATGTCTCGAAGACGTGATAAGGCGCTACATCAAATATAATATTATTATTATTACGTTATGTTTCCTTAGTCCTTGTGCTTCACTGAGTACTAACAAATATGAGAGAAATCAGAATATTAGAAACCTTTATTTCTCGAAAGGTTTGAATTGTTTTCATAGATGCGAGAGGATTCCCTTCGAGTGAACCGAACACAAAGATCATTGGCCCAAATAGAGGAGGAAGGAACAGATTACTATTTCCAGAGGCAGTACTCAGAACAGTAAGTTGGGGAATTCCAAGTGGGCACAATCTTTGACTTTCTTTAAAGCACATTCATATATCAGAACTAACTTTTTAGGTCACATGCACTGAATTTCACTCACCATAGATTGCTAATATTAGTTCTTGAATCTTTAATGTGCCAAGCCAGGACTGTTAAGCGGCCCGTGATGTCTCCCTATATAAAATGTAAATTTGTATTTTCGTGTAACAGAAGAGCCTCTTGTTTATTTATAATTTGTTTGATGATTTGTCCTCGACATTAGGATAATTCAACCAGCAGAAAAGAAAGCCCAAATAGAAGATCCCGAATGCAAAAAATATTGCTGCAGCTATTAAATAATATTTTGATCCACTTGTCCTTAAGAAAATATTAACATATAGTTTAACAGCTAAAAGGGAATTCGACAACCTCCACTTTACAAACAGTACAGCAGTGTAAGTAAACAACAGAGACGTGCAATGGAAATCCCCACACCTGTAAGTTCCAATGAGATCGCTCCTTCCCCTAACANTTTCCACAGGTATTTTTTTGGAACCATAACAAATAAATAATGCAACAGATTTCCTTTAATCTCCTTCCTCTTTTATTGGAGGAACTCATTCTCTGAATTATAGCCTCAGGGAGCGAACTGCAGCTTGAATAATGGTCAACGTTTACAAATGTTTTTGTATTATTTTGTTTGACAACTTTTAGAATCTTGTTCCTGCTCTTTCTTCCATATTACTTCACTTTACCTTAAAGTGTATAACCTATGTTTGGATTTGGGGAACACAACACAGGCAGGTTACCTGTAATGTAGTTTCCCCATCACAGTATATAAATAGTTCTCGTACTGTTAAAGTCTTGGAGCTCCTTTGTGGCAGGCTCGGTATTCTGCTCTGAGCCGGGAGGGTCCTCGGTATTGTAGGACACCGCTGATATACAGACCAGCCACCCAAAATCATTGGCAGGACTTGGAAGGGCAGACCGATCATTGGAAGCAAGGATGCTTCTCATTAAATTCCTCTTAACCCTGCAAACCAAAGCCCTAACAGGTGGTTTCAGATGGACAAGCCTGCCAGACAGTGCTTTCAATCGCAAGCTATGCTGATTCACCTGGTTAAACTCCTGAAGTATCCTTCCACACACTCTGGGACCCCCAAGTTTTGGCTCTTGGCGACCTGTGTCTAATACTCTTTGGAATTAGGCAAATAGGTTGCGTCCCTTCAGAGGGAGTTGTATTCCATTCCCGACACAATGGAAATTTCCATGTGTAGGTGGCATGCATATTCTGCACATGTCAGAAATGTGCGTGATCAAATAAAATTGTCTTTCGACAAGCTTAATGTAGGAGTAGATATGCAATATATTTCAGTTCATTGGTAACATTGGTTTATTTTTGTGACTGTCAGTGTTAATGTAACTAACTTAGCAACAGGTTCATTGAACGACAAGGAATCAATAACACAATAATAATAATGATCCTTGCATTTGGTGTAGTGCCTTGTTAAGTAGACGAGACGCCTCAAGGCACTTCACAAGATATACTGTAAAGTGATTAACTGAGTATTTTGTGGGTAATACATACAGTGCTTATAAGAGAAATGTGTACTCTATGCATATTGCTTATGTTGGTGGAACCCGTGAGATTTCAGAACACATTTAACGACTATTTTGACAGTTAAAAAGCAAAGGGTATTTTTCAGAATACAGAACTGAAAAAGTATTGTGGTAAAATTATCTCTTGCAGAACAAAAAAACGGGGCGGGTCTATTGGAATATCCTTCTGGTTTGCAAGTAAAAGTATTCCTTGTGAATTAAGAATGCTGAAGTCAGTCCAAAAGACCGTGGTAAGTGCCCTTTTTTGTGTGATCAATTTATTATATCTGAGAAATTCCTCTTGCGGCTAAAAAAGGTCACAAAGCGCACATCTTCATGTCTCTGTACGTTCAGTGTGAAAACAGACGTTTATCTTCTAAATAAAAAAGAACAGCCACTGGTTTCAGTGGCGTGAGCCTCACGATAACACTGTGTCCTGAATTCTGAAGCCATCAAAAAGCAAGAGAGGAGTTTCATCCCCACTAGTCTTGATTCAGGCCCAAGTCCCAGAGGGGAAAGGATCCAACACAAACCCCTATCATTAGAAATATAGTATACGAGCTGCACCCGTTGCAGCTTCGCTTGGAACCGAAGGATCCAATATGGAATGTAGATTGACACCCAGACGGAAACACGGGCAGACATTTCGTCCTTATCTATACTCAGCTGGGAGGACTCCTGTGGGAGGAACTCCTTTCGGGAGGACTCAGTGAGAGGACTCCTTTAATAGTCTGTCTGTCTCAGTCTTTCTGTCTCTATTTCAGACTCTCTATCTCTTTCTCTCTCTGTCTCCCTCTCTATGTGTCTCTCTCCCAGTCTCCCCCTCTCACTCTCTCTTCCAGTGTCTCTCTCTCTCTCTCTCAGTCTCTCTTCCTATCTCAGTCTCTGTCTACTTCTCTCAGTCTTTCGTCCAGACTCCTCTTTCAGTCTTTCCTGTCTTGCCCACAAAACACACAGTCACTACACTTTATAATATATTCTCTCTCATAGTTCTCTCTCTCAGTCTCTCCCAGTGTGTGCGTCCCTCTCTCTCTTTCAATGTGTCTCTCTCTCTGTCTCTCTTACTATCCCAGGCTCTCTCTCAGTCTCTCGGCTCTCAGTCTGTCTCCCTCTCTCTCTCTCTCAGTCTTTCTCTGTCTTTCCCACAAAACACACAGTCACTACACTTTATAATATATATTCTCTTTCACAGTCTCTCTCTCTCAGTTTCTCTCTCACGGTCTCTCTCTCTCTCTCTGTCTCTCTCTCAGCCTCTCTCTCTCTCTGTTTCTCTCACTATCTCTGTCTGTCTCCGTCTCTCTGTCTGTCCCACACGGGAGGACTCTAACTCCCATGACAACCAGAAAAAAGTGTGGTGTGTGCTTTCCTCTGCCGCCATGTAGTTGCAGAATACGATGCATCCTGCATATTTTGGGGCTTAATTAAAGCATTTTTAATATAGCTCATCAATGATAGCCAATTCCCCCCGAAAAATGCCCATCACACAGCCGAATGCAAGTCTGATGAGGTATGAATCATGTCTCTAAGTCAATCGGTTATTGTGTGATTGTTGGACACACAGATATACAGACAGACACACAGCCATTTCGTCTTTATTAGTACAGATAACAATCAATTTTATTTTCTGCAAAGTATCAAAAAAAATTTCAATTTTATTTTAAAATAGCAAAAAATATTGAGGTTTCAAGATAGATCTTGAACAGGTAGTGGAGTCCTGTAGCATATTGGTTAGAGCTCTCGCCTCACAAGCAAGAGGAGCTGGTTCGATTCCCAGACAGGGCCAAACTTTAGGCAAGTTTCCTTACTCCACAAGCCTGTTTTTCCAGCAGTAAGTAGGAACCCGGTCGTTCGTCAATTGGTGGATCGCATTTCCGGGGTAATAAATCCATCAAAAAGTAAATAAAAATAATAATAATTTGATCTATCCAATCCATGACTGGTTATGGGACACTGCTGTGTGCAATTGGCTGCCGCGTTTCACCCACAAAGTATTCAGTCAATTCACTTCACAGTATATTCTGTGAAGTGCTTTGAGACGTCTCAAAGACGTCATAAGGTGTTATATCAAATGCAAAGATTTTTTTATTATTAAATAAACTTTGGGTGGGTAATTGGGAATAGCTCCTAATTTTTCTATTTTCTATTTTCACATTTTGTTAGGGGAGGTATATATATATAATATAATATAATTAAATGATATAATATATATAATATATATATATACGATTATGTACCTGCTGCAAACTTTAATAAACTGTTTCCACATGCCACATTACTGCAGTAACAAGTGACTGAGGAAAATATGCTGTACTTTATTAGGGGATAACTGGCGTTAACTGCATATGCAAATATATTATACAAATACTTCTACTTCTTACTATCAGTAGGGTAGACCGCAGTTTTATAATGCAGTGGATTTAGTTGATCTTGAGAAACTCTAAAGGAATATTGTACTTTATAGAACAAATTCTGCAATTTTATTGATGACTTTTTAAATCTCATGAAATCATATCCCGCTAGTTATAGCTCATTGATTTAACACACACCTCGTAGTGCCTCTCCCCTAATCTAAGCAAAATAGCATGAAGCATTTAGTGTAGCCACAACATTGTTGTATATAGTGTTACTATTATTTGAATTTATGCTTAAGGCACCAGGAAATCCAGGGATTTCCAGGGTATCCTGGGCCAACTATTGTCTAAAGTTTTCAGCAATAAAATAAATACTAAATGTCACTCAAATGCCAGAAGTACCACTACATGAGCAAAAGGCAACTAAAATAAGCATTTAAAGTACTGACTCACATTATAAGGATTTTAAACATTTAACTGCTCTTACTAATCTTGCCTTTATGCCATTCTCATTTCTTCCCATTCTCTCTATTTTTATTATTTAACTTTAATTCTACACGAATTCACTCACTTGCTCTATTCTAAATATTTTGTAGCTCTTATTCTTAAATGTGATTTTAAATATTTACGCCTTGGACAGAACTGCTTTCTTTGGATTGAGTAATTAAGCTTTTTAGTTTATTTCATTTTCATTTAAAGTCTGTGGACAGAATTTAAGTCACAGGGTCAAAACCAAATAACCTGCTTGTCTGTGGCTAGAAATGAGGGCATTTTACCTCATTCGGGAGCTTTTTCACCAGATGTTGGTTAATAAGGTGAGATAAGGGTTACATGACTCAGCAAATATTAAACAGGAAAGATGCCTTTGAAACAACATGAGTTCTTCAATTTAGACAGGATATGAAACTTGTTCATTCAGCACAGGAATATGCACGTGCAGGGCAAGGACACATGAGTGTGCACTTATTTACTAAAACTTTATTTATATTAATTCAGTATTTGTCTTTCACTATTACATTGACCACTGAAACATTAACCCCATTACATACTCCCTTCTAACACTGAGAGGTGCTTTTTGTATATCTCCCAAGGAAAATATCAGAGAGGCTTTGCTGTATTTAGCAGAATAATTCCCATTTCTCGACAATTACAACTAAACGGCAATGTTGAAGAAATTCAATATGTAAAAATTTTTTTTACACAATTACTTTCTGCGTTGATATCAACATAAACAATGCATGTTACAAATAGCCTACTTTATCAGTGGAGAGAGATATCACAAGGTTTATTGTCCTTTGATCTTGGGGAGCTGGGTTTGAATTCCATTAAGATTGATTATAACGAACATTTCTGTTAGCTATAACGGTGTGTGTGCCAAGTCCTTGTCCACTGTCTCATGACAAGAAGTTGGCAGACAAAACAGTTAACAAACGGACATTGTCTTCTCAGTCTAACTCAAAGTGGTCACAGGTAACTGTGTGGAAATTGCAAAACTTCACAGGGATGCAGCACGGTGCTCTTCTAAGGTGAGGGTTAATATCATCGGATCTGAGTAGAGAAATCTTAATTATACGCCTCGTTGTGCTTAGCGCTGGTAAAATACATCCAAAGTGGCAAAGTCATTTGCTAACATTGGCATCCTTTATCTTAATACATGTAAGCAGTACCAGTGAACATAGTGCATTAAATTTCTACCCTCATCTCTAGATCCTGATCTCTATCTCTGTTAGTTATAACATTCCACCTTATAAAAAACAAATCTACTGTACAGTATATAATAATAATGATCCTTGCATTTGATATAGCGCTTTTCACGTCGGGAGGACGTCCCAAAGCGCTTCACAGAACACACTGTGAAGTGAATTGACTGTATATTTGTGGGCAAACGCGGCAGCCAATTGCGCACAGCATTGTCCCACAAACAGTCGTAGATTGAAAATGACCAATTTATTATTGTTTTTGGTTTTGGAGGGATTATTATTAGGTGTGTGGAGTAAGGAAACTTGCCCAAGGTTTGGCCCTCTGCCTGGAATTGAACTCAGGTCTCTCACTTGCAAAGTGAGTGCTCTAACCACTGAGCCACAGGACTCCACACATGTGAGAATAGCAGTGTCACGTCACAATACCAATCTATTTAAAATATGGCTTTGTTGGCACTGAATGTTCAAGACATCTTAATAACCAAAACAACATTTTTAGTTTCATTTTTGTGTTTGCAGCATAGCATTAACAAAGTTTGGTTCACATCTGCTCCATCTATTAAAATCCTACTTTGCAATTGACAGGGAATCGATTACTTACTGTTAAAAAGATATTTGGTCTCAAAACTTGCTGTGTTGGGGAAACTATTGTCCACAACTATTCTAATACATAATAAGATGCCTGTGTATACCGAGATTTTGAATACAACATGGGTCACTGTCTAACATGTAAAAGCTTCTCTATAAAATGCTTTCATCGTAAGAAACTTCTCAGCAGATTCTAAAGCAGCTCACTATGACAGATTTACTGCCTTCAGGGTTAATAGCTATTCCTTTTAGTATTTATTTAAAAATGTGCACACTAGTCAGTGTGAGTGTAGTGTATATATTGTTTTCGTATTGCCTGGAAGCAGAACTTTGCTGAGTCAATATTAGTCAGAACATGACATGGAAAAGTCATAAGTTATTCCCATGGTGTTCATTAATTGCCTAAAGCATTTTGCAATATGGTTTTCACCAAAATAGATTTGCTTACACAGAAAAGGTTGACTTCAGATATTTGTTTTAAACTGCACTGTTATCCATTCATGTTCAGGTCAGTTAACAGTTGGATCTTATCTTAACTAAAACACATACGCACGGTTCAAAATAATACCGTTAGCATGCTGCAGAATATAATAGTTCCTTTTTTCTTAGCATGGGGATCAGTTAAGCAAGTGGAAAAACTTGTAACCACAAATAAGCCTGCTGCGTAATTCTGGTAAATGAACTTCATCTGAACTTTAGACACAATTACAGTAAAGCTAAATCTGTGCCTATTTCCATTAACCCATCAGAATGCTTACATGGCAACATACATTTTAGCCATAATCATTCATCGACCTTCCAGCTTTAGAAATCCCAATTTGTATCACTTTAGCATTACGGAACAGTAATGCAGTGAATAAGATTACTCTTCTTTCACCTCTGTGCTCTAGATCCAAGTCCATGCTGATGTCAACTGTCTGCTCTCTGTAAGGAACTTAATCAAAGTGCCTGGCTGGTATCAATGTAGCACCTAAAGGTGAAATTCATTGTGTGAGGGTAATGATAATAATCTTTGCAGTTGATATAGCGCCTTATTATGTCTTCGAGACGTCTCAAAGCGAATTGACTGTATCTTTTGTAGGTGAAATGAGATACATATAATATGACACTAATTCTCACTAAATTGGTAAGTTCACCCCAAGAGATCACACAAATAGGTATGAAAATCGAAACAATAACACTGGTAAAGTAGGAGCATTCTCCTTAGGTTGGGACCTGTTCATTGAGCTTTGCACAGGATCTAACTTATGATGGACGGTACTAGATCTGAGATAACTGAATATACCGGGTTCAAAAACATAAAGAAGTATTTGTTTTGGCATTACAACTTTATGAACATGAGCTCTCATTCATTGTCATGTTCCTGTTGATTGTCATGGTTGTTTCTGGGACATTGCTGTGAGCAAATTGGCTTCCATGTTTGCCTACAAAATACACAGTCACTACACTTCACAATATGTTGTACGTATACAATCTAATGATTATTATTAAAAGAAAGTCTAATTCTCATGGTGTAAATCCGGTTGAATTGTTTATAGTGTGTATTGATGCATAGAACATAACATAATAATAATAATCCTTGAATTTGATATAGCGCTTTTCACGTGATCTAGATGTCCCAAAGTGCTTCACAGAATATACTGTAAAATGAATTGACTACATTTTTGGGCACAAAACCGGCAGTCGATTGCGCACAGCAGTGTCCCACAAACAGTCGAGGATTGAAGTGACCAAATTATTATTGTTTTTTTTCTTGAGGGATTATTATCAGGCGTGTGGAGTAAGGAAACTTGCCCAAGGTTTCGCCCTCCCGGGAATTGAACCCAGGTCTCTTCGCTTGTGAGGCGAGTGCTCTAACCACTGAGCTACAGGACACCATCACTTCCAACTGTTCCAGGTTGCTTTAAATATTGTGCTAAAAGTTCCATGTTCTCATGATATGAAATAGAACGTTTAAATAATATCTCATTGCCTATATTTTTAGAACCTTTCATAATTTGACTACACAACAACGAGCACAGAAGAAAAATGACTGCCAACCAGTCACCTTTGAGATTGAACAATAATCTGCATCAATATACGGTGAAATGAAAATTAAATGTTACACTTTTCCAATTGACCTATAATAGAATATTCCAATATTTTAAACCCCCCCCCACCCTTTTACAACTTATGCAAGTTAGTAAATATCAGTGCTATAATGGCCTTCATTATGAAGGAATTTAACTATAGGCATGAATTTGTGGTAAACATATTAATATGTTGCAATCTTGTCATCCATTCCATTACTGATAAATCTCAACACGCATATTACACTACTACACTCAATTTAAAATATCTCTAGTTAGCATTTGTGAGCAGATTTATTATAAAGGAAAAATCAACAGAAGTTACATTGCTATGTTGTGTTATTATCACTCTAATGTGTTTTTTTTAAACAACGAATTTAAATCTGTATTTTCAGAGGAGATACAATCAACTGCAGAAACAGGAGGTACACTGATGTAGGTGTGGAAGTACTACACCACATGCTTCTGCTTTACTATTATTCATCCATGTCATTGTGGAATACAAAATGTGGAAGTTTAGGAAGCTATGGGAACTTAGATTGATAACTATAGAGCGCCAACAACGACTAAAAAAGGCCATAATAAAAATTTCCAGTAAGTTACAAGATTAACAATGATGCAGTTGAAAATGATAGCATGCAAGTTCCATCTGTTTGTCCTGATTACACAAAAGAGAATTGTTTTCTTTATAGTGATAACCTAATGGAGCTCGCAACCAGTTTCCGTACTATATGCTATACTTTTGCAGAGGAGTAAATTTCTGTTTACGTATGTAGTCCTTTGTTAAATGAGATACATATATTAATTTGCCACATGTTCATGTGACATTAGTTATCTTCTTTGTTGAAAATTGTGCCAATGCAATATAAAAAACTAAATATACCATTTGCTTTATTTTTTTCTTCTCTCCATTATGTTTACATTTAATTTCAAAAGGATGTTTTACAATATATGATGTAAAAAGTAAAAATATTTTAATGTTATACCAAATCCATTTCACATTGGTGCATATCATAATGCCGCATCCCTAGGCTGTTTAGAAAATATACTGCTGCATTGTTTTGTGGTAGCACAAATATCTTAGCTTAGTCTTAGAAATATATTAAAGAATTTTCCATTGGATGTTGCCTTTGTTCACTGGACCATCAGATGAGCTTCTGTAATGGATACATCATGATATCAAGGAAGATGAGATTATCAACAACAATTTGTACTGACGTAGTGCCCTTCACACAAATAGTTTCTTGAAACACTTAACAGTAGTGTGGTTTGACACCGAGTTGGAAAGAGAGGGGAGGTGACTGAAGGCATGGTTAAAGAAGAATGCATCTAAAATGTAAATATTTGTAAATATTGTTCAGTAGCATGTAATTGCTCTAATAAATAGCATTTAGAATTCAAGTTGTTGCAATCTTGCAAGTTTATAGATGGTTTGAAAATACTGTTGTATGCACGCACTGAGTTATGTTTAGAAACAAAAAATACACATAAACTAATTATATAGAATATAAATGGTTTATATGGCATTGGCAAGTTAGGCAACCCTGTGTTTCTCAATGGTTTATTCTCTATTTTCCATTGCTTCATAAACAGATAGAGAGGGGAAAGAACAGCCCGTGTTTTCCCAGGCCATCCTAAAGCCAGCTCTACAATAAGAGCATTAAGAACAGTGAGTGGTAGGAGAGGAACACCTTGCCCGCTAGCCTGGCCTCTTGAAGATTTAGGGAGATGAGAAAGAACAGACAATTGGGCAATCAGAGAGTAATGTCCCCTCAAAAACATCAGCATCTGTAATAGGTAGCTATCCTCCATTTGCCTCACTTAAAAATAAAGATGGACCACTGGTCTAAGCATAATCAAATAATCTATAATGCAGGAGGTTCAATCAAGAAATTGTGTGACTACAGCCATAACGAACTAAGCCTGGTGTTGCTCATAAAATATACAGTCAATTCACTTTACAGTATATTCTGTGAAGCACTTTGAGACGTCTCAACAACGTGATAAAGCGCAATATTAAATTGCAAGGATTATTACTATTATTAATATAATACTTCCAATTCCTGTATTCTCTAGAGGAATCGGTATGTAGAGTTTAAAATGATAACTGAAATTAACCTACATGAAAGAATCAATATTCCAAAGTCCAAGGCTAACACCAATAGAATTCTTACAAAACTAATTCTATAACTAATGGTGAAAATCAAAGCAAATGCAGTTGCCTGCCATTATGTGTTTCGGTCTTCATGTAATATTTGTTTCAACAAAAGCTAAACAATACATTCAATGGTAAATTACCAAGTCATTTAGTTTGTTCCCCTTTAAAGTGCAACACACCTGCATATTTAAATGAAAGGAGAACTACATATGCCCACCCACCCCATCACCCCATATGTCCCCTTAGTTAACGTTCTAAGGAAAAATATCAGTTAATGTAAAGGTTTCAATCTTAGCAAATTACCAGAAGGGAAAGGAAAAATTGCCAGGATATTTCCAAAGTATTCGTTCTCGCTGGATGCTGAATTATTTATGGGGCTGTGACTGCTACAAAAAAGAACCACAATTATTTTGTTCACAATAGCAAAGATCTTTTCGTATGGTCAAAGATGTACATTAATGCATTTCTTAACCCCTACCTGGAAACGTAAGCATTCACTTGTGCTATAGGCTAACACTGTGTTTTCAGGCATTGCCATTCTACTCTAAAAGACTAACACTGAGCCCTAGATCAGCAGTTACCGTTCAGTTATCAACTCAAATCTACCCCAGTTTCATATTAATCAGCTTCTCGTGTGTAAAGTGAAACGTGTAGCGAATAAGAATATTACCCAGTATGGAAGAGGAACTTGGCCTAAGATAGAATTGATACAGCATCACAATAATAAATGTAGGGGTGTCCCACCATTCCCATGTACAGTGAGCCGTTTTAAACTAGAAGTATTGGGTTTCATAAAACTATATCAGTTATAATGCCATCCTCTGTTCTATTACTGGAAAGGAATGTGTTCACATTTTCTTTTAGACATTCTTCATAACCCAAGATTTCCAGCTTCATTCCTCTAGATCTTACACCTGAATAGAACTCAGATAATTTCTTTGTGAACTGTTTGTAACAATCCAGCTCGTTCAGTTATTGAGCACCGGACTTGGGACGAAAGATTCTGTATCGGAATCTCAATCCATCTCAGCTCTGCAGCTGTGAGTTCAATACAATAAGTACCATATCATTTTTTACAAGTGTTCCTGCAAGGAATGCAGGGAAACGATGGAGGATAAGTGCAATGAATTGACTCTAAAAGTGATAGCCAAGAGGGGTGTCTAACAATGGTATTCTGACAGTGCTGATGCTTTGTGTCCCACAAAAGCGTTGTGCTGCAGGGGAAGCCTGAGACCTCGTCACATGGTCGAAACCTTGGGCAAATCTTGGGCAAGTTTCCTTACTCCACACAGAGCCTAATAATAATCCCTCCAAAACCAAAAACAATAATAAATTGGTCATTTTCAATCTACGACTGTTTGTGGGACATTGCTGTGCGCAATTGGCTGCCGCGTTCGCCCACAAATATACAGTCAATTCACTTTACAGTGTGTTCTGTGAAGCGCTTTGGGACGTCCTCCCGACGTGAAAAGCACTATATCAAATGCAAGGATTATTATTATTATTATTTATGGTCAGATCAAGGCTGTTCTGAAGAAGACCTGCAGTAGGGGAACATAGAGTGAGAGATCGTCTCTGTTAGGCTATTTGTTAGGGTAACAGGGTAGGTTGTGATTGCCAAGTTGCGATAGGCGTTGCAGATGAGAAAATCATCATCATAATAATAATAATAACAATAATAATACTTGCATTTGATATAGCACCTTATTATGTCTTTGTGACGTATCAAAGCACTTCCCAGAATATACTGCAAAGTGAATTGACTGTATATTTTGTGGACGAAATGCACAAACAGTCATGGCTTGAGTGATCCCTTAAAAAAGGGATGATTACCCCCGGAAAAGCAATCCACCAATCGACTAACAACCGGATTCCTATTTACTGCTCGGTAAACATAAGCTAGTAGAGTAAGGAAACTTGTTCAATGTTTTGCTCTGTTCGGGAATTAAACTGAGGTTCTCTCACTTGTGAGGCGAGTGCTCTAACCACTAAGCTTCGGGTCTTCACTAACAACAACAACAACAAAATTACATTTATAGAGCGCCTTTCACGTCGGGAGGACGTCCCAAAGCGCTGTACAGTCATCTGTCGGGGCCCGAGCATAGGGGAGGGGTGGTGTAGGGGTGAGGGAAGGCGGAGAGGAGGGAGGAAGACCAAAGGCACGGTCGAAGAGAAGGGTCTTGAGACCGGCCTTGAAGGAGGCAAGGGAGGAAGCGAGGAGAAGGGACCGTGGGATGGAGTTCCAGAGTGTGGGGGCAGAGAGGCTGAAAGCCCGGCCACCGATGGTAGGGCGGGTCGGGGGGGAGACATGGAGCAGGCCTGATCCCAATGAATGGAGGGAGCGAGCAGATTGGTAGGGAGTCAGCAGGTCAGAGAGTTAGGAGGGGGCGAGGCCATGGATGGGCCTTAAAGGTGAGGACGAGGATCTTGAACTCGATCCTCTGGGGGATGGGGAGTCAGTGGAGTCGGGTGAGGGTGGGAGTGATGGGGTCACAGAGCCTGATGCTAAGATATCATGAACCTCCTGTAGTGAGCATTGTCCGTTTCAATTCAGGATGCTGAAAAGCACTGATGTTTTACCCCTTGTGTTAATAAACCACTTGATTCATGAATCATGTCTGACTCCACATGTATTTAGTATCCATCCGGCTCAGGTGATCCATTGCTGCCTTGGAAATATGCATGATAGAATTACGTTCAAACCTTAAACTGAATACACCCCTCAAAATCATCACTCCAAAATTAATTGAATTAATTGTGGGTCTTGAACCCACAATCTTCTGACTCAGAGACAAGAGTGCTACCAACTAAACTCGGTTTTCACACATAATTTAAACTTTATTCCATCTGCACAGAAATCTGACGGCTTTCACTTCAAACAACTGTTTTGACTTTGCCTCAGTGTGTGTGTGTGGTTAGCCACCAGTATAATGAAACAGTTACTATAAAAATGGTTAACACATGGGGGCAGTGCTAACATTGCAAATGAATCCCTTTGAATAAGTTTCTAATAATAATGATCCTTGCATTTGATACAGCACTTTGTATCACTTTGTCAAGACGTCTCAAAGCGCTTCACAGAATATACTGTAAAGTGAATTAATTGTATACTTTGTCATTTGCATGTTCCGGCTGAACAATAAGGGCAATGACACATAAGGGCAGAGCTACAACTGGATGTTTTCAACAATATTTCCTATTAACACAGTGCTAGAAATACATAAAGAAACGTATCATTTTGAAGTTCTATCAGCTTGTCTGGCAGACATCAGGGTCGGGATGAGTGCAAACGTCCTGCAGCTGAACTTGGACAAGACAGAAATCATACTCCTTGGCTCCCATCAACGTT